GAGAGACAGAGAACAGAGAGAGAGAGAGAGAGAGTGTTCATTAATGCGTGTTCACCTGAGTAGCGGGAGACCGGGCTGGGTTACTGCGTATATCGGACTGCATGTTATTGATTTCCCAAGAGGAGTGGTGGCTGCCACTTTATGCAGGCTCTACAACAACCACCACAATTACCACCACAACAACCACTACAAAAATAACAACTACCACCACTACCATAACTACAACCACCACAACAACCTCCACAACAGTAATTACCACCACCACATGTACTAAAGGTCATTGATGCAGTACTGTACACAGGAGAAGTACTGTTGACCTTGACATTTGGCTACCACCACTACAACAACAACAACAACATCTTCGTCTTCTGGGTCATTCACTGCTCCTCCTGTGTTCCTTCACTGCCCAACATGTTGAGGAGCCTCTGGCAACACTGGTTTCGGGGGGACTATGGTAACACTGTACTAAACTGTAGCTACACTTGTCACTGTTCAATGTTGTTTTAGTACGGTACACAACAGCCAGTGAGTGAGTGACTGACTGAGTGAGCGAGGGGTGAGTGACTGACTGACTGAGTGAGCGAGGGGTGAGTGTGTTTTCTTCTGCATATTTTCTTCTGTTAAGACATTGACAGTGGTGTGAGTGTGTGTCGGGTCAGCGAGTGTTTCCACCACCAGCATACTAATCATCTTGTTAGGGGGGGGTCTTGTTGTTATTCACGTGTGTAGAGTAACAGGTGTGTGGGTTTTTAATAAAGTCAGGTATACAGTGTGTGTATGTATTGTAATTGCCATTATCTGTACACATATCTGACGTGTGTTGGGGGGGGGGTGTAATTAGGAGGGTAATCCGTTTAACTGCAGGGATTTCAGTTTTAATCCAGTTCGTTAATAAATCCTCTACTTCTACGGTGGATTTATTTGGGTCTGGTGTTTGTATGTCTGTCGGATTTGTGATTGATCATAAGTAAGTTGTTGATTTTTGATTGATTTAAGTTGTGTTGATTTTTCTTTGATTAGAAGTGTTTTTTTTGTCACTGGTTGTCTACCTAGACTAGAGAGAACACTGGTGAGGTAGTTAGCTCTGGTGAGGTAGTTAGGTCGTACAGTAGATGGAGCCACACGTCCAGGAGTAGTTCCTAGTTGTTGTGTGTTTGAGAACTGACACACACCTAATTCTGTGGCGTAGTAGTAGTAGTAGTAGTAGTAGTGTAAGTGTTGGGATCTGTTTACCAGGAGTTAATGTGTGTGTCTGAATGATAAACAGAGAGAGAGAATTTTTTCGTGTTAGGTTGACTGAATGTGTGCGTGTGTTAAGAGAGTGAGAGAGGGCAGACGGTGAGAGGAGGATCTCCTCCCCCCTCACCCTTCACCCTCCTCCCTAAAGGAATAATTCAACCAGGGTGCGCCTCGAGTTGGCGTTCACTAACCAAGCCTACGGTCCACACACACACACACTCACACACTCTTTACTTGGGAAGGTGAGATATTTCTTCTGTTCGTTGCCACCGACTAATTGCTTCTTGCTGTTATTGTTGTTAAAGTTGGGATTTTAAAATGATTCGACACAGTTGGTAAGACGGAGTTTGTTGATGTGGTAGGGGGTGTGCTAGTGTACGTAGGGGAGGTGTGGTGTTGGTGATAGTTGTTGAAAGGTATTATAGTCACCCTTGACGTTTTTACCTAAGCATCTATACTCGTTATGGTGATGTGTTATAAGTAGTGATGATGATGATGGTGTACAAAGATAATATTATTCCCTCTCCCTCCCCCTCTCTTCCCTCTCCCTCCTCCTCTCTTCCTCCCTCCCCCTCTCTTTCCCCCATTATCACCTCTTGTTCCCCAAATCTGTGTTGTTGTTTGTCTGAGTGCCAGTGTTGGAGGCTGTCAGAGATACTAAATCTCTACAGATAATTTATGGTGTGTTCAGATGGTTGTGTTGTGTTGTGTTGTGATGGGTTGGTGTTGTGAACGTGACGTGTTTAGGAGGTGTCTGTGTCACGTTATGTGTGAGGTGTGTGTGTGTGTGTGTGTGTGTGTGTGTGTGTGTGTGTGTGTGTGTGTGTGTGTGTGTGTGTGTGTGTGTGTGTGTGTGTGTGTTTTGTCTGTCATTTATGTTCCCTTTGTAATTTGTAATTCTCTAACTTCTCCAAACCACACCCCCAGTGACTTATACATGACCTCTAATGACCACAGTTTATACTATCATTAGTCTTGCCTTAACGAGTCATTTACCCTCGCTTTTATCTCTCTCTCCTCACTTCTCTGAGACATATACTGTATAGGTCAGGTCAGGTCAGGTCAGGACTATAAATTGTCACCAAAAAGTATATCCCCTTGTTGACCAGTGACCTACAGCACTCCTCATCCCACACCTGTTCCACACCTGTTCTACACCTGTTCTACACCCCACCCACACACCACCCACACCCACCCACCCACACACACCCACCCACCCACACCCACCCACACCCACCCACCCACACCCACCCACCCACACCACCCACACCACCCACACACCACTCCCACACACCACTCCCCACTCGGTCGTGAACAGTGTCGCTGAACTGTACAGTGAGCTCATCGGGAATGGTCGGAAACCAGCGATGTATGGGAGAAGTTTGAAACGTGTATGTAGAAAAAGGAAATGGAATAGAGGAAAAAGCGAGGGTTAAAACGGAGGAAAGCAGCAAAGTAGAAGGATGATGTTGAGGGTGGAGTAAGGAAAAAGTTAGTGATCGAGTGTCAGATTGAGTGTTTTTAAGCGTTTGGGGTCAGCAAAACAATGGGAGAGCCATGCAGGGCGGAGGTGCACAGTCGGTAAAATATTAGTTGAACGTTTGGCCGAGGGAAAAAAACCAAAATAAAAACAAATACAGAATCAGAAAACAACGCAAGGAGGAGTTACTGAGAAAGAAATTGAAAACAAAATAAAAGAATGACTTGGAGGAGGATTGTAATATCAGGAGTGGAAGTAGAGACTTAGAGGGAAGTGAACATAAAGTCTGTAGATAATAGTAAAAATGTAGCAAGACTAAGAGAGGAAGGGAGAGAAATTGTATATGTGAGTTATTTCGAATGTAAAAAAAAAACAAGATTTATTTCCCACGAGAGATAATGCAAGTAAAGACAGTAAAGAAACGTGTATAATTCCTGTTGGTTGAGAGAGAGAGACACAGTGTGAATCATTAACCCATCCAACTATGTAGTAGAAATATTTGGGTTACACTTCTATGCCGAAACTTTCATTAACATCCATACAAGTTTATTCAAGTTATCTCATTTAACAAAAAAAAAAAATACCTGAATGGACGGACGGACGGACTTAAAAAAAAACAGGGACGAACTAACCAATACTATCTTCCTGTCTCTAACTGCTGGCTACCAAGGAGACAGGGAGAGAAAAGGAGAGACAGGGAGAATATATGACACCCTAATGCACCATACGTAAGAGCAGGTATTGTAGGGTGGTAGGAGAGAGAGAGAGAGGGGGGGGGGGATACACTATACTATACCATGAAACAATTATTTAATACTATAGCTAGTTATTATAAAGGACAACTATATTGTTTAAGAAGAGGTAATTCACATCATATATCACGAAAGTTGTGTTAATAAAAGATGCGGTAGTGCGGAAGACCAACATCTGAAGTGTAATTTGAATTGGCTAAGAGAGTTTCATCTGGGAGCCAAAATTGTGTGGGGTGTGATTGTTTCTGCGGAATGTTACTTGTAAAACCCTCGGGGGGAAAATAAAAACAGCAGGTCACACTCTGATGGCGGAAACATATTCAGGGTTTAGTTGGTTTACAAAAGTCGTGGTGTTGTGATGAGTAAGGAAAAACGATTAATAAAATTTTGGTTTAGTGGTTTATGAAGATCTTATTGTGATGAATAAGGATGAACAATAAATCAGGTTTTGGTTTAGTGGTTTATGAAGCTCAGTATTCTGATTACTATATGGTTTAAGAAACGTCTCGTTGTTGTGAATCATAACAAGAAAAATTAATTATTATTAATAGTTTAGGTTTAGCATTATACCGGAGTGTGTTAACGTCACAGTGGGTGTCGGATACGTTAATATACATACAAGACAAACCTTTGCAGTGGAATATAATGAAACCAGTAAGATAAATCATTAAACTTGAAGACATAAATTTACGTAGACGAAGACACCGTTTCCTGAGGACACAGAACCTTACACAAGACATCGAACCCACAGAACCTTACAGAAGAATACACAGAACCTTACAGAAGAAGACACAGAACCTTACAGAAGATCAAGGTCATTTGGAGGTCAGAGAGAGAGAGAGAGAGATGCATCTGGCCGTTTTACCTCAGTGATGAAGGGAAGAGGCACTACATAATCCATTGTGGCGTGGGTGATGGACGTGACATGTGTACGGTATATTTGTGTTTGGGTTAAAAATGTGTGAGACGTGTTGCAGTACAGGAGATATAATCATTGTAGGTATTCTGTAGTTCAGGGAGTAGTTGCCATAAATCAGTGTAGTGGAGGTAATTATTGGGTAGACGATGTACTGTTATACTTAAAACACTGATATTTCATAATCCATAGAACGTAAATCATTTGAAATATTATATTGACGTTAATATGTTACTCTGTTCTTAACTATTATTGCCCATTTATTTATTTATTTATTATTTTTAACTTGTCACTTTTGGGAAGATGAGACCGTGTTATTTTTGGGAATAAAATGATATTGTGAGTTACTGGCCACTTGGTGTTGGGATGATCAGAGGATTTATGTCTGCCTCACCAAGGGCAGGTCCTCGGGGCCAACTACACAAGATAATGCAAATGTGAACGCTTGTTGTCTTTGCTGATAAGCTAAGAGACATGCTTGCTTCCTCTAGTTTTAAGAGGCTTAATACAGTTTATTATACTTTGTATGAGTTGCTTGTTTTGCTTTAAACTTATGTGAGAGCTTTTTATTGACCTCAGTACTGTACAGGATACAATATAGTAGCAATACTGATGTTGGTTTTCTCTTTACAGGCTGCCGGAGGAACACAGTGGGTATGACCGTTCTAGTCATTTCTATGAAGGCAGGCGAGATGAAGGGCTTGGTTACAACGGTCCCGGAGTTGGCCCTCCCGGAATGCGCCGTGCCTACCCTAATGATCGGGAACAGGACTTCCCGAGCAGAGGTCGGTTGCGGCCTTACACGAGAGGACCCTATGGTGGAGGACGCCCCGATCAGGGGGACTACCAATGGGGTAATACCCAGTATCGTTACCTTCATCAAGACCCTTACGTGGAGGAAAAGGTGGTGGTACGGAGAGGAGCCGTGCCACCCGCCTCGGCTTCTCCGCCTCCCCTCCCTCGTCCTGCTGCACCCCGGCCCTCGAGGATTCACACCGGAAGTAGCAGTATGAACAAAAGGCGTGGACCCGCTAGCAGATCTGGGTCTGAATCCCGGTCGACAAGTAGAAGCAGCAGTAGCAGCAGTAGTAGTAGTAGCAGTAGCCGATCCACTTCCAGCAGCTCGAGATCACCATCACCGAGACGAATAAGTGTTGGAGGTATATCAAGTGGAGCGCTCCTCACTCCCGGTGGTGGAGGACTCGACTCTCCCCCAGAAGAGAAGAGACCACTAGCTATCTGTGTTAGAAATCTTCCACCTTGGTCCACAGGTAAAGCCTATGGTACTATACACACTGTTAAATTATTGTTCTTTTATTTGACATTATTGACATTAATGATCTCAAAAGTCTCATGTGATTAATTGATGCAGAAAGTCCAACAAACGTAACCAGTAAAGTTTGACTACTCGGTAACATTTAACTATCATACAACTTCAGAAACATCGTTGCGGGAGGGATTGTTCCATGACTACAAGAAACATGGAAAGGTAATGGCTGTACGCTTGCTGGGCACTGGCAATGACCGCTTTGCTGTTGTCTGCTTTAAGAAGCCGGAGGATGCAGAGAAGGCTCTCGACGCCTCACGAGAAAAACTTTTTTTTGGTGTCAAAATCCAGGTGAGTTTGTTGTAACCTCCTGCTCTCTTCTGCCCCAGGACTCTCATCTGAAACAGTAAGGAAGTACTTAGTAAGTTTATTGTTTTAGCCCATCATTGTCATCACACACGACACTGCCAGTAACATTGACCAGAGTTTATTGTTTTAGCCCAGGCATGGGCAACCTTTCCTCAGTCATGGGCCGCATTACGATTTAGGTATTTTTCTGTGGGCCAACCCACCAAACTTTATATCCTACCAAACCCAAAAGTAGTGTTAATATTGTATTAGCACGGACAGTGAAGCAGTTTATCATCACATCCACCTTAATATATTTTCAGTTTACAATCACAATCTTTTTCCCATTTATGAAACAAATCAATCATAATAAATTTTTAAGTAATAATGTTTCTTGGCATTTAACAGATGAGTAAATCAGTCTGTAAATACGTAGATATTTCCTACAGTTAGAGCGTTTTTCTTATGAGACAGCCACCAGCATAATGTCAACGTTATCTTGGTGCATGAGAACTACAGTAAAACAAACCATAGACACATCTACAGTATTTATTATACAATAGATAGAAAATAGAACTGACAGCCAGGCATGAATGATGAGGTACTGTGGAGAGAGACAGTCTGTCATCAAGGAAGAGACCTTAACCTTTGACCCTTGTGACCACCGCCCGTGACCCCACTTGGACTTACCCGACCTTAGTTAATTCCCAAGTGACCCACTGCCACATAGCAGCTTATCCATCAAACAGACCGAGCCGAACTTGACCTGAAAACTCACACAAGTTAAAATGTTTATTGTTGACTATTTATACTTGTTTCACTTATATTTTTTGTAGTTACTTACTCTTAGATGATGAAACAGTAATGAATTGTGTGTGAAGGTTATTCTTTTAATAAATATTGCTTTACTCATCATAAACTGGCCGCATCTACCTGAACTGAGGGCCACATTAAATAGAATGTCTCAATCACTCTGTGGGCCGTCCAAAGACAGGGTTTGGGCCACATGCAGCCCACTGACCGTAGCTTGCCCATGCCTGTTTTAGCCCATCATTGTCATCAGAAAAAATAAATTAAAAAAAAAGACCGCACTAGTCCAGTAACAGTGAGGAGAGCATTTGAAATTTAGAAAACTTTCATTGACAACATCTGGCGTGAACTTATTTAGTCAGAGTTCACTTTCACTGTTACATGCTTTATTATACAGTACACTATACATTTCCATGACTGACGTCGGGATGACACAGTTAGAATCTTACCCAGAAATATTTTTATCACTGAGAATTATCACACCCAATATACTGAAGACTGTAGCAAACACTCAAGTGGTTTATTGAAGGAGTCATGGAAGTCTACCTGTTACATACAATAACATTTAGAGTTAGGTTAGCTTAGCTTATAGACAAGGGAGATTCAGAGATAAAGGAGAATATATGTATTAATGTATTCAGTAGGGAAAATAAGTTACAGGATTGGGGGGAACTGCCTGAGGAAGATTGTGGGAATTTGAGAATATGGCCAACACGAATTCCTGTACAATGGCAGTGGTGTATGTAATGGATTTTCTCTCTAGATTCTGGTGGTGTGGGTCAAGGCTGAGAAGATTACATGGGTTTATTATTTAGACTTGTTTGATGGTTAAAACTCCTCCTGAAGACTTAGATATGGTTCTGCCTCTTGTATTTACCTAGGTACAGTACAACACACTTACACCATGTCACCCCCCCACACACACACAAACTACCATGCAACTGTGGGTCTTTTTCCAATGAACCTTACAAACTTTTAATATCGTATATATATTTTTTTCCCTGCTGCATAGAAGTTATAGATTGTTAGGCAGTTGTTTCTTTTAGTACTTCTTGTTGGTGACTACAAACGATTATACAAGACTCACAACATTTTAGTATAGGAACTGAGCTGAGTATTAAGTGGTGGACTTAGCAAAGGTGTAAGGCAGTGTTTAGTTACTGCCCACCTCACACATACTTACTGTAGAGTCATCCACTATTTACATGTTTCATAGACCACTTGAAACACTGACGGATAGGTAGGTAGATAGATACTGTAGGTGGGTAAGTAAGTAGGTAGATAGATGGATTGATAAAAAAAACTTTGAGGCAGACATTAGTAAAGAAGGAATGCTACCACAGGAGTGACATAATGTGATGGGTATACAGTACAGTAGAGTGGTAGACTTTCACTGTGTTTCTAGCTCTTCATTAGTGACATACCTGTGATGGGTATACAGTACAGTAGAGTGGTAGACTTTCACTGTGTTTCTAGCTCTTCATTAGTAATTCACCTGTATCCCTTCCCACCACTCTATGTTACATTCTGGAGGTACACTACACTACACTACACTATGGTATATACAGTGAAACCTTCATATAATGTACTTCTCTGTCTTCATGTAATTCATTAGATGGAGGTTTCACATCTCACGGACTCTAGATATAAGACTTTCATCTCTATATAGTTCATTAGATGGAGGTTTCACATCTCACGGACTCTAGATATAAGACTTTCATCTCTATATAGTTCATTAGATGGAGGTTTCACATCTCACGGACTCTAGATATAAGACTTTCATCTCTATATAGTTCATTAGATGGAGGTTTCACATCTCACGGACTCTAGATATAAGACTTTCATCTCTATATAGTTCATTAGATGGAGGTTTCACATCTCACGGACTCTAGATATAAGACTTTCATCTCTATATAGTTCATTAGATGGAGGTTTCACATCTCACGGACTCTAGATATAAGACTTTCATCTCTATATAGTTCATTAGATGGAGGTTTCACATCTCACGGACTCTAGATATAAGACTTTCATCTCTATATAGTTCATTAGATGGAGGTTTCACATCTCACGGACTCTAGATATAAGACTTTCATCTCTATATAGTTCATTAGATGGAGGTTTCACATCACACGGACTCTAGATATAAGACTTTCATCTCTATATAGTTCATTAGATGGAGGTTTCACATCTCACGGACTCTAGATATAAGACTTTCATCTCTATATAGTTCATTAGATGGAGGTTTCACATCTAATAGATCCTCGATGTAATGGACTTTCCTCTCCACATAGTCCGTTAAATAGAGGTTTCGCTGTACACACAACTCTCATCTATGACTTGAACGTGACACTAAGAAGGAGGCCTGGCAATATAGGTGTTGTTATCATGGAGGCAGGAGCAGCCAGATTTTACAGCACAGTACAATCTGAAGTATACCGTAGGATCTTTTTATTTTGATTTATTTATTTCTTGCATCGTTCATAAGCCTTGTATTTTGAATCCTTCCATAAATGAACAATGTTATTTTTGGAGACAGTATTGTTGTTTTATTTTGGCTTTATTGAATTCAACGCTTGAGCATGATACCGCGGCACTGTGCTTCTACGGCTTTTTTACGTGTGAGTTGAAATTGGTTATATAATTGTGATTGATATATGGAATATTTAGTTGAATTCAGATACTGTGGTACAAGTTATAGTTCATAGGTGTCTACCAGTGTTTAATTCTCACTTATCGTAATTATGTTGGTGTGTTGTAGGTGGCGCCTCATGAAGGAGTCGAGCTGGATGAGAGTGAATGTAGAGCTTATGATATCGAAGTGGACGAGTACCACCCTAGAGCCACCCGCACCCTCTTCATCGGCAACTTGGAGAAGGAAGTCACCATCGAGGACCTCAAGAAACATTTTGAACAATTTGGTGATATAATTGTAAGTTTGCCCATAAGGTCGTTGAGTGATGTGTTAAGCTACCGTCGCTAATTATTTTATCGATGTAACGTGACTTCAGATTGAGATTTTCTGTGTGTAGTGTTGTCATAGTCGAATGGTTAAGATATTTCTCCCAATCAATGAGGTTAAGGTTTGATTCCTCCCTCAAGGCTGGTGTCACTTGGTTCTGTGCTCTGTTCTACTGTTAAAATTTGTTTATACGTCTGAATCTTGACATTACAGTAGATAGTCACAAGTTAAAATGAGCAAAAAGTTTAGTAAAGAATTATGAAAATTATATAAGGTAACTTCCTTGGTGTTAGTCATAAGTGATTACATTGACAGAGTCTTGAGACCTGTGTTTGACGTCTGTAACAAGTGTAGTGTTATTGTTCTTTTGTTGTCACACTTGTTTATTTAGTTTGGTCCTGGTAGTGAAAGTAAACAAAGAATATTATGGCCAGTATGGACACTTACTTGGCCAGTATGGACATTTACTTGGCCAGTATGGACACTTAATTGGCCAGTATGGACATTTTATTTACCATAGTGGAAGTTGTGTAGACAGTATTTGCCTTTTAGGTGTAGTACAGTAAATATTTTTTCCCTCACCTCTGATTATCTTTTACAGGAGATTGATATTAAGAAGCAAAATACATCAACTTTTGCCTTCTGCCAGTATTCAGACATCCGGTCAGTAGTGCGAGCCATGAGGCAGATGGACGGGGAACACCTCGGGACCAATCGTATTAAGTTGGGGTTTGGTAAATCAATGCCGACTCGTTGCGTCTGGATTGACGGCGTACCCGAGACAATGGCCGAGAAGCAGCTGTACGAGCAGTTCTTACGCTTTGGTCCCGTCATAAACACCATCATTGACCGGGAGAAAGGACATGCCCTCATCTTTTACGAGATTGTAAGTACTCTACTGTACTGTGCTTATGCCATGTAAATGATATACTGAATCCTGATCTGTACATTATGGTGACTCTAGCTTTAGTTAATGTTTTGTGCCGTTATAGTTCTCTTTATCTCATCATACTTTTGTGTACAGTAATTGGGGGGAGTAAGATAGGAATAGGTTGAGACATAAAAGGGGTGATGATTTCAACTTGGTAGATTTATGAAAGACAAATAGGGAGAGGAGACTGGGAGAAAGAAATACTAGCTTGAGTGGCAACAAATAGGAAGAAATGTTTAAATCCTTCACTATGGAGATGCCACTGTTAATATTTCACTTGACTAATGGTAGACGATTTCATTCAGCTCAGAGGGTCCATACACAAGGGGTTAAAATATCTGGGAGTACTGTAGATGTGTTAACAAATGAAGATATGTTTGGGAATGTAGCCGGCATGAAAATATGGGGGTGGTATATAGAAAGGAGTATATAAAGATGATAGAAATGGTGTGTTTGGGAGTAGAATGAGTTTAAGACAATGGAGGAAATAAAAAAAATACATATTAAGGAGTGTGTGGGAGTGGAAGAAGAGTCATGGGAAAGTGGATTTTGGAGATGAAGGATGAGCTGGAAGTCTGTCTGTCTGTCTGTGTGGGTGGAGTGGACAGCCAGGAAGCAGCAGTAGTAGCGTAGGTTAATGATAAGAGACCGAGGCAACTAGTGGTTTATGGAGGGAGGGGGACGGGGATGTTACAGCAGTTGTGAGAGAGTGTGAGTTGTGTTTTGGTTACCATGGAGTAAAGGTCTTCAAGGTTGGTTATTGAGTAAACATCATCTCACGGGTTCCTTTTATTTATTTTATATTATTTTTTTTGTACAGGAGAAGTATGCCTCTAGTGCAGTCATGGAAATGCGTGGACGGATGCTGAATGGCAGAAAGATCCAGATCGACTTTGCCTCTCGAGAATGCCAAGCTGCCTTCTTTGAACATCTGGCGAAGCAGGGCCATCCAGTGCCAACAGACCGGCCCTGGGAGCGACGAGAACTGGAAAAGTAAGATTTGTGTTGCTTGTCATTTGTGCCTGAAAGTTGCATTGGTTCTGTACATCCTAAGGTGATCTCTCTCTCTCTCTTTCTCTGTCTCATTGTTGCTGACTTTCTCTCATTGTGGTTGCCGGACTGGTTTATATCTTAGATACCCTGTAATTATAAGATCCTGCAGATAAGAAAGTTTGAAAGAAAATACAATTGGCATCATCACATTTTAAATAATATAGACAAGAACTTCCTGTGTTATTGCTAAAGGCTCCCTGATTTATACGGAAACATTCCATCGTATTATCAGGTAATTTGAATAACGAGTCGAGTTTTCATTACAGTATTATACCTGGATTTAAATACCGTATAGAATTTGTCTATCCAAAGAAAATACAAGATTCTGTATGATCTAAGCCTTAATTGATACAGCTACTTCTCGACTTACGACATACTCGACCTACAGCCACCTGGACATATGACCGCCTCAGTCGTACCAAAATTTTGTCGAATTACGTATTTAAGACTCCCGACGTTAGTGATTGTGCTGTGTACTGACAAAATTTTCGTTTGTAATTCACTTAAAAATGGCTGGCAAGCTTAAAAGTGAGAGTTTTGTGGCGCTGAGAAGAAAAAGAGACACCCATTTCAGATTTTCTGTGTATTATTTAAGCATTTTCGACTTACGACCTGGATTTGGGTCCCTAACCCCGTCGTAAGTCGAGGAGCTGCTGTAATTATATTCTCTTAAAGTGTTCATAAACAGTTCGACAGTTGTTGTAGTTATGTTAAGGTTGACCTCAAACTGTGTGGTATCCCACTCAGTATATACAGTATGGTAGATAGCTTGGCCTCTGTGATGTTGGGTTAAGTGTACTAATGTGTCGTCTAACTTGACCTTAATAATGTCTGTTAGTTTGTAATACACTGGGGTTTAAAGCGTTAGTTTAGCGTGTGGTTAGTAATTATTTTGGTCTTGAGGTGTCGTATAGTTTTAAGTTCGGTTGTGTCGGGTGTCGTATAGTTTTAAGTTCGGTTGTGTCGGGTGTCGTATAGTTTTAAGTTCGGTTGTGTCGGGTGTCGTATAGTTTTAAGTTCGGTTGTGTCGGGTGTCGTATAGTTTTAAGTTCGGTTGTGAAGTGTCGGGTGTCGTATAGTTTAAGTTTAGTGAATATACTAGGTTCACATGTTAATTGATGATGAATTAACTGGTAGACTTGAACATTTATGAAAAAGGAGACTATAGTGTGGCCAAGTACAGTACTGGGGCCGAGGTACAGGGGCCGAGTACAGTACAGGGGCTGAGGTACAGTGGCCAAGAACAGTAGCTACAGAACAGGTGTATGTGGCTGTACAGTAGTGTTAATACCCTCCTGAACTTACCATAATGACTGTTAAGTAAGGTGACCACGGCAGCTGACAGAACTACATTGTGGTCCTGTTAAGAGAGAGAGAGGATGGTATAGGAACAGTATTGAAAGGTTTGTTGACAGTATCTAACAGACCTCCAGTAAATCAGTGTCATTAAAGGTGAATTCTGTTAATTTTCTCATTTTTCTGTACTTATATCTGTCATGTCTGCAAAATTTGTTGTCCCCATATTTTGGGAGGTGATAAAGGACTTTTATATGTACCTGGGACAGTCTGCATGAACCTTTACAGTGTGTGGATGGTTCATATGATAGTCAAATTAGCAAGTTTCAGGTAACTACTGTACTCCAGGAATTAACATTGCTGTCGCATGGATTAAATAAAAAGTTGATACTTGAAAATATGGCGGTGATTAACCTTCAATAGGTCAGAGGTCATGGTCATAGATAAACTGTTAATATTTTACTGCGGGAAACATAAACACCTATAAATTATTCCCGTGATTATCAACATTAGTCGCTTACATTAAACATTAGTGGTGTTGTATGGAGCATGAGTATGTAAAGTTATACGCCATTACAAACCTTAATATATATTTACACTGAATATAATGATTTGTGCGGCCATTATCAGTGGAAGTTAGCTGTAGGAACGGTGGCCTGAATATAAAGACCATGTATATTTCATCTCTAACAGTTTTGTGACAGGGTATTAGGTTAGGTTAAGTTAAATTAGCTTACTGTAAGTTAAGATAGGTTAGGTTAAATTTGGTTAGGTTAGGTTTACAGTGAACCGATGATGTAAATATCCTAGACCCAAAAGACACATTCACCTCCCAGTACAATGGTTGATGACCTGTATGGGCCTCGTTGGCTCATACTAAAGATTGCAAAATAACTGTAAAATGATAATAATGATGATGATGATGATGAGAATGATGAAGAAATTGTCATATACATTGTGAATTTCTTGTGCTTTCTTTACATTTACGGTAGATTTGCATTATGTATGGATCGAGAGTATCAACGGTCGTCCTTACCGGTTCGTATAATATTCACTCCTCATTTCTCCCTTTTTTTTTACCCCATAAAGGGAGCCGGGGCGCTACGAGGGCACGACCAACAGATACAGTCGATATGAACGTACAAGAAGAGAAGGGGCCCCGTTCCCCGCCAGACCCACGGCCAACAACAGAGCGGCTCCCTACAACTCCACCGGTACCCGATCGCGAGGCAGATACGACAACTACGACGAGTTCCCCCCAGTGTGAGTTACAAGGATGAGATAATGTGTGAAGCCTTTGTGGTTGTTATGGTACAGGAGGCTAGATAGGTCTCTGTGGTAGTTAGAAATATTGTTATGCGTCTTGTTCTACCCACAGTAAATGTTGGTGAATGGTTTCCACTTCCAACATTTACTGCAGCCATTTACAATATTTAATGTGAGTAGAACAATGTAGGTGTAACAGGGATTATGATACTGTAGTGAAGGTATGACAGGGTAGGTATAACAGGGGTAACAGGTATACAGGTATACAGGTATAGGTATAACAAGGTATGACAGGGTAGGTATAACAAGGAACAACTATTGGTGGTGCAGAGGTACTTTTCTAACACCCTGTATCATGCCTGTCTGCCTCACCCTGTTTACCAAGTGTATGTATCCTGTCGACCGTACAGTACAAGTCTTCATCTTGGACTTGTGATGCGAAAACCTTAGTAATGCTGTGGACAGTTTAGCAGAGGACTCACGGCTTGTGTGTTCACCTCACGGGTTTTATTGTACTGTACCATTAAGTTGTCAAGACGGTGTGACTCGGCCTCACCAAATTGCTTCAGGTTTATCACACAAGTAGTTCAGGATTTAATGAAGAACAAAGTCTGCTTAGTTTTGGGAGGGCAATTGTAAATATTTCTGATATTAAAGCCAAAGAAGAAAAAAAAACACAGTTGTCCTGAGCTTAATGCACACTGGAAAATATATTGTCCAAAGATGTCATACCTGTTGAGGGCAAAGTTGATCAGTGTAAGTGTTAACAGTATTAGATCACAAATAATAAAGCACATCATGGGTGTTGTTTTTTAATGTCAAGGTCTGAATTTTTAGTGTTAGACACATACTGTTGTCCAGGGTGTAGGGCACTCCTTGATAACACTATTGAAACATTTAGTTTATAAGGTAACTTAAACCAAAAATATGATTAAATATTAGAGTAGATGGAGGGTTATCTGGCACCCAAACCATCTGAAACTGAGAAGACAAAATTATCATATTTTTTATTGAAGTAAATCCGAGAGGCACGAGTTATTTGTTTTATTTTTGTTGTTGATATATATGTGTGTGTATATAAATTATTTATTATTTGTGGAATTGACTATTTTATTTTTACAGAAGGAGTTATGATGAATTCAGTCAAGGAAGTGGTGCATCCTATGAAGACTCTTATGAACGGGAACTTCGTGAGTATGCTGGGAGTCAGAGGTATGGTGAGGGAGTTGGCAGTGGAGGTGGTAGTAGTAGTGGAGCTGGAGGCAGCAGGCGACACAGCTTTAGTCCTGCGTGTCGGCGGGACGATCCCTCGCCGGGCTCACAGCGGGCTCATTCGAGAGATCGCAGCAGTTTGAGCCCTCCGGCCCGCGTGCCGTACGAGGATGGTGAAACTGGCGGTCGTCGTACCGCCCGACGCTCCACTAGTGATCACGACAGCTTTCACAGTCAGTCTCCTCCCGGGTCTCGTGCTGCCTCTCCACCGCCGCCGCCACGTCCCACAAAAGGCAATTCGGGGGTTTCCTCTCGTTTGGCTCCAAGATCTCCGGGAACGCCAATAGCCGCGTCGCCGTCGCGCGAAGTAACGCTACTGGACGATCGTTCCCTCCCGGATCCTCGCGACTACAGAAGACGTACAAACGACCTCAAAGATCTCGTCGTACGCGTCAGTGACGTACGTCGTCCGCCTCCTGCACCGCCGGAGTCGCCCCACCGGACGGGCACCCATCGACTTCATCGTTCATCTCACACCGAGGACGGGGAGGACGTAGTGAGTAGCAGCAGCGGGGGTGCAGGCGGTCCACAGGATCCCAGACTCGTTCACCGCCGAAGTGCTGACGATCCGTCGTCATCGGGGGACGAGCGGCCGCCCGATCCCGAACGACCTCCTAAGAAACCACGTTATAATGAAGTCAATTACGAGAAGATAGTGAGTGTAAAACGGCTGGCCGATAGTAGTGATTCCATACCAAATTTCCGACGACCGCACGACGCTCGCAGAGACAGTCGATTGGTGAGACGCAGCGGGGAAACCTTGCCGCCGCCGCCACGTCACACCGAGGAAGTTCTCCATGATCCACGCTATCGCAGACCTTCTATATCGGACTCTGTTGACGACGTACATTGGCGACGTGACGCCGTTCATGTGTCTTCCTCGTGTGATGCAGCTGCAGACCATAGTGACACCAGTCCTCCTGGTACCCCCGTCCGTGATGAGAGAGATGACTCCTCAGACCCTGTACGTCACACTTTACACCACCACCACCCTCACCATCATAATCATCACCATCATCACCACAGAGAACGGTACCACACTGTCCCTCTTTCTCTGCCATTACCAAGGTTTGCACAGCAAGTTCGGGCCCATCTGTCGCCGCGTGCTGCATCAACATCTCCCAAAGGTGCCAGTCTCTTGCGGTCTCCTCCATTCAGCGGTGGAGCGAACGTAGGCGTACGAGGAGACTCCCGAGAAGTGGCCGGAGCCGTGATGGACACGCCACTGTCGCCCGGTCCACGTGACAGTCCCTCAGACTCTGAAGAATCCCCTTTGCCTTCACCATGTAGTCCTTCTATTGATCTAGAACAGCGGATACGTGCGCTAGATGAGAAGTATGAAAAATGGTCTGGGTCATCAAGGGTAGTGGGAAACAGCTTAACATCAAATGCAAATGAAATTGTGAATGATAGTGGGTGTAGCTCTGGAGGTAGTGGGAATAAAAATGCACGATTACCAAGAATACTCGATCTCGAGGAGCTGCGGTCACAGCCGTCCGATATTGTTAAATCCCTTCTTTCAAAAAGATCAGTCTTTGACGAGGATAGCAAACGACTGGAAAATGTCGGTGATAAATACGAACCCAAGCCATTCACTGCAGCTTCACGTACTACCAGAGCTGGAAGTCTCTTGCCGAGTCCACCGTTGGTCAACACGCACGTCCCACGCCTTCCTGCTACCCCACCTGCTGTGCCCTCTGCTACACCTATCAGTAGCCTGCCAGGTGTTAGACTATCGAGTCATCAGACACAGCAACAACAACCCATTACTTCAAGTCCTTCACAAGTTCCTAGGGTGTTTGTTTCTGTCCCGCAGGTCAGTAAGTCTCAGGGATTGTCACCGCTGCATAGACCTGCAGTTTCCCAGGCAGTACGCCCACCTGCCTCCAGCCCTGGCTTTAGTCCCGGTGTCAGTCCTGGTGTCAGTCCTGCCCATCCACCACACATGTCTCCAGTAACACCTGTAAGCCCAGCACCGCCCCTTACCACCACCTCTTCCATTGCTACCGCCACCAATACTACCTCAGCTGCCACGCCACTTAGACGCACCCCTTTGCCGCCCCGTGCAGTGCGTCTTGACTTGCCAGTTATCACAGGAGATGTGGGGGAGGTCTCGGGGGGAGGGTCATCGAGTGGAGTGGTTACTGTCGTTGCCGACACTCGCGTTACGGGCGTAGTGTCGGTAACGCAGTCGGTGTCGAGCAGCAAGTCGGTGCTGACCACTACCACCAGCGTCCTGCAGCCGTTGTCCAGCCCCGCTGCTGCGTGGTCTGCTGCGGGAGAATCTGCACCGCATAATGTACCTGAGAGGAGTGGCAGTCATGCTCTCCCATTATTAGTAAAAGAAGAGCCTCCAATGGAAGAGGCAGGGGACCCTATCCTTCAGAGAATAAAATGTGATCAACCCAGCTTAGAGGATACTAAAACCAAAGAGTTTGTGATGGAAGTTAGTGAATGCAAGGAAACAGTTTTGTCTGTTGCTGCAGAAGACTTGAACACCCATCTGAAGACAGGACCACTCAAGATAGAGGCTATTAAAACAGAAAATATAAAAGTGGAACCGTTTAAATCAGAAAATAACAAGACCGAGGTAATTAAAGTGGAGAATGTCAAGCTAGAAAATGTAAAAAGTGAAACAAATAACAAGGAAGTGACCAATAACCACAAACGAAGACACAGTAGCGTTGACAGCGACCCTCGTTATAAGGGGGATGGAAAATCCCTCGAACCCGATTCTAAACGATTGAGATACGACGGCGAAGAGGAAAAAATTCTCAGAGAAAAGGTGGGCAAAGAGCGACGGGACTCCCGAGATGCCCGGGAGAGTAAAAAGAGTGACCATAATAAGAAGAGTAGGTGTTGTCGAAGGGACGAAAGTCACGACGACAAAATCAACAACAGAACTTTTGACTTGTTGGAAACTAAACAGAAAAGGAAAACGTACGAGAATAAACTAGACGAGAAAAAGGAAGACGGTCATAAAAAGGAAGAGAAGAAAGAGAGAAAGAAAGACAAATTAGAGGAAAAGTTTCACGACAGTAAAGCGGAAATTCGTACGCTGGAAAAAGTCTGCGAGAAAAAAAGTGAGGACAGAAAGGACGACAAGAAAGAAGAGAAGAGAGAAGAACGCAGGGAAGACAAGAAAGAAGAGAAGCACGAGGAAAAGAAAGACGAGAAGAAAGAAGAAAGGAAAGAGAGCGTTCGGGAGGAAAAAGTCAAGAATGAGGGAGAGAAGAGAAGACACAGTGAAGACAAGAGAACAGAACCACGGGACCAGAAGCATAAAGAGAAAAAAGAGAAATCGAAGGACAGACTCAAGAGCTCTTCCACATCATCGCGGTACGACAAGGAGGCGGAGAAGGAACGGATCCGAGAAAAAGAGAAGGAAAAGGAGAGAGATAGAGAACGTGAGAAAGAAGAAGAAAAAGAGAGGGAGAGAGAAAAGACCCTGGAGAAAGAGCGAGAGAAGGATAGAGAAAAGGTGTCGGAGAAGGAGAAGTGTTTGGAAAAGGAAAGAGAGAGAGAAAAGGCTCTTGAGAGGGAGAGAGAAAAGGCTCTTGAGAGGGAGAGAGAAAAGGCTCTTGAGAGGGAGAGAGAAAAGGCTCTTGAGAGGGAGAGAGAAAAGGCTCTTGAGAGGGAGAGAGAAAAGGCTCCTGATAGGGAGAGAGAAAAGGCTCTTGAGAGGGAGAGAGAAAGAGAAAAAGCACTTGAAAGAGAAAAGGCACTTGAAAGAGATAGAGAAAAACTCCTTGAGAGAGAAAGGGAGAAAGCTCATGACAGGGAGAGAGAAAAGGCTCTCGAGAGGGAACGAGAAAAGGCAATTGAAAGAGACAAAGCCGTTGACAAGGAAAGAGAAAAAGCTCTGGAGAAGGAGAGAAAAAAGGCCAATGAAAAAGAGAGAGAAAAGGCTGCAGAAAAGGACAAAGTATTGGAGAAGGAGAGAGATAAAACTGTAGACAAAGACAGAGAACGGGAGAAAGACAAGGAGAAGATCCGCATCAATGACAGATCCCGTGAACGAGACAAAGAAAGACTAGGAAGAATCAACCATCGCGATAATGCCGAGAGAACCGAGAGCAGACGAGACGGTCGCCATAACAACGACCATCGCCATAATGACAAGCGAAGAGACTCTCGGCACGAAGCGACGGTCAGGCATCACCACAGATCGTACGACGCGTCCGACGCGAACGACGCCTCAAAGAACAAGCTCCGTAAGACTCGCCTCCTGGAAACCGACGAAGACGAGATCCCAGAGCTGAATAAAATAACTACTGTCCATTATTCCAGCAGTGAGGATACCATAACACTCAATCACGATTCTTGTATACCTCGTACGGAAGATTCCATTCATCGAACGGAAAAACCCGAAGCGTGCGGGGAGTCGGAAGAGAGGAGAGGGGAGCGGCTGCGTGATGGTCGACGTAGGAAGCACGATTCTGGCAAGAGTGATGGAGAGGCACGGTTGAAAGCTACTTCTTGTAGAGTTAGGACTAATCCTCCTCAACCAGCTCGAATTAAAGGTCGCAACGATTCCCTCGACCCTCAGTTACCCGCCAGCGACGTAGCAACTTCAGAAGACGAGGTGACGCGGGCCAAAGTGGCACCGATATCCCGACGCAACAGCACAAGCAATAAATCACACCAACAACACATAAGAATAGGGATGACCACAACTCAGAAAAACAAACATGGTAATAAAACTAAGTCAATATTTGATCCAGAAAGTGATTCTTGTGATAGTTTGTCTGGCTCTGGTGGGGAGGCAGAAGATGGGGAGGAGGAAGAGATTCCTAAAAAACACTCCATATTTGACATTCCTGCCGACGACGGTAAATTTGACATGTACGATAAGGTGAAGGCAAGACGACTAAAACGGCAACAGAAACAGGAGGAAGAGAGAAGACAGCAAGAAATAAAACAGTTGCAGATGCAGAAGTATCGTCAACACCAGCGGGCCAGGAAGGAGAAGAAAGCGACCCCTCCCATTCACTCCGACATCTCGGATTCTGACGAAGAGGAAGACGCCAGCGGTCGAGGACACAAGCGCATACACAATCGGCAGACCAGCTCGGACGACGACGCTCTTCGTAAACGCCGACCCACGCATCTAACCTCGGATGAGTCGGATGATGACATGTGCTTGAGGCAAGACAAGAAGAAATTATCATCACTAACCGGCTGTAAAAAGGAAGTAAAACATAAAGCCAAAAATATGATTGTATCTGATGTTACCACTGATGATGAAGTGGTCATAAACTCTCCCAGTTATCCTTCCACTATTAGACTAAATAGTATTCCCGACGGTGCCGAATCCGGAGACAACGTCAGAAGTCTCGGCGATCATCTCTTTATTGATTCGGATACGGAGAGCGATGCACACGTTAAAAGACCGAGCAAACCGATGAGACAACTCGAGTCGGAGAGCGAAGTGTCGGATGTTTCGTCCCACACTAAACCGCCCAAACCAGCAGCTAGAGTAAAAGTTCGGGACAAAGAGCGAAAACCGAGTCGGATTCGGGAGAAACCCAAGAAAGGCGTCAGTATCAGTAAAGAAATTATCACAACTTCGGAGGACAGCGATGCAGCCGTACCCTCGGAAGATTCTCGTCCGATCCGCCCAAAAGTAAAAGCCGAAGCGGTTGAAGTACGACAAGAAAAGCCCGTCTTACAGCCACAGCGGGAGAGAAAACGAACGGGCGACGGAGGAGTCACCAGAGATAAGATATCCTCTAAGAAAGACGAGAGAATGGAGATCATATTTGGTCATATATCGGACGACTCCGACGCGACCCCAAACTTGCCGTGTGTTTGTCCCGCTTCTGCCACGTCAAGAAGAAAGGGATCTGCTTCATCGGGAACGTCTACAGCGCCGCCACCTCTATCTCCCGCGCCGACTCGACTCACCGTGTGCGAAGTGTACGATACCGACTCTGACGACACGCAGATACCGCCTGCGTCGAGACACGGCCACGTTCGAGCTAAGCAGACGTCCCAAGATGCTTCGTGGTTAGAATCGAGGAGTGAAATTAAGATCGAAAATAAAATTAAACCCGAGTGTAGGATCGAAGAACGACGAAGTTTGAAAAAAGAGAAATCTCGACGTGAGCCGCCTCCATCCTCAGAGGTTGTCAGACCAATGTCAGAATCAGGAAAAAGTAGTATTAGTAGTAGCAGCACAAGTACCAATAACATAGCTAGTACTAGTACCAATGCTAATAATAGTACAATTGATGAAGTGTCTCAGCCGTATATGCGACAGTTAACTGAAGTAATAAAGGAAGAGCCCGAGTATCGTGACTCCGAAACCAGCGTCACCGTAGATACGTTTCGCATCAACGACGAAGATCCGGGCGAGCAGCGGGACTCTCGTAAGGATAAGAAAAGAAAGAAAAGACAGAAGAGAGAAAAAGATTGCAGTCGCGGTCGCCGTCATCATCGTCATCCCGGCGACGACCACATTCCCGAACATCAGAACGATCGCCACAGTATTGACCATTCCTCTTTGTTGCACATAGATACTGCTTCCCCACACAGCCCACATGAACTATCTTCCCCTTGCATGCTTAGTCCTCAGGATAAAATGATGGTGGGTCATGGTGCGCCAACTGCAGTCAGTCCACATAGTCCACATGTGATGCCCCAACCTCCAGTGTCAGTATGCAACTCCTCTGATACCTGTACACCTCACAGTCCCCTCGAACCACCGCCTCTTCAGAGTCCACCCGCACGCACCCTTTCTCGGGACTCTCGGCAATCTATCGAGTCCAGGGAAAGTAACGAATCGTCAGAAGTTAAGGGAGGCCGTAGTCCACATCCACTCGCTGCTCTTCCTCCAGATGCAGCAGAGTCAGCAGTACAGTCTCTCACATCCCACGTACCGGCTTCATCACCCTCCACAGCACACGAGCCAATATTTGAGGATATAACGGAAGCATCCAATCTTAGTGCTCCAGATACCTCTGTTGATAACAATGCAGCTACTAGTGGAAGTGGTTCAGGAAAAGCTTCAAGAGCTGTCATTTCTCAAGAAGAGACTCTCAATGCAGTAGCAGGACTTCTAGCATGTTATGATGAGTACAGTGATGATGCTGGCGTACAGCCGGCAGTTGAAGAAACACTTATGCCTCCTGACACTTCTGCAGCTGCTGAGGATGCTTTTGAAGAAGCTCAAAAAGCTGCCCAAATGCTGCAGTGTGAAATGCCCGGGGAAAGAGAGGACGCGTGGCCACAGCAGCCGCCGCACAACCCACCGTCTACTCCTGTCAAAGTTCCTGAAGAACCTGATACCCAACCGGTGGCACCACAGGAGGAAGAGGAAGAGGAAGAACATGAACCCCAAACTGAAGATAGAAGATTTTCACAGGTTCCACCTGACAGTCCAGCATCTATGCAGTCAGAACCTGAATTACAAATCGATGAAGACCAACCTGACCCCACTGATGATCTAGATTCATCCACATTAACTCCAGAGGAGCAGAAGGCACATGCCCATTCTCAAGATGAAGAAAATGATGTATCAACTCGGGACTCTTCGTGGTCTAGTGCTGCTGAAAAATCAGGTACTACAGAATCTTCATCAACACCAGTCATATCAGGAGATGAAGTTCATAGTGATGAAACAAACCAGAAAGTAGAACAAGCAGAAAAGACAGTTGTGACACACCAACAAAAATCTGAAAGTCCCACCACAGCAGTAGCAAGTCCGCCCTCTGGAACTCTCCCGGAAAAGGTTAACCAACCCGAAATGCCTGCTCAGACATCACAGCCAGCAGATACTCTTAGCACTGGGACAGCTTGTGTGAAGCCCACAACATCATCTGTAAAAACAGCCTCTGCAGTACCTTCACTTCCTACAAAACACCCAGCATTGCCTGTAAAGTGTTCACCAGCTCTCGTAAAACCCACATCCGTTTCAGAGAAATGTACAGTAACTCCTGTAAAACCCACAACAGCCTCAGAAGAACCTAACTTGGATCTTGTAAAGTCTGATTCACAACCTCTGAAAAGCTCATGTTCTATAACAGATACTCCTGTGACAACAACCCCAACAACACACTCATTAGAAGTCAGTTCAAAACATACAGTAAACACAACAGTCTCCTCCTCACCTCAGTCTCATGCTGTAGGGAACACTTTCAAGCCCAAACTAGATGGTAACCAGAAGTGCTCCTCAGACACCATGTCAAATTTATTGTCCAGCTCGCCTGTAACTCTTCCATCTTCAGTTCCTTCCTTAACAATAGCAAATTCTGTATCTGTAAATTCTGCCTGCACATCATTGTCATCTTCAACCTCTGTAGTGTCTAGTGTAACATCTTTAACAACTCCTGTTTCTGTCCCAGTGACCACTTCAGTATCTTCCCCTACTTCTATAACTCCCCCATCATCAGTATCAACTATAGAAATGATTCCAGCCTCCCTGCCTGTATCAACATCAGTCAACACTTCAGTTTCCATTCCAACTTCAATGCCTATGTCTACCTCTACAGCATCTTCAACTAGTAATACATTGTTCACTACCACTTCAGTTCATACTTCTACTCCTATATTGACCACCACACCTGTACACACATCTGTTTCATTGACGGCTCCCTCTCCTGCACAGCCCTCCACCTCACTACCTACTACTACTTCAGTTCTCAATACAAGTATGTCATCCACCACCACCACCACCACCACCTCCTCCTCTATATCTACTCTCACTTCAAATGCAAATCCCACTCCATTGTCTGTTGCTTCCTCAACACCAGTTCCAGTTTCTTTACCAAATACATCTTCAATTATGACAACAACTTCTTTTTCCACTCCCACTCACATCCCTGTTCCTGTTACTGGACCTGTTCCTCCCTCTGTTCCCATCCCAGCCACAGAGCCAAAGACTGCTACAGAGCCAATAGAAATTACTGACACAAAACTGAACATAAACAAAACAATAAAAGAAGAAACTACACCTGATGACAGTAAGGACGTGAAGCCTTTCAGTGTTGATGCATCAATATCCACTAGCATGTCCACCTTAGTTCCTGACACTAAAGCTGTTGATACAAAATGCAGTTTGGGTTCACAGGTACCAACTGATGTGAAAGGAAAAACAGAAACTGTATTGCCTGAAGAGGATAGTTCTTGTATGGAATCCAAACAAGGATTTGAGGGGATGGTTTCAGTTGATGGAACAACCACATCTGAAACAGTTAAAGTTGAAAGTGCCAGCAATCCAATGGCAGTTGAGCGTGCATTAGCTAATCTTCAGACAATTGTCAGCGAGACGGCAACACAACCCGACTTAGAGAGAGCTTCGCAACCAAATGCAGAAGAGTCTTCGTTGTGTGTGGAACAGAAGCCAAAGTCAGAAGTGATGCCTCCAAGACCATCAACACCACCTCAGCCACAAGATGATTTAGCCAAGTTAGAACAAGTTTGTTCCGAGATACAAAATCAGAATGAAGACATCCCAGTAGAAGACAAGTCTCTCGAGTCAAAAAGTGTTCCTCTGTCTGAAGAAATTACTAAAAATGATCCAAAAGTTCAAGAACGCACAGTTGTAGCGACTCGAGGCAGGGGGCGAGGACGTGGTCGACGAGGGGGTAGACGGGCTACCGAAGTTGCAGAGGAGACCTCTGGTACTGTGTTACCTATCACTCGCTCTGGTGCTGCAACACGTGGCAAGGGTCGAGGTCGAGGACGCCAGACTCGCAACAGTGAGAGTCAGAAGGATGTGCTACAGACAGACCTTCCTGTAAATCAAATTACCGACAAAACCTTACCAGAACCGAGACGAAGCAGCCGTACGAAACGTGCTCGACGTCACCCAGACATGGTAGATCACGAAGAAACGAGTGCACGTCGGCGCCGTGGTCGCGGCGGACGCATCAATCAAGCGGAAGACAGCCGGCCACTGCCAACACCAGCAGCCCCGGATGTATATGACTTCCATGAATCTGATGATGAAGATATCAACTTAGGTCTTGCCAAAACCAAAATAAAGAAGGAAGTGCCTCGATCTGTTGCGGGCAGAAGCCCAGTTAAGCCGGAGCCAGAAGAAATTCGTCGAGTAGAAAATGACGACATTCGTCCTATGGCACCAATTACTCGAAGATCGGGACGGCTTCGCGATAAGGCTAATGATGATGAGCCACAAGGTATTGGTGAAGAAGGAAACAGTAATGAATCAATTATTGTGTTGGAGAGTACAATTCCTTTACAGCCTCTACCTGTAACAACTACCTTACCTGTTACGCTGCCCACAACCGTTACATCTACAGTTACAGCTCTGTCCACCCGTGGCCGTGGACGTGGTAAACAGCGCGATGTCGACATCAGACGGGATCTTGACATCAGACGGGATCTTGACATCAGACGGGATCTTGACATCAGACGGGATCTCGACGTCAGGCGCGATCTCGATGTCAGGCGCGATGTCGACGTCAGGCGCGATGTTGACGTCAGGCGCGATGTCGACGTCAGGCGCGATGTCGACGTCAGGCGCGATGTCGACGTCAGGCGCGATGTCGACATTAGGCGCGATGTCGATGTCAGACGTGATGTCGACGTCAGACGGGATCTTGACGTTAGGCGCGATGTTGACGTCAGACGTGATGTCGACGTCAGACGGGATCTTGACGTCAGACGGGACCTTGACGTCAGGCGCGATGTTGATATTGACGAGGAATCGTCTGTGCGCAAGAGCCCACGCGGCCGACCACGCTCCTTTGACTCACAGTTGGAGACTGACAAGCCCATTTTGTGCACCCCTCAGACCATACCTTCAACAACAACCTCAGCAACAAGTGTTTCCACAATAGTGACCAGTGTAGTCACAACCAGTACAACCACCTCGGTGAATCCATCTGTAGAAGAACGAAAGTCTGAAGCAGAATTAGTAGATCCAGTAACTGGTGTTGTGACCAGAGTGAAAGTCTGTGAAGAGGGTCAGTATGTTACAGACAGTGGTGAAACAGCCATTCCTCCCACAGTACATTCTTTACCTACTGCAGACAGCCTCACTAAACAGCAAATTGTGTGTTCATCATCAGTTTGCACCAACAGTAATACAAGCCCTTGTGTAAGTTCTGTAGTTAGCACCAGCAATGTTGATGCTTCTCATTCAGCAACTCTTACCAGTAGATGTCGACCGGGTGTGACAATGACTGTCGCTAACAGCAGTAATATTGGTGTTCCGTTGATGAGTGCCGGTCGTGTTGGAGAGGTTAGCGTGGAACTGGTCACGAGGGTTCGCCCCCCACTTGCAACCCCCACACAAGTGTCAGCAAGTGTTCCTACTATGGTACCTACCATTTCTACTGCCATACCACCTACTATACCTTCTGTTTTGACTCCAACTCAAGTACCCCCTGTTCGTAATGCCATACCCGCTGTTGTAGCTTTAGGAGGAGCACCACGACCTGCTGTAACTGCACCTGTTTACATAACCAAACAAAAGCCTGTACAGCTGCAGCAACAACAAACACAGGTACAGCCAGTCCAACCACAGATATCCCAGCAACAACAGTTACAACAAAAGCAGGTGCAGCAGCATCAACAGCAGCAGCAACAACAACAACAACAGCCTCAACAACCACCACAAACAAAGGTACAGTACAGTCAAAACTAATAAAGAGCACCAGTTCTTTCTTTCTAAGTTGATTTTGATACAGAGTCAAGTTAGAAACACTTCTCTTAAGAAAAAAAACTAAATAATTTGGTTATATATATATATATACCTGAACCGAGTTTAATCTAGACTTTGTTATGTAGGTTCTTGGCAACAAACTATTCTGTGGTAAATGTGTAATTATCAGAGGTTTGAGTTCTCGCTTTACCTCATCATTCCTTGTGACCATTTATCTTCTCTTAACTTATCCCTGAAGTGACTGACGTTCTCTTTAATAAGATTTTATGTATCAATTTATTTTACCCAGAATTTAAACAAAATTTCACTTGCACAGTTATAAAGAAACCTTACACTGTACTGTATGAGGTAAGTGTAGAGGTTAGCAAGAGAGGAGTGTAAGTGCAGTACAGTAATGTAATGAATTAAAGAAAGATTTTAGGTGGAGGTGTGAGGCTAGATAACTGGGTCATTGAGATTGGAATGAAAAACAGGGATAGAGAATAGACAAATGGCGGTACTATTTACTCTTAAATTTTAGATTCAGTAACTAAATTATATTCCAGTTTAGAGTACGGTACATATTTTCCCACCTGTCTTTAAGTTCATCGGTAACTGCAGTTCCTATTGTAATATTGCCAGAGAAGGGATGAAGAAGCCGAGTCTTACAAGGTGTTGGGTTATTGAGTACGAGTTCGAGTAAAAGTTGTCTTGTGCCGAGAGAAGGGAATTAGTGAGTAAAGGAAAATATTAAGAAGTTCAGGTCATACATTACACATTCAGAAGCTGTGGCAGAGATGTTTTTGTAGCAGAGTTTAGGGTGTAAGTGTTGAAGGGGTCTTGTTGGTTCCATCTTGCTTCTCTACATCAGTGAACGGGAAGTGATGTTCTGCATTCTGTGTCGGAAGAATCGTCTTATGTTTATACTAATTGAATGACTGTGCACTTGGTTTTGTCGGGTTCGCCAGTCCTATGCTCGAGGTCTTGTATGAACAAAACTTGAAGGGCTGTTTAACTAGTGGGTTAGTTCTCGTGGGATTTCGGCTTCCATTGCTCAAAATTTAAATCTGCAGTTTTAATGTTCTTATTAATGTGTATGTATATGTTTTATTTATTTCAGCCTGTTCAGATCAAGACCATGGCTGTGGTTTCCTCGCCAGCATCCATACCTTTAGGAAACCACGTACGCAAGTCCAGCGTGACAGCCCCAGCTTCTGCTTATTACCCACCAAAGTCTCTACCAGCCACCCCTGGAGTGAGCGTAAGTCAGCCAGTTAGTCGTGCTGCAGTGGTGCCCAAGACTAGCACCTCCAGCAACCAATCACAACCCACGGACCTTTTAATGGAGGGCCGTCCTGTGCCCGGTGCCCCAGCTGCAACTTACGAAACCACCCATGCTAGAGTTGCTCCTGCGGCTGCTATTGAGGATAGTGCAGGTCATCACAGAGTCTTTATTGAGGAACAGCGGGCCGTTCACGGAGAGTTTATCGGCATGAACATGCACCCGCGCTATCCTAACTCACGTTTCCTGGAACCGCCACGCGTCGACGTCGCGAGATTACCCGGTTCTTCTCCGTCGACTCCTTCACCTGCCGGTCGACCCCACGAGTCGGAGCCTCACGCTCCCGCTCATCACAATACGATTCCAGGATACGACATGGTGAGTACCGACTGGAGATCTTACCTCGAACATTACTTTATCACCCTGCTTTATCACTACAGTATTGCATGCTTACATAACCTTTAAAAGACTATAGATATGCATCCTTGGAACACACCGGAGAATACATTGCTGCAGAAGCATGTTTTGAAGAAGGAACTTATACATACAAGTATTATTGTCTCTGAAGGGTTGGATTATGTTGTGCTGAACCAACCAAAAAACATTATTTTATCAGACACTTAAAGCTTTTATCACAGTGAAAAAGAAACTACCATATTTGATAATGACGAAAATGATTTTATTTAAAAGTCAAATTTAATTTAAGATAAACTGTTTGAATTTGGATATCTTTATTTGTTATGTGCGAGGGAAAGTAAATAAAAGTTTGTGAATGATGCATCAGTAAGTGATGAGTGTCATTTAAGTTATTAGGTGATGAAATAGTCTGTAATGAATAAGTGTTTGGAGGATGGCAGTGAACTAGTTGTGTGTGTGTTTCCAGGTTCATGAGTAAGTATTATGAGTTAAGTGGTGGTTATGAGGGCTACAGGTTAGTGTAGATTAACGATTATGAGGTTGTTGAGTAGTGAGTTAGTGTTATGAAGTGAGTTAATGAATGTTGTGATATTTATGAGTTTGTGAGTGCTATGAGTCTTGCAAGTTAGTTAATGTTTTCGAGTTATTAATTTGTGACAGTTATGAGAAAATGTGTTTGGAGATTCATGAGTTATGAGTTAGTAAGATTTTGTTAAAAGTTAGAAAAGAAAATTATACACATTTCAGAATAATGTATACAATAGTTTATATAGGGGTTTAAAGTGGAGAGACAACAATAGAATTTTCCTTGATAAATTCCAGCTTAGTCTACTTAGAGTAAATCAGACTTTGTAGATAAATAAGATACAGAACTGTGCAGTACTGGAATTAGGTTGAGGTAACTACTGTCACTTTTAATGTGTGGCTGTTAGATATTTCTTCTCATAATTCACTGTAAAGCGTGTGACAAAAATACAGATTTTTATATAAGTTGCTTTTTGTTTCTTGCATGTTTCCGATTTTGCTTTTCTGCTTTACCGTACGTTCAGATGAATTTAACATGGTTGCATGAATTTAATGTTGCTTTAATTATTAGGCTGAAAAGGTGTGCATGTTGTTGGTGTGGTGCTTCTCTGCCAACTAACTTGTGGTTGTGGTGTTTTCAGCATGCTGTTGCTGCTGCTGCTGCCCACAGTCACAGTGCGGCTGCCCCCATGCCTGCCTCCTCTGTCTCAGCTGCCCCCAAGGGTGGACTGGCTCACTACTACCATGCAGGGGATGTAGGAGAGTACCAGCAACAGCCTGTGGCTCTCCACCACCCCCACCATCCATCACAGATTAATGCTAGTGGTGGTGGTGGTGGGGGTGGTGGCACTGGTGGTGGCGGTGGTCCTGGTGTTGGTGGTGGGGAACGCTACCTTACCTCTCCACCATTGTCCACCCCTCCCTCTGCCCACACTCCCCCACCTGCCCACCAGCACACCCTGCAGGTCAGTGCCCTTGCCTGTCCCATGCACTTGCGCTTCTCCTTGTTATTACATTGACATAACTGAGGTGACAGCCTAATGGTTTCATGAATGTGATGTCATACTTGGGATACAGAGAATGGTGGTTATGTTATTGTTGCTACTTTGTTTAGAGACATTTTAATGTGTGGGTATCATTTTATGATAATTCTTCATACTTTAGGTCCTTGATAATTTAAAGTGACAAGCCTCTACAGAATGCACAAAACACTTGTAGTTTGCTTGTATGTTTTATTGATGTAGCATGGGTAATGTTGTAAGCTGAATCATGTTAGAAGAACTTGAACAATTCTTAAAAGACAAATTGTGCTTGTGAACCTGTATGATGTACGGAGTTGATACTAAATGTGTTACCTAGTTATTGTTGTACTATATGACTGTCCTTGTAAGTGAGTTGTTAATTAATATGTTTTCAAGAAGTGTTTTAGTGTTATTAGGTGTGGCTTTTCCTCAGGTATAGTATCTGTCTCTGTCTCTGTTTTCTACCTTTGTGGATCTTGTAATATTTAACTTAGTTTTGTACCATCTAGATTGCTGTGGTTGTTGTCATTCTTTATGTCGTGGGTGGCAGTGGAAATTTTTGACATATAAAATACTAGACAATACTTACAAACCTCATTTGTTACCATTTAAATAGTTCACATGTACGGTTAGTATTGACAAAGATCAGTGTAAAAGCCAACATATTCATTACTATAAAGCCGAGTCATTGTGTATGTCTTAACTATGGTTGTTCAGTTACTCAAAGTGAACCAAATGGCAGCAGTGTCCTCTTGTTGTTAGGTGAGGCTGATGGAGCTAACATGTTTTAACCCCTGCCAGTGGCTCCCAGCTGTTTTTAATGGAAGTCATTTTGAAGCATTGCAATGTGAATTAGTGGTTGTTGGTTGAATTGGATATTATTTTAATATTGATTTAGAGAAAGGTGGTGACCATGACACACTGTGAGAAGATTCACTTTACTGTGCTGTCATATATCTCTGAGGAGAGTGGTTGCTGGTGGTGCATTCACTATATGTTGTTTGGTTGGAGTCTATGCATGGAGAAGCTGTGGTGTTGGTTTATTTGAGTACTGTACAGTATTTGGGTCAGGAGACTAAGGTGGATTTTTTTTGGTGTAGGTTAGAGTTGTGTTGTGGTGTGTTGCATCTGTTTGTTTTAGTGTCTGGGTTGATAATGTCTTGGGGCCAAAGCTGCAGCAACACAGACCACTGACTCCTTCCATGTTCCTTTAACATTCTTATCTTTGGTCTCAGGTAATGTATTTTTTCTTCAATGTTATAGGAACTTTCTTGGCACATATCATCCCCACAACTTTTGTTTCATTTACACCATCCTGATGTTAACTCTGTCCCTCACACTCAGTTTATGTATAGTACACTTTCCTCCTTCACCCAAGATAAAGAGTGTTAGGTTTGTAGGCCTTGTTGTTCAGTTCATTACTGTTCCTGGCTACTAGTGTCCGCTTCTCCTTTTTTGCTCTACGGCTCTACATCGCTTCTGTTCTACGGCCAGTGCAGTATGTAGTTTCTCTAGTCTAAATGGCTGTCACCCCATAATGTACATGCCTACACACCTGTACATTTATATATACACATTTAATGATGATGTTAATGACCTCTTGAGTACCATTAGATGTCTTCTCTTGCTTTAAAACTTATAATACAAGTGAACGTTTATCTTGCAGGGTGAGATGATGAGAGGGGTACCTCCTCCATACCTACCACACATGTACTCCTCACAGTACTATGGTATCTATGGTAAGTTGGTATTGACTCTGTTTTAATGGTGGGATTATATGTTCTGTATGTGAATGATCTTAAGTGTCCCTGTGGTGTTATTGTTAATGGGGGATATAAAGTAATTGGATCATTCGAAATCAACTAAATTTTTATGGTATATAAGTTGCATTTGTGATTTGAAGGCAGTTGATTACATGTAGTAGATGATCTGTTGTTATGGTAATTGTAGCTCTAGTAGTGGACCAAGTTATACAACCCCTGTCCATGTGAGGTGACAGTGAGAGACAAGTTGGTGATGGACAGAAAATAGAATTTGTAATTTTATGTTGAAAGATTTAGTTGATGAATGGAAAGGTGGAGTACTGAAGCATTATGTGATTGTAGAAGGAACTAATGTGGTTAGAGTGAGTGAATATTGTATATTTGTATTAGATAATTGGTACAGTAGAAGGGAGAGATTGAAAACTTGACTGATGCTTTGTGTAAAAGGGTCGTCAGCATTAATGAGTTCAGAGTCTAATCATAGTACTGTATTTAGCTGTACAATAGGAACTAATGTACCAGTACTTAATATAGCTGTACATGGACTTTCTTTTGTTAACTCTGTCATAGACTATACAGTATCATAAAGCATTGACTTGGAATTTCTATATTTTTTATATTTTATTATTGTTACTTGTATGATAAGTTACTCGTGTTATAAGAATGTTCTCTACTAAATATTTTTCTTCTCCAGGAGGTGAAAAGATAATAACACCATTGCCACTTGATATGAAGTTAGAGAAGGGTGAAACGGAGAAGCTTGAACCAAGGTCTGGGACTGGCACTCCAGGCCCGGCCGAGTTCCCTCCAAGACCAAGCGGTGCTCCCGCAACCTTAGCTCCGCGTGGTCAGTCTTCGCCTCATGTGCTGGCCTCTCCACACCACGACCGCTCTACCGACTCCCCGCAGGTAGAACTTTTAACATAACCTAACATATTCTGTGGCTAGACACATTAAGGCAAATATCATTACTACACAGATCATGACAGGCTTTTATGTTTTATAGGTTCATGAGGCAGGGGCATCATTTCAGATTTTGCTTAAGGGGCAACACCATTACATGCAAAGAGTAAGGGTCAAAATCCTGCTCCACCGTGGTGCCACCAGGTGGTGCTGTAACAGATGGAACACGTTCCAATACGTTTATTTTTTCAATTTGCATCTGTCCTGTGTGGACCGTGTGGCTGCTAGCAATATGACTTACTTCCTTGCTGCTATTCAGTTTATAAATGATAGGCAATGGGAATGATGAAATTAGATGAATACTTATCATTTTGTTTAATTATGCATAGTAAAAATACTATTGAGATGTTCTCACTAAATCCAAATTCATTTATATGAAAAAGGAATATAATTAAAATTTTCCTTGGAGAGCAAGACGGCCCTTGGGCGGGGCCAAGCCAGGTCTGAGGGGACTTTCCTTGTTGGTGCTCAGTGACTGTTAGTATGATAGATTTTAAACACAGGTAAATTTTGTCCAAGATCTCATAATAATTGATGTTGATCAATGGGATTTGCAGGTGGCCATGGTGTATACTCGACTGTACGACCGCTACTACTATCCTCCCGGTCGCACTGGCACACCCGGAGCTCCTGGGACTGCCGAACACGAAGCTAGAAGTCGTATCTCGTCACCATCAGCTGCTGCCCATGTCTACCCAACCATTCCCCCTACTGAAGTCCACCACCCGTCAATGGTACAAATTTCTCCACAACAATTTACTACACAGATTCCACCGCAGTTACAGATGTTACTCCAGCAACAGGTGAGGAACTGTGCAGGTAAAGGGGTGTTACTTGACAATCTTGGTCTCGTTGATTTCGGGTATTTTAATGTGCTTTGTTAGTCTTGGTTTATAAGTTAGGGTAAGTTTTGTTTGTTAGAGCAGGATATACCATAGACATATTTTTGTGATTTACATTGTTACAGTTGTTGTTTTTTCATTGAGACTAACAATTTTGTGGTCCTTCATCTTCTTAAACTCCAAGACTTCCTCTGCTGGTTAGTTTCCTTCTTACTACGGTTTGTCAGTGTACCAGGCAGAGTGAGCTTCTGTAACTGTGCTTCATTAAGTCGTTTGATCATTAGTGTTGTATGTATGGTGTGCACTGCTGGGGGTACTTTTGAAAATTAAAATATTGACTAGATGGATTTTACAGGTCTTCTGGGTTAGCATACACATCCACACACACAAATTTAAACTCTTTTAAGCCTTTTCCTAGTTAATGAAGGGTGAACACACACACACTCCATTCATTCTTACTGTTCTAAAAGATATGTTTTACTGTGGTAATTGCTTTTGACAACAAGCTTACTATGAGATGATGGTATAAATAATTATATTATACTGTAAATAGTTTCCTTGCACTTATAAAGATTTTTACACGATCTGCTCATAAATCTTACTGTTTATGCTGTCAAAACCTAGTGATTGTGAGACTAATTATTATAAAATTACTGCATAGTATTTTTGGGTCTTTACACACAAGCAAAATAGGATTTCATAGTTTAATTTTCATCTTGTTTAAAAGAAACTGGCATGATTAACTGTGTACTTGGGGAGAGGTGGAAGTTATAGGTGTTATAGCTGAGTATTTAATGTGCCTTTATAACAAAGTTTGAGTTGTTTTAAATGCTTTTCCAGGGGTCTGATGTGACGTGGGCAGGCCTGCTAGGCTTAAAGCAAGATCACGCAGCTGTGCAGATGCTGTATGTGTCTGGCAGCAGTGAGGTTGCCCGCGGTGCTTTACGTGTACATCCTGATGGTACCACCTCCCCCATCCGTATTGGACAAAGAATGAGACTTGAACAAACTCAGCTTGAGGGAGTGGCTAGGAAGATTCAGGTACTGTGCATAGTGTCTTGTCCATTTTATTACCTTTTTTCTCTCTCTCTCTCTATCCTTTTTTATCCCAATTAAAACACCAATCATAGTAGGTTTCACGTAAATGTCATTTGTTCCATTGATGATGATGTTGGTGTAATTGTACAGTATATTGCCCTTCAGCAATGTTTTCCCTCTTTCATTATTATGTCTAACCCATGAGGGAGAGATAAGAATGGTCCCGTGTCTGTTCCCTGTCCATTGTGTCTTTTGAACCTGTTAATATATAGTTAGAATGGGAGATATATATTTTTTTTATGGTGCACATGCCTAGGGCTCCCCTGCTTAATTAATCAAGAGGGTTTCTTCACATACTAGTACACGTGTGGGTTACCTATTCAGAGCTCAGATGTGTCAGAAATACTGATAAGAGAAAAGGCCTTCTCACTTCATGGACTTTACCCTTGATGGCTCTGGTTTCAAATTACCTCAAGATTTATCTGTACTTGGGGGGGGGGGGTCAGACCAGGTTAAATAAAAGGTTAACAAATTGACCAAACTGCTGTAGATGATACATTTTGTTTCACCAAAAAATTATCCTTGAAATATTGTTGCAATACAGACAGTTGGTTTTTATTCCTGACCTTGTAAATATTGTCATAATCTTGAATCACAACATGAAAAAAATTACTGAAGCATACAGTATTCTTTATTCTATGACATTGAAATTAAGTTGTAACAAAAAAACCTTTGTCATGGAATTCAGGATTGTGTCTTGTATTTTTAATCAGAAGTCTGTCACAATAACTGTTGTGTATTGTATAGTGTAGTGTAGTGTATATCATGATAAACCTCCAGTAGAGGCCAATTATATACATCTTTCGTATATTCTTCCAAAGAGTAACATTTCTCTAAGGAAAAAGTTATTAACTATATACATTTATAGTAATATATTGTAAGAGCACTCCAGCAACATGACTGATAAGGAAAGTCTAGTATTTTTTATACTTGGTCATCTTAATATATGATAGTTGATGGATGATTATGTTGAGGATGACACATTTATATGAAACTGTCTCACAGATGGAAGCAGAACATTGCATGCTGCTGGCACTACCACACGGCCGAGATTCCTTTGACTTCATGCAGCAGCAGAACAGTCTCCGTAACGGCATAATAAATTATCTTGTGGTTAAGCAGGCTGCCGGGATAGTCAATGTTTCAGCACCAGGAACACAACAAGTTGGTATCCCAGTTATTCTTTACTGTATTTTACTTGTTTTATCCTGTTACATGAGAGCATTGTTTGTGCTTACTAACTGAACACTACTACAAATGAAGCATAATAGTTTATGTATATTACACATCTACTACTATTAAGGCATATAACATGCTTTAAGAGAATCCTTCCTTACTTGATGCCCTTGTGAATTGACAGGGGTTGCAGATTCAGTGCCTTGGTTATGGGAGGGAATATTGTAATAGAACATATCTGTTACAGTATAAAGTCAACAATTGTGTGAGAGAGAGAGAGAGAGACAGAGTGAGAGAAATTCAGATTCTTGTTTCAAGTCTCCCTACATAAAGATAACAACAAGACCAATCATTATGACTGACTGTGGGACTTGGTGCTCGTGCTTCACTCCAGGAAATTCGGAATGAACTTTAGTTGAAGGTCGACTATACAGTATATTAGATCTACTGCAGTACAGTATAGTGTCACTTCCTATTAAGATAAAAAAAATAACTGGCCCATAAACCATGAGAAGTCATCCGTGTCCCTCTTCACATGTAGTGCTGGTATGTTGATATGAATTATATTGCGTTTCATTAAAGAGCATTAATGTAATACTCTTATATTAATCGACAACTATTAACCAGGTGTCTTGGGTATGTTTAGGTGTACCTGGGTGGAAGTGAAAACATATCAAATAATTAATAAATGCCTTGAGAGGATCCAGAGGTGTTGGGTAGTTTCATATACAGTATTAGCTCTGTTGAACAAGTGGAAAGTAGTTGGATGTTCCCGTCAAGCTGGACATTGTGCTGTCTTCCGTAGCATTTACAGTTATATGGGGCCTCTTCACAGGTATCCATATTTGAAATTATTAGTGCAGTATTGGCAAGGGCGTTGCAGGGTACAGTGTCGTCTACATGTGAATTTAATTTTTTTGCTTTCATTCCATAACTTGTAATCTCTCTGTGCATGTTTTGCGTAACTACAGGTATTACATTCTTTCAGACTTGAGGAAATTTCAGTTTCAAGAATGATGATGCCAATTACTGTAGTTTATATGTTGATGTGAAAGTCTCGTGGATGTATCACGTATCATTCACGGAATTGTAATTACAGTATGTAGTCTTTACCATTCTTTGTTTCAGGATGACAGTTTTCATCAAAAAAAATTTTTTAACAGATTTTGCTAACATATACAGTACAGTATATGTCCTTGAGGTGAGAGGAATTTTACTGTTACATATTTTGAACAAATTATTTTCTTTCTCTTATTAGTTCATTACAAAGTGTTTCGCATCTTTAGTCTAATACACTTCTCCGTGTGTTTCAGCCAGCGTACGTGGTCCACATCTTCCCACCCTGTGATTTTGCCAATGAAAATTTGGCCCGAATCTCACCTGATCTGTTACACCTTGTCGCAGAAATTTCCTACCTCCTGGTTGTCATAGCTACGTGCTGAGCATAAGAAAACCCACCATAAAGTTTACTCTAAAAGGCATAGTTATCGAGTGCAAACAGCCGATGAGGCTCTTCGTAAAGGATTACAGTGTTATGGGTCCAACCGCGAAGGTAATCTCGACACCCCGACTTAGACAGAGAATCAGATGTTGACTTAAATATTACCTATATGATTTGTTAATCTACTTTCAGAACTCAAGAAATTAAATTAAAGAATTAATTACCATTAAACAATAAATTTAAAGTCATCTTGAGCTCTTTCATATCTGTTTTGTGCTTAATGACTGAAAATTAGAAATGCTTAAAGTTCATTGAACCTCAAATTATAACAAAGTTTTAAATCCACCGTACTGTACCGAAGTAACAATCCTCACTCATCATAATCATTGTTAAGTGAGATGGTCCTCTGAGAATGGATTACACAGTTATAGAAATAGCTGTGCCAGTTCCATTCCTCATACTGTGTGTAGTTATAAAGCTACAATGAACTCATTAAACTCTGAATATGACTCGTCAAACTGATAAAGAATTGTGACTTAGTATCTTGCCTCTGTAAATACGTACGAGAAAGACAGTGTGAAATGGACTAATGTACTGTATACTAAAACTAAGAAGGATGCTGTAAGATATACTTGAACAGCATCGTTATATGTGATAAAAGAGTTAATTTATTATGTGCATATAGAATAAGAAAGAAAATGTCTATTTGGCAGAAATTAAGTGTAGTGAAAGTGGATGGCAACTTGTACAAAGCATTAGCATAAACCTGTCGTGAAAGTGAAGTGAAGGGAAGTAGTATAAAGTGGAAGTGGCGTAAATTCCAGATGGTGATAACTGAAATTTGTGTTTGTCCTAACATGATCCTCACAGCAAATTTAAACCGAAACAATATCGAAAAGTAAGACGAGCATTTAGGAAACATTCGACAGGACCAGGTGTCGTGTTAGAAGAATGCGAAAGCGATAAGTTTGTGTCACTGTTGTGTTTTGACTGTTTGGTGTGTGCAGCTTGCAACAGCCAGATGTTCCTGTAATATGTGAGTTCATCACCACTATCACAAAGTGTGGTGCTGTGGCCTTGTCTATTGTGCTACACTACTGCTTCTGAGGACATGCACCCAAGGACATACCAAATAAACAATATCATGACTAACTTCACATGAGTGATGTATGAGTGTTGTGTAAATTGTGCAAGACACAAAAGTTTTGTGTGGCCTAACCAGCCCTGGGCCCAATGGTGCCCGTATGCCGCCTATGGTGTTTAGACAAGCTGTATAGTTGTATATACTGATATTGATTGTAGAGTAATTCTTTTTTACTGTTCATTTTGGTGGAATTGTACTTAAAGAAGCTGCCACAACCACCATCATGATAGGTGATCTACACACAGCTTGATCCACAAACACTGATGAAGCTGTGTGTACACCCAAATGTTGATTGTGTGTGCACACTGCACTCAGGGTGGCTGTGTGCAGCCCATTGTTATTGTGTGTACAGATCTACGCATGAAGTCACCCTGATTTATTTATTACCAGTCATCTCGTTCATCATATATCATCTTTCTCGTGCATACTCCCCCTCATAAGCGATGCTCTGCCTCCTTCTTTACAAACAGATGCACACACACATACATCTCTCTCACCACTTACTTGTGTCTCTAATATAAAGAACTATCTTGGCATACACTGTCTTTAACCTCCCTCACTCCTAGCGTCTCTCCCTCGCTCGTGCTCGTCCTCTTCCTGGCTCCTCAGCACAGCCCTCAGGAACCTTCTGCTATCTTGCTGCAGCACTTACTCTAAGGCATCCTATATTACATGTGTGTCTGCCTCTCTTAGATGCTTTTTCTCTATTTGTAATGTATGGTTTGCCATGACTGTTGTCATGCATATGTTGCATGTGTATTTTTCTAAAAAAAATACACTAAACCTTTAGAATATTCCTTTTCTTTTGATTCCTACAAGCTTGCAGAATGATCATGCAAACTAGGCCATCTCTCTTCTTCCCTCCTTTAAAGCAGCTGTTTGTTCCTTGCTCGCCTGTCACACTCTTCACTCGATTAAGGTGTCAGACAGATTCTCATAATATAAGAAGGCGCCTGATGCGGATTAGCCTGCCGCTGCTACGCCACTCTTCAATAGGTTTTAAAAGGAAAACCACAAACCATTTGGTCTAGAGTTGAAAGGCTTTCTTGTTTCTGCACTGTTTTCGGTTTCTCGGCAGAATTCACTCTATTGTATGTTTGCTCAAGAAGTTAGCGGAATTCTATTTTCACTTTTTATTAATATTATGTATAACATGTGGCAAATATATTTTTGATGTACAGTTTGAAAATGTGAAAAAGTGTTTAAATGTAAGTGTACTTGTTAAGTGTTGCATAAGAGACATGAGGTGTGTCTGAGGCGTTTGTAAATAGGTCTAAATAAACTTTTAGGCTGTGATCCTCAGTTCTCTAGAAGCTTCTTTGGTCAGAAAATTTATTGAAAAGTCCAGTGACCAATTTAAATTATTTCAAAACCCAATAAAGATCACAATGAAATATATAAATTAGTTTCATTAATCCTTCTCCATATCCTCCAGTGCCTATTGCTAATTGTCTGTTGGGATTATTAAGATATTTTCTGAAAATTTGATATTTAGGGAAAAGGGGACTTAAAATACAATACAGTACGCATGTATGCCCAAAATTGTAATTCTGTATTTTGAAGAACCATAATAGTGTAATATGGCTGCAAGCTGTTCATTTTGTCCAGACCTAACAACGATTGTCATCCAAACTTGTCGTTTTACATATGTGTACCCTAGATTCAATGCTAAAGTCTTTCACCTAGCTAAGGTACAGCATTTTTGGCCTGAATGGGACAATTTTTCAGTTGGTGGTGGCCTACAAAGACCAATAAATAGCATTTTGCAATCGGAATTGACAGTCGTAAAACACGAACTGACAAATATAGCAACAAATGACGTAGGAGACGTGTATTGTGTCCGAGCGAATACTCGAACACAATATACGGTATGTGTGTCCTTCTCTCTGTGAGGGGAACCTACAAAGTTTACTGCAAATGGTCAAAATCAATCCGTGATGCCTAAATCAGCGTACAGTATAATAAAGTTGCCTGTATTAAAATTGGCAAAAACAACATTATTTATTGGTCTTCTGTACTGTATTGTACATGTTGGGATATAAACTGAGTGGAAGAAAAGTTTTACATCTTAGTCCATCTACCCACTGACCAGTTCAGAGACCAGTGGTTGATATAGTGAAAACAGAAGTGATATTTCATTAGCTGGAATATTTGACGCAGAACGGTTCCTGGTATGGAGACAAATTTTCCCATCCCTGGAATTTTTCTGATTACTACACTGGAAAAAGTTTTTTTTAGTCTAAATTATGCATCTCGCATGGACAGACACAGAATGAAATGTTTGAAATATGCGGAAAATTTCATCATTTAAGCGGCAAGCGGCCGGAGAGGACCAGACGCGCCGTTCCATTTTGTATTCACGCGGTCCATGCTCGACCATACGCGGGAAGCGGTGCGGGCAGGGAGCGCACAAGGTCGCCCAGTCATCAAAACATTACCGAATTCTTCACCCGCCACCCACCACAGCTGGCCCAAGTCGGTGATAGTGAGGATATGGACTTTGAGGGGTTGGACAAAGAGGCCCTGCAAGCCTCTGTGGTGGATAGTGATACAATTGATACAGGCGAGGGCCAGATTACTGCCCTCTGCCTCGGAACCAACCCTCCATCCCCGTGTGCCCAGCCATGTTTTCTACTAACGTAAGTGTTAAAAAACCTAATATTATTGATATTTCTCTTAAATATTAATTATGTGCATACCATCATAAAATTAAGATACTATTTTTACTACAACGTACGTATTGTGTCGGAAAAAGTGGAGTTTGGGGGTCAGCCCAGTCTCTATTTCAATTAATCCCATATGTTCTGTCATTTCGTTTACGCGTTTCTCGTTTTAGGCAGACCTCCACGGGTTCAATTGACAGCGTAAATGGAGACTATACTGTACACTGTACCTTATATACTGTTGTAGTGGACGTCTCCCCTACAAACTGCGTAGCTGCACACCACCCGCTACCGTCTTCCCTAGCAACCAAGCGTATCCGCATTCCAATGCCCGCCGTATCCTAGCAACCGAGCCAAAAGACCGGCGAGTTCTCGGGTTTTCCCAACACGACTCATAGCGGCTGCTGGGTATATAAGCTCTGTCTCTCCATTGAGATTCATCGTCCACTTGAGAATTGAACCTCGGCGAGGTAGGTTCTCCCTGCTCCCGAGGTACCGCGTGACCATGTTCACCTTCGACCAGGCGAAGGTCGTTAGACTGTTTCCGGTCAAGCGCCCTTCTCGCAAGGAACTCAACCTCCTTGTCCTGAGGAAGTTTTTTGACTCCTCGGGAATCACGGGGGTGACCTCATCGTCACCTTCGCGGAGTGGGGAGAGGCCCAGCAATTGGAAAACGTAAGAAGAATCAATGGAATCGAGATCCAAGTTGAAGCCTACCTTCAGGACAACTTGGTTTTGGGAGTCATCTCCCACACAGAAATCGAACATCTCGAAAAACAAGAACTTGCTGAGCTGATCGGAGATCAGCTCAAAATAGTTAGGAAGCTGACCAGCACAGCTGCCCTTGTTGGCTTCCCAAAGGAACTTCCTGGCTCTGTTTTGCTGGGTTGGGAGAAAATCCCAGTAAAACCGTACCAGCGAAGACCTACTCGTTGCTACAAATGCCAGAAGTACGGCCACCTGGCGCGGAAGTGTCGTGCTCGGGAGGTGTGTTCAAGCTGCGGGACGCCCGGGCACATTGACGCTAACTGCTTGGCGGCCGCGAAGAAGTGCGCAGCTTGTGGTGGCCCTCACTCCTCCTCCGACCGGGAGTGTCCCAAGTGGAGGGAGGAGTGCAGGGTGGCCAAGCTGCGGACTAAAGAAAGACTGAGCTACAAGGAGGCCCTCCTTGTGGTGAAAAATCAAGAAAAGAAAAAGCAAGACAAGAATAAGCAAGACAAGAACAAGATCAAGAAACCCGATTTCATTACACTATCTTTAACATCGTTTATTGACGTGTATGAGAATATCCCAGAAGAAGACCAGGAAGAAGAAGAATGGAAAGTGAAAAGCAAAAGAAGAAACAAGAAAAGAAAGAAGTCCAACCAATCAGCTTCGGCCGAAATAGCCTAACGGCGAAGAGGCCAGTAATCCCCAACAAATTTGGAATTGAGATTCATTCTGACCATTCTTCTTGAACAAGCAACACCTCCTCCTCCTCCGCCGCTGCCTGGCTGCCTAACTCCGCTTCTCCTCGCCTGCCTGGCGGTCCTCGCTCCCGCCAGCGAGCATGGCGACCCACCAGCTGTCCTCTGAGCTTCCTCACCAACCAACTCTCATTCTGCCCATCTTCCTGAACAAGCAACATCTCCTCCAGCAAGCTCCACGCTGTTAACATTTATTTCAACCAGGAGGCCAGCAACAGGCAACATCTTCCCTAACGAAGCTCCTGCACATCTACCTCCTTCAATACGCTACTCACCGAACGTCTTCTACTGAGCAGCTCCCCACCACACGGCATCTCCAGCAGCAGACTGTCTTCATATAACTTATATATTATACAAGAAAACCACATTAGAGTTTCCTTCCATCCCGAGTGCTAGACAACATTAATATCTCGATACCCCTACAATGGTGACTCCCGGAGATTAGCACTCACACAGGATGGAGGAGACACTGATCATGCTCCCAGTCTTCAAGCAGACACCGGCTCCTCTTCCTGCCCCAAGCACCACATCCTACGATCCCAGCACACCCGTCCTGCCTCAGACGCCGACCCCGGCCCAGCAGTACCTGCCGTGAGGGAAGCACACAACATCCATCGCCTCCACACTCCTCTTTTCTCCCTCAGGTACTCCCTGCTAATGTCCTGCACCCTGCTGCTGTCGTGGACCCAGCTGATGTCACTAGCCCTAATCCGCTTCTGCTGACGCAGCCCTTGCTCCTGACCCAGGCCCCCACACACCCCAGCAGGTGCATCTGACGACCCTGTACCTGTCGTGAGGGAAGCACAACATTCATCGCCTCCACACACCCTTTTTCTCCCTTCTCCCACAGATAGTGTGTATCTAGACAGTTGTATTTCAGCGATCGGCTCATCACGCCATCGCCGTTGTCTCACATGAGGCATGCACCGCCCGGTCTGCCTCACATGTGCTAAGCAACTCTACAATCAACAAGTCTCCTACACCGCCTGGAGGGAAGGGGGAGTATTGTAGTGGACGTCTCCCCTGCAACTGCGTAGCCACGCCACCACCTGTTACAGTCTTCCCTAGCAACCAAGCGTATCTGCATTCCAATGCCCCCCGTATCCTAGCAACCGAGCCAAAAGGCCGGCGACTTCTCGGGTTTTCCCAACATGACTCATAGCGGCTGCTGGGTATATAAGCTCTGTCTCTCCAGTGCTATTCATTCTGACCATTCTTCTTGAACAAGCAACACCACCTCCGCCGCTGCCTGCCCGCCCTTCGATTCTCCTCGCCTGCCTGGCGGTCCTCCCTCCCGCCAGCGAGCATGGCGACCCACCAGCTGTCCTCTGAGCCTCCTTACCAACCAACTCTCATTCTGCCCATTTTCCTGAACAAGCAACACCTCCTCCAGCAAACTCCTAGCGGTTACATTCATTCAACCAGGAGGCCAGCAACAAGCAACATCTTCTCTAACGAAGCTCCTGCACATCTACCTCCTTCAACAAGCTACTCACCGCATGTCTCTACAGTGCAGCCCCTCACCACACAGCACCTCCAACACCAGAGTGTCTATCATATAACTTATTTTATACAAGAAAACCACATTACAGTTTCCTTCCATCCTGAGTGCTAGACAACATTATACCACGAATTCCTACAAAGCTAACGCCTCGTTAAAGAAGGCATAGCTACACGTTAACCCACAAACCAGCCTCCGCTTTCATTCCCCACTTAACTATACCTTGCCGGAAATATCCTTGTTCACAGCTCTCTTATCTTGTGTTCTGAGCGTAATAAGAATCGTCCGATTTTACGTTCACGACCGTGGTCATTACATCTTGAACCCAATTTGTTTTTTAATGCAATTTCAAAGCCTTTCCCATGTTAAACAAGTAAAAGGCAATTTTTCGATTAAAATACTCTAATATACATTGTGGCGGAAATGCAATAGAAGAAGAGGGTTTTGGAATTGTCCAAACAGATTCCAAATCTTAAATTCACTGCATGACCAGACCTATAATTTTAACCAAATTTCGACTGAACATTGGTCGTGTTAAATTGAAAAACTAGTCAATATTTAGATGGAAGTTCAAATGTGGATTCATAGGTTAGATTTCCAAATATCTTGTTTGGAATTGAGTATTTTACCACTTCTGGTGTTATCAGACAATACAAAGATTAGTTTAAACCAGTGAAAATCGAACTACAGTATATAGTATGCGTTTTTTTTTTTGGCCATTCTGGGTACGAGAATGGGCATTTTAACCTACTGGAAAGCATAAACCAGCACATTAATTTCATCATTTATTCATTGGGTTGTGTTGTGAAAATGTCAACATATTTAAAGACGAATAGAGCGGGATTTGCCAAGAGGTGAAAGCGTTTAATATCATAGAGTACAGTGCGTATTTCAGGACAAACGGCAGACGTACTTCAGATTTTATTATACTCAAGGTTTTGATTCATTAAATCAAGGAACTAGATTATTCCCTAAAATATAAATGGAGTAATTTTATTAAACTTTCATTGGTTACATACATTGTATATTCAATGTGTACTCAACCCGTACACATTTGAGTTTACTTGCACAGAATATAATACAACACGGCACTTTACGGGGAATACACCTGGACACAGGTTACGATCCACAAATGGAGTCTGGGGTGGTTGAAGAAATAACAAAGATGCTGGAAACCAGCTTTTTGACGACACAAATTGCTCGTAGTTTAACACTTACTAGAGAACAAGAATCTCCTTACTCAAGTTGTGGAAAGAATCCACTAACCGCGGTAGAGCTCGAATAGGCTAGTAATTCTTCCGATGGTGTTCTCCAGCAACAGTTAGAAACCCATGAAACCTTTTGTAGAATCTCCCAATCGATCTGATGGGGTACAGGTCTCACTGCAGCTTCCTCGGTTAACTCGTATAGGTCTTACGTTCTAGAGATCAAATAAAAAGCAAGAAGATTAAGGTAGTTTCATCCTGATGGAATGGTCTAACACAAAACTTAATTAAAAAGTTAAGTTTTCTTAATATCCAAAAAGTAATAAAATTTACCATTTTTGTCAAGCGAAAGTTCAAACTAAGGTTTCATATTCACAAACAAACAACTTATAACCAAATATTTCAAAATCCACTTACAATATTGAGCAGGGTTTAACTCTACAGCAAATGATGTATCGTCGTCGTGCACTAGTGTTCTGGACCGTCTACCGGGCTTTATATACAGGCGGCCCACATTCCGTGACCAATCACAAGCTGTTTGTTATACGTAAGGGTAAGTTTTAGCCAATGGGAACATTACCTTCTTATGACGTCAAGGTTACACCATGCCGGAGCGAATCATTTTAACGCCGGCAGGTTTGTCATCCCGGAAGTGGCAAATGGTTGTTTGATGACGACTAAGTGATTTAAAGTTTATTGTGACCTAAAAGAAGTGAAGAACAATATACTATATTATGAAAGCGTATTTACAGGAGGTCTGAAAATGTATTCACTGTCTTACTTATCTTGGTGAATGTATTAAATGTTTTAGAACAGCAATATTGGCCTCACTTGACGATTGTTAAGAGACATATACATGATATTAGTATTATTGTAATATAAAAAAGGTGTTAAAATTAAAGACAATAGCATAAAAAAGTTAATATGACGACTAAAATGAGATTAGAAAGTACATTGATAACGAGAGAAAAACCATTGAGTTGTTATTAACATTTACTTCAAATGAACCACACAGCAGAAACACTAAAAGTAACAAAAGCTTTTAAGTCCTTCTGGTGAGTTTATAAAGATACATATATGTTACAAGAACAAAACATAGACATTAAAACTAAGTAGAGTCGTGAGTGGTGCTTGTACTCGGGGGGGAGGAATATAATCCACTTCCCCCCGAGGAGAGTCAATTACATCGGGTATAGTTTATAGTCATATTGCTTAGAGAGATATTTACTGATAAAGGTGAAACACGTATAATTTGGTCAATGAATCCAGGTAAAAAAGTCCCAGAAAAAAAAGTCACAGGAAAAAAAGAAAAGTTAACTATCAAATTCTCATATTTTTTAAGGTTAATATGTCAACCTAACCTAGCCTAGCCTTTATTACCGGCCACCATAAATTAATTGTGAGTTTTTTTCCTGTGACTTTATTACCGGCCACCCACCCAATACCTGACAGTAAGTACCTTGGAGAGTAAATGTGGTACCTGATAATATACAATGTTACCACGATGTTAATTTTTGGTTTTGTTTTGACATTTTTCTAATTAATTTATAAATATATACCTTTTACGGTCATGTGTAAAGATTATTCGGGTCGTTATTTCTGAAGGAACTTTATTGACTGCCACTGTAGGCTGTGAGTTGCTATCATAACTTTTTGGTTTGGTAGCTTATCACAAATTGTGTGGTCCCTATGGTGTAAATACCCAAGAGCAGTTTATGTGGGATAATCCCCTCGTTTGGTTGTTACGGTGATTACCGGAGAAGAAGTTCGGTGGCAAGGTGGGGTATATAAAGGGTGAACCGGCAAGGATGGATCAGTTACAATCCTATCCTTGTGTCTGGTGTTAGAACTCGTGTATAGCGACATAACACAGTGTAGTTTGTGAAGAAGAAAAGAAAAGTATAGTAAATATATATTTTTCTGTGGTTTTTAACAGAAGTCATAGATGTATTTGACTTGAGGCTTGTGAAACATATTTAAGATCTGTGTTTGTGGTTAACTAAGGAGCTTTTGAAGGTGTTCATAATTCAAGTACTCGGTAGTTTAATTGAAATAAAATCCTTTAAGTGTGTATCGTGCTAAGTGTTTGAAAAAGTTGAAGTGTTAATAGTGTATTTTGTGAAATTGGCGGAATATGTTGCGTTTTTTGCAAGAAATCGTGTTGTTGATGAGTGACGGAAAGTGAATTCATGAAGATTGTGTAACCAGTTCATTATTGAAATATTCTCTCGACCTGAAGTTGTTTGGATGCGAACTTCAATGCAGTTTTAAGTGATGGTGGTGGAATCTTGAAAATGAGTGAGAAGAAAAGAAAGCTGCAGCATTTGTGTGTGCCTTGAGCTTGGACAGTGATAAGTGATGGTGATGGAATCTTGAAAATGAGTGAGAAGGAAAAAAGATGCAGCATTTATGGGTGCTTGACAGTGATAAGTGATGGTGGTGGAATCTTGAAAATGAGTGAGAAGAAAAGAAAGCTGCAGCATTTGTGTGTGCCTTGAGCTTGGACAGTGATAAGTGATGGTGATGGAATCTTGAAAATGAGTGAGAAGGAAAAAAGATGCAGCATTTATGGGTGCCAAGTATTAAAGCATACTGGTGTGTGTTTTGATGTGTATAGTAGAAGATTGGTAAACGAGGGGTGAGGGCAGGTAAGTGACTGGATGTTGAGAGTTTATTTAGCGAGGTAAAGATAGGGATTTGACATGATCGTTAAGTTGGAGCTAACTAGCGTGGGAAAGGTTGATTTTTGCAGAGACGTGACCGGCATAGAGGTAGAGCCAGAATTTAGAGTTAGGTGAATGGAATTTTTGAATGGGTGTTGTGTTTGTGCTGTTATATACTAGAGGCTATATAATGGTACTACACTCTCGGTTGTGTGTGTTTATGGTCGTATTTTGTTGTAGTTAGAGGCGAGGTAAGATGGTAGTGTGCCGTCTGTTATGGTTCATGTGTTAGTTTTATACACAGACTAGAGTGTTATTAATTGTGTGTGCTCTTGTTTCATTAATTTATACTTGCTTGTTGTAAATTTTCAGGTTGAGTGGTAAGTACTGTTTTCTGAAATTGTTTATTATGGTATATGTGAATTGATTGTAATTTGACATGGATTGCTATCGGAAAGTCATATTTGATTTGTTGCCATAGAAGGTAATATAACGTCAAAATAGTTAGATGGGTTTTGAGAAAGTGATTGAAAGCTGAACCTTGATGCCTTTTATTGCAGGTGTACCGAAGGCTTATACTGTGGAATAGAGAAGAGAACCTGGCCTTAGTTTGTAGGTGGTGGCTAGCGCGTCTACAGTTGCGGTGAGGAAATCGTCAACATGATATTTAAAATGGAAGGTGTAGTTGTTTTTGACTAAAGAGAAGTGGTAGCTGGAATAAGAAAATTGATAAGTGGTTCATGGGTAATATATTTGTATTGAGAATTAGTGTAAGTTTTATAGGTTGTGTAATAAATAAATTTTTTTCAGGTTGTTGTTGGAGGTGGAAGGAGCCGGTATTTTTTGAGGTTGACTAGGGGAATAGTGATGGGTAAGTGACGTTGAAGTTTGTAAAATAGTTATGAGAATTGAACTAGACTTGTGGTCTTGTGCCGTAGAGCAATAGAAAGGTTAAAAGTTGACATTAAAATCAATGATTGTGGCTCGAGTTTGGTAATGTTAAATTTAAAATGTTGAATTTTGTGCCTCGGCTGTAGATTAAAGCAAATGTAAATGAGTTTTGATAAATTTGGTTTATTATGTAGTGAGAAAGTTTTGATAATTGGGTAACGAGTGACCTTTTTTCAGGTTGGTGTCGGTTCCCTAGTGCAGCCAAAAGTGCCTAGTTTATAGTAGACGGGCAAGGGGAGACTTAAGTGAGGTGTATAAACCTGTGAAAGGGCACTACTTAGTCGAGGAACCCTACCCGTAGCTGACTGACGCCCGCCTCACAAGGGGTCACAGCCTAAGTGGGGGCGCCGGCGGTAGTGCGGTACCGCTCTCGCCTCGCAAGCGAGATGTCTTGGGTTCGATTCCCGGGCCGGTGGAAAGTGGGTTGGACACACTTCCTAGACCCCCTCGGTCCCTGTTGACCTAGCAGTAAAGTAGGTACCCTTTGTAAATCGAAAGTTGCGAATTCGTATTTGGGGAAAGTGGTCGGAGCTAGCCGACCAAATTTTAAAGACTGGAGGGTTGTATGCCCTTGACAAAAAATGCTATGACCCTTTAGGCAAGCAGAAAATTGGCATGCTGCCTAGTTGGGCGGTGTAGGCGCTTGTGCCCTTGACCTTGCACTTGAATAAGGGGGGGGGGGAGGGGGGATGCCCCTCCGCCCCCGTGTCCAAAAAAAGTGTGGTAATGAGAAATCGAAAAATGGTAGAGTAGAATATAGAGTTGTGTTGACTGTATCGACTAACGAAGAGGAATTATGGTCGCCATGCAGAGGTGGGGGAGAAGGCGATGTTGGAAAGGAGCCAAGTGTTGTAACCAGTCGCCCTGTGCAGCATGTGCTAAAAGGTAATGTACACTGTTAACTGGTCTGTTTGATATGAAAATGAAGAGGGAATTTGGTTGTCGTTATTGATGTGGTAATTGTTTTCTACAGGAGTTGTTGCAGTCCAGAAGGCGTGATTGGTGTGTGATAATGGATAGGGACTTTAACGCTCGACTGAATGAGAGCCCGTAAAGGTGTAAGTATTGTTTATTGAAGTTGTAGCTATACTTTGTTTTAATGTGAAGAGTAGAGTATTTGTAACACTGACCTATTGTTTTTCTGTTTTCATGTTGTCGTTGGAGGAATATGGGTGAATTGTTGGAGAGGAGTGCGTCGACACTGGATACGGTGATGTAAAATTGCGCAATGTATTATTTGAAGGTGAGTTGTTATTGTATTTTAAAGTTTTAGGTAAAGTTTGTTTGTGAAAAGTTTTTGTATAAGAGGCAAGTGATATATGAGTTTTTTTCGGGTAGCAGTACCCATTGACTCGGTGATAATGGTAGGGTTTGTGTGTTGAGGGGTATGAGACTTGCTTTGACTGCAGTTAGCGAGAGGGCGCAAAAGTGTGTGGTTTATACTAGAGATGGTTGAGTGTTGATACTTGGCGCTGCCTGTGATATTGCCATGGAGCGTAGGAGCACATGTGAGGAGTAGTTGGTGCAATAGGAAATGAGTTAAGTTGTTTATGGATTAGAATATAGAGTTGAAGTGTGTTTTTGGTAATGAAATAATTTGTGTTTTCAGGTTGTGGAGGTGGAATTGCAGGGATTGACTAATTGGACTACTGATGGGTAAGTTGACTTTGTATTTGAAAGTTGACAAGAGGTGATAGGAAAAGTCAAATCTAGTAATATGAAGTGTTGGCCCTCTGCTGTACTGTAAAAAGAAAGGTTTTAACCATGATGGTGATTTAGAAGTTGTAGGGAGTTTTTGTTTTATTTTTTGGTAAGTAGTGTGAAGATTAAAGTAAGTTGTTTATATAGGGTGTGAAAGGTTTATGAATTGTTGTGGTGGGAACTAATGTGTTGAATTGTTTGTTTTTAAGGCCGGATTGGAGTTTTTGGAATGGTAGGCGGCAGTGATGGTGGAAGAGGCAGTGGTTACTCGGCGACGGAGTTGGGAGCGAAAGGGTAAAGAGGAAGTGTTTGTTTGAATTTGGGTAAGATGAAAGGTTTGGAAGTGTAGGGGCGGGAAGGTGAATTTGTTGTGGGTATGTATTGTAATTATATAGCAGTTAGTTGGTAGCAGGCTAGTATTGTTGTTACACACTGGAGGCTGTGTAATGATTGGTACTAGCCTTGGTGAATGGTTTGTAGTAGAGTATGTATATATTGGTAAGAAGTTGGCATTTGTAGCGGTTTAAAAGGAAGAAATTTGGTTTTGGTAGACATGCCTAAAAGGGTTTGATTTGTTGTTGTAGGCATAAGAGAGAGTTATTGATTGTGAAGGAGAGTGGATGCATGAAGCTTTTTGGAATGGTGTTTATTATGGATATGTTTTTTTTTTTCAGTGGAGCGAGTGGTGTAGGGTATGTTCCTCGTGGTAAGAGTAAGGAAGGAGACGAACAAGTATTGGGCATCATTTACCGTGGTGGTTACGAAGTGGACGTGCCGCGAAGAAAGGAAGTGGTACATCGACGAATAACCGTGGCGGTTGCGCCATAGCAAGAGATAGTGTTTTTGTGGGTGAATTATTTGAGCAATGGGAAATGATACTTTACCTACAAGTGTGGCCGTGAAGTGTATATTGCTGGTAATATAAGAAGAGCACCACGAAGAGTTTCCCGAGTGCGACGAAGCCGACGGGTGCACCGCCTTGTAGGTATAATGTATTTGATAGAAAAGGCCATTACGAGTTGACCTCCATTGTTGTGTTTTCTCGGTTTCAGATTGAAGGGATGGGGCGAAGTCGCTTTGGCCAAGTTGCCGTAAGGAGCCGAGATGATGTCCCGTGAATGTCTAGCTGTCGTCTGTGTGACTGGAGCCGAGATGTCCTTTGAAAGTATAGCCGTGGTCCCAGTGACTGGGGTGTATCGAGCCGAGATGTCCTGTGAACTTCTATCTGCCGTCCCTGTGACTGGAGCCGAGATGTCCTTTGATTGTATAGCCGTGGTCCCAGTGAGTGGGGTGTATTGAGCCGAGATGTCCTGTGAACTTCTATCTGCCGTCCCTGTGACTGGAGCCGAGATGTCCTTTGATTGTATAGCTGTGGTCCCAGTGAGTGGGGTGTATTGAGCCGAGATGTCCTGTGAACTTCTATCTGCCGTCCCTGTGACTGGAGCCGAGAAGATGTCCTGTGAACGTATAGCCGTCGTCCCAGTGAGTGAGGTGTGTGGAGCCAAGAAGATGATGTCCTGTGAAGGGATAGCTGTTGTTCCTGTGACTGGAGCTGAGAAGATGTCCTGTGAATTTATAGCTGCTGTACTTGTGACCGGGGTGTATGGAGCTGAGGCGAAGATGTCCTGTGAAGATGATGTTTGAAGCAGAAATTGATGTTTGATGTACTGTACTGTATTATATTGCTTAGTGTATAGAATATATGTATTTGAGTTGAATTTTGTGTTTTGTTTATTGCCTGATGTGTATTTTGAGTGACGCATAAGGTAGAAGAAGATGACAAGTGACTTGGGCACCAGAAGAAGTGGAGCGACACGAGAAGATGAAGGTAATGTGTGAAGAATTGATGTTAGTTAATGAAATATGATTTAATGTAAAGTAAAGTAATGATGTTGAAATGCATCATTGACATTGAGATTAGTTAATGTGTTGAATAATTTGACTTGTATTATTGTGTGAATTTTAATGGTGTTTTTGTTTCTCCCTTTTCTTACAGGTACACGGGAACACATGTGGTGTTGAGAGTGTTTATTGAGCAACAAAGGTGATTTTTCAACTGAAAGAGAGTAGTTATTCCTCATTGGTTGTGAGTTGGTGTTTTGATGTTTGTTTGCAAACAAAAGCTCGGACATTGTCGATCTATCACACGACAATAGTCCATAGACACGATATCTGTGTCGAGAGCTTTATGACTGAACCTATTGTCGATATTGACAATATGGTTAAAGTTTGTTTGCAAAGAAAACATTAAAATACTAACTTAAAACTAATTTGGAATAACTACTTTCTTTCAGTTGAAAAATCACCTTTGTTGTTCAATAAACACTCTAAAATAACTTATAATAAATAAAGAGGTGGCCAGAACCTATCTTAAAAAGATAGTAACTTTGAAAAAATCCCCGTTTTCTGTTCACTTGGAGAAAATGGGAAATTTTCCTCTATTTTCTACGGCTCAAAAAAACTCCCGTTTTCTATGATGCCAGCTGTCTATGTGATCCTGTTTTCTACAACATCATGATTTTGTTTTCCAAATCCAATATGGCTGTATGTTAACTTATGAAAAATAAAGACATTGATTATATGCTTTCTTTTATTACTGAAATTATTTCTATGTCAACATACATGAAAAATATACAGTCTACAAACAATGAAAAAAATTTCCAAGTCCACAAACAATAAATTTTACTAAATCCACACATTGAAAAAATTTCTAAGTCAAAGTTTTCTAAGTCCACAAAACAGAAAAATTTCTAAGTCCACAAACATAATAAATTTTACTAAGTCCACATACATTGAAAAAATTTCTAAGTCCACAAAAGATGAAAAATATTATAAGTCCACAAACAATAATTTTTGTAAGTCCACAAACATTGAAAAAATTTCTAGGTCCACAAAACATTAATATCTTTATGTCCACAAAACATTATTTTTTATCCTTTGTGGACTTAGAAATTTTTTTAATTCCACAAACATAATAAATTTTACTAAGTCCACAAACATTGAAAAAATTCTAAGTCCACAAAATGGAAATGTTTGCAAGTCCACAAACATGAAATTTTTCTAAGTCCACAAGGGACAAAAAAAAATAAGTCTACAAAAGATGACAAATATAGTCCACAAACATTGAAAAAATTTCTAAGTCCACAAAACAAAAATTTTTCTGTCCACAGGATAAAAAAAATACTAAGTCCACAAAGGATACAAAAATACTAAGTCCACAAACAATAAATCTTTTTAAGTCCACAAGGGATCAAAAAATATATGTCCACAAAGAATGAAAAATATTCTAAGTCCACAAACAACTATATTAACTTGGAAAAATTTACTTACAAACCAAGTATAATATTCCAAGTCTACAAATGACTTTTAATAACTTAGAAAAACAATTTGTGTTTTTTCTATGTTCACATGACTTCCTATAAACTTATAAAAAATACAACTTTCAAACTAACTAAAAATTATTCTAAGTCCACAACTGACTACATAACTTAGAAAAATAAACAAGACCTACAAACCAAATAAATATTCTAAGTCCACAACTGACTTAGAAAAAATACACAACACTTAAACCAACACAAAAATATTCTAAGTCCACAAATAACTCTTTATTAACTTGAACAAAAAAAAATAAGCATAAAATATTCTAAGTACAATAACTTAGACAAAATATACAACACTAACTAAGCACAAAATATTCTTGGTCCACAAACAACTATATTAACTTACAAAAATTAACTTTAAAACCAAGCATAAAATATTCTAAGTACAAATGACTTTTATTAACTTAGAAAAAACCCATCAAAATTTTTTGTTTTTTAACTCCACATAACTTTCAATTAACTTAGACAAAATAAAGCTTTCAAACTAATACAAAATTATTTTAAGTCCACAACTGACTACAATAACTTAGAACAAATACACAAGACTTAAACCAACACACAAATATTCTAAGTACACAAATAACTTTATTAACTTAAAAACAATATACAATACTTAAACTAAGCACAAAATATTTTAAATCCACAAACAACTATATTAACTTAGAAAAATTTACTTTAAAACCAAGCATAAAATATTCTAAGTCCACAAATGATGATATTAACTTACAAACCAAACAAATTATTCCAAGTCCACAAATAAAAAACTAATTAACTTACAACATAATATTATTCAAAGGCCATACATGAATCTCTAGTAATTTACAACAAATACACAATACAAACAACAACATTTTCACAGTCCACAACTAACTCTACATTAACTTAGAAAAATGAACAACACTTTTAAACAAACACCAAAAATATTCCAAGTCAACTCCACACATAAAAATTTATTAACTTGCAACAAATACACAAGACTTTCTAACTAAGCACAGCATATTCTAAGTCCACAAATAACTCTTCATTACCTTACAAAAAATATACAACACTTTGTAACTAAACACAACATAATCTAAGTCCACAATTGAACATTTATTAACTTACAACAAATATACAACACTTTATAACTGAGCACACAATTTTCAATGTCCACAAATAACACTATTAACTTTAACAAACAAACAACACTTTCAAACTAAGCACAAAATGTTCTAAGTCCACAACTTACTTTTTATTAACTTACACAACACTTTCTGACTAACCACAAAATATAAGTCCACAAATAACACTATTAACTTAAACAACACTTCCAAACACAAGTCCACAAATAACACACTATTAACTTACAACACACTTTGTAACTAATCAAAAACATTTACAACTCCACAAATAACTCTTTCTTAACTTAAACAAATATACAAAACTTTGAAACTAAGCACAAACTATTCAAAGTCCACAAATAACTCTACATTAACCTACAACAAATAATAACACTGCATAACTAAAATTTTTACTTTTTAAATAATATCCCAACATAAACTTAACATAAACGTTCCATTCAAACTCAACATATACACAACTTCAACTTACCATAACTATACAGAATATCAAACTCCACAAATGACTAACATCTCAACATCCACACTGACTAAACAAAATATTACACGTCAAAAAACGATTTCATAACTTTAAATTATACAATTTATCGATACAAAATCAATGCACGCAATCCACGCGCATTGACGCAGAAAGACGTCTCTTCACACGAACGTCGAGACGGTGTCGTGTGTCTAGTCGACGCATTTCGTAACCGAATGACACGACACACGACGAATGACAATCTAAAATGACCGTTCGTTCTCGCTAACGCAAATGATCGACTTCACTTACAAAATTGACCGCCGTGAACCGACAGTCTACGTATAGTTTGACAATGTAACAATTGCAGAATGACATACCATCGACACTTATTTTAGACTGTCATTCGATGTGTGTTCTGTCATTCGGTTATGAAATGTGTCAACTAGATATATAAAAATGTCTCGACGTACACGTGAAGACGCACGATCCGACTCCGCCTCCCGACGACGGACGTATTGTCCTCGCAAAATTATTCCAAATTTACTCCCGTTAATTTCCACTCAAAAAATTACCCCAATCGTCACTCGCCAATAACCAACGCCACTCTTACCGGTACAATATACTTTCAATTTCAAAACAGTATTCTTTCTAACATTAGTACCTTCATAATCGACTCAATATTAACTTACAGTATTTCTTTTCAAAACTATACATTTCATTCACTCCAATAGTCATACTGACAACATTTTCCTACTATACACCCCATCTTACAATATTTATCAAACTCAAATAACTTACTACTATTCATACACATTACCTTTCAAATCAACTAGTCACTTTCATTTCACATTTACACACTTTATCAATTCCTCCTACAAAACAACATTCATATATTATTCTTTAACATAACAACTTCCTCACAATATACTTCTAGTCAAACATAACATCACTAAATATTTACTTCACTCTAATATCTTCTCATCAACACTACCACAACATATCATAGTCTTCAACATATTCCATCTAATTGCTAAATGCTCACAAAATTTTCTCTTTCAATTATATCTTCATAATCATCACCTTACCTATTACTTGACAATTATCAATATTCGACATTTATTTCGCTTCAATACGTCAAACTTTATTACGGAGGAATTTTCTGTCGTCGTACTCTTCCCCCGCCGCAAACTATTATTGTACTTCAAATGCTAAAGCCCGTATCCTTAAACGACGTCTTCCCTTCCAGAGGAGCGTCGTCTTTCGACCCCACTTTTAAACAAAACCGGTCCCAACAGTACGGCACTTAACGCGGTGATGTGTCGGTAAAATGAACTACTTCAAACATTATAAATTAAGTTTCTTAGAATTAGTTATTTTTACCGCCCCGTTATGTGCCGTACTGCGGTCTCCCTGGGGACTCGTTTTGTTTAAAACTCCAATTGACACGCGACCGCCCTCTTCCGGGGAAGACGTACTTTAATGATACGGCCCTTTGACGATAGGGGCCAAACCCACATTTCTGAGAGCGTGCCATTTTCCACATATTCCTCTTCAATAACTTATTCGTACCAAATCTTTACCTGTCTCACACCTATATGTAAATCAAATTCCATTCACACTACTCTACTTCCTTCCCGATACGCCGACGTCGATTCCTACGCTAAAATCTCACCCCCCCCACCCCATACCTATAAATCTTCGTAAATACATTCGCACCTTCTATTCTGTAATCTCCCGCTCTAAAACTCACTACCTAATCCCGTTTCCCAAACAAATTACTTTAACAATACCCTCAAAACTAACATCGCCTTTATATCAACTAAATAACTCTAATTCCTTACCCTACTTTCAAACAAACAAATATTCTACTTATCATTACCCCCAAACTTTTCCTATACATCCTTATTTACATCTCACAAATGTATTTCTTCCATATTCACCACCTAATAAATTTATAAACCTTTCTTTACTATTCCAGTCCTCTACACCTAAACTGTATACACTCCCTATAATGGTAAATCCCACGCCCATTAACGACGACCCTTTCCTATCTTATAAACTCGCCCTAATACACTTTCAAATATATCCTCCAATTACTTAAGCCTTCACTTTTTCACAAGCCGCCCTAACCAACAATTACCTACATTAAACTAATTACTACTAAAATCATCTCCCCCAAACCTTCAACAACACTTGTCCTCAAAATCAAGACAATTCTTCCTTCCACCAGTTTCACTGCAACTCATTCCACACCACTTAACACAATATTCATTTATCTCCTTTCAAACTCACTATCACACCCATCTTCCAATAATGCCACTACACCCGTTTTCTTATTCGCTTTCGTAATGGCACGTGCATTCGTTTAATACCCAGCCAAATCTCTCATTCCCCCCCCCCTCAATATATTTCCTTCGCTCAATCTCAAAATACTCACTACCTCAGATACCATCTAATAATTTTCCCCTTTCAAAAAACCCATCAACAATATATCTACCCCCAAAAATACTCATTTCTCCGTCGATATAGCTTACCCTGCACGCTCTATCTCGTTAATCTATACCCGTCAAATCTTCCCTCCTTTTAATTCCTGGCACACGCACAATCGCACATCTTAACCCACAAAACCGCCGCCTACTCCGTATTATCTTTTACTTGCCGTTACATTATTAATAACAATATAAAATGCTCAACACACAAAACATCTGCACATTCCTCAACATCTACTAAGTCTTATAACATCATCTTAAAACACTTCAGCATATATATCAAATTATATATTGATAATAATACTCATAATGTCACTCTTCGACACACAAAATCGCATTCGAATATCTTCTCAGAGTTTACGTCGTCTCGTCGACGTACTGCATTTCCTCTTACGTCTTGTGGTCTTTAAACGCCATCGCAGAGTCTCCCAATTTTAACGCTCTTGCCCTTTCAACACAAACATTTCACTATCGCCTCATTTAGCCTGCAAGTGAGCACGAAAAATAAGGAAAGCGTCAATGGAGCTAAGAATCTTTCGGGAGGACGGAGGAAACCGAACTCTGTCTCGGTTAAAAGCAATTATTGTATCGGATAACTCTTTACCTATGATGCAGCCATTTCCTTGGCCGAATACACTACTTAACTTACAATACGAAAAATGCAATATTAAACGCGACGTATCCCAAAAGCGCGCTCTGTGATGCCCAATTCAAATCATTACATAAAGTTTCCCACCCAAACCCCCTACAATCCTTTCGTCCATCCAACGCCTCCCTAACACTCCTTGCACAGCCCTCCAAAACTCCACATACCCCAATAACATTACATACACCCCCCTCACACACTAATCTATCGCCCCTGAATGCTCGCCAGTACCTCTAATGACATTTTCGCCAAACCACAAACAAACCCATCCTAACACACCACTCACATCCTCACAAACTGACTAACTCTCATAACACCATCTGCGAGGGAATTACTACACCACGCCAGGTCCCTCATAACACCATCTGAGGGAACTACTACACCACGTGAGTTCCTCCTAACACCATCTGGGAGGGGGTTACTACACTACAATTTTGCTGTTCAACACCTACATTAAACTGTATGTTCCTTTACCTTTCTCTAATAAAGGCTTTTGTTAAACCACCAATGTATGTAATAAGTCATTTATGTCCAATGTATATTTTCAGCCTTCGGGCTGCAAACTTTTTTCAATAAACCGTTAATTATTATTATTATTACAGTATTATTAACTTCAAATAGGGTGCTGGTGCAAATCCTCTTAGAAATAGTGGTTCTTCAACTCAAACACGTGCAGCACTTGGACCCGATTGTCGTGTATAACCTAATAATGATCTTGGTGACGGTACTAGTGTTTGTGCTACGACAAGTAATGCTGGAGATGTTTCACGAGGAGGAACAAACGACGACGACGTATTACTTACACTATAGTGCACCGATCACCTAAATATACAATAAACTTCACTTTACAGTATACCTATTACTAATTTACAAATTACATAATCTTCGCCTCTCACACACTCTAAATAACATATACAATTATCAAATGGATATCCACACGCCACGTATTCGCTCGTCTCCCCCCCCTTTATATGTACTCTACTACATAAATGCCCCACAACTTTTGCCCGCTATCCCTTTCGTCCGACAATTACGGTCGGAGCGCCTGCCGCGGTCCTTTTCAATTTGAGACGCACTACAAAACTAACGGATGGAAGATCGGAAGCCGTGTCGACAATTTGCCGCCTATACTTTCCACTGTTTCGCCCATCCCGTGATTATTTACACTTTTGAAAAACATTTTAACCCCCAATAATGATATCAATGCCAAAATTCAAAATCAAATCAAATTGAAAATGCTACAATCTATTTGCAACGTGTCTACGATGCCAATCTTCTCGGCAAAACGTTACAAATGCCCCGTGATCGCACGCGACGTCTCGGATATTTTCGTTGTCGATACGCATCGACTTGCAAATCCGTTCTCCATCTTTACTTCGTCGGTATGGAGAAACATTATTACTTTCGTTATCTTTATAATTACTCTACACTAACACTGCCAAAAACAAATAAAACTTGATCAATTCTATAGCTAAACAAATTAACATCATTATTACAATATTCTAACTCCACTGGGATAACACAGGCATCACAAACTAGTCACAATACAATAAACATACACATCTTCTACATGCTCACAAACGTTCTTTTCAAAACGTATCTATCATCATCCGGGATTCACAATTATCTTCGTCCAGTGTTGAGAAGTAACTTCGTCAGGTGTTCACAAATATCTTAGTCCCGTGTTGAGAAGTATCTTCGTCCGGTGTTCAGAAGTATCTTCGTCCGGTGTTAAGAAGTATCTTCGTCCAGTGTTCAGAAATATCTTAGTCCCGTGTTGAGAAATATCTTCGTCCGGACCGAGTCCAAAAAAACTGTTAAATGCCAGCTGAATCTCACCCATAACTGAAACAACCAAATTACTGTCAAAATATATAACAATTTATATACAAATACAAATTCGACTAAATTCCTTCCAAACTTCAACTAACATATCTTGCTTCAGTCTTTCTTTATGTACCTGCACGCTCTCCACACACAAACATGTCAATAAACTAATGACATCCAAATCACACACAAGCATAACCACTACAATTTACCTACTACAGTACAACACTACCCCCACAATAAAATGTCACACAAATTAATTCTGCTACACGCGGCTACCGTCATAATGGTACTGTATCTACATAAATACCCACCAACTGTATCACCTATAAATTAAATAAACACAAGTCAAACTAAACTAGGAGAAGAATACCCCAACACCCGTCGGGATGGAGTGGCTGTGACGATATAGCCGTGTGACGCTGTGGCTAACCGATGCGAACCCTCCTTGCCACCTCAAATACTAAACAATTCTACAAAAACACTTACACACATTTTTACCAAGCCAAAATAACATACAACCCAAGAATGACATTAAACTCTACAATAATGAACACATGGAGGCACCCAAAACAAAAGAGTGCAGGATGCTCTTCCCGTTAAATGACGACGACAATGATTTATTTGACAGACGTCGCCTATGCTTCGTAAGCGGAGAAATGCCGCCGATAAAAGACGCGCGCTTCACTCCGTACGACCGATAGCCCCAGGTTAGCCACTCCACTATTTACGACATGCCAAACAAAACACGTCTGCATTTACAAACATTACATAAAACGTGATTTGCTACTTAACTGACCAAACAACTACACCAAAACCATATTCAACCAATTACTCTCAGTAGGATATTTTATAGATCCATCCATAAATACAACAAATGCTCTTAATTCCCAACCAACGCAAACTCCTCAAAAATATTATCGACAACAGAGAAAACACGCGCACCGCAGATAACGCAACTTCGCGGAGGGTACGGGAACCGACGCCGTCCTGGCTATCATCGCCTAAAATTTCACGACCAAAACTAACCCTTCCTCCCAATACAAATAACAACCGAGTCCTATGGGATGCTATCGAACTGTTCGACGGTCCGCTAAGTACATCTAAAGTGTAAAATCCTACAGTTAAATTCACCTTCCCCATTAGACGTTGGACGCCTTTCCACAAAACCTTTAATGCACAACCATTTTTGGGCCTAATCGGTAACGCATCTCAAATTAACTACGAGTATCTTCAAACTCAATAAGGCTGTTATCGAGATTTATATGTAATATTTAACGTTACATTAACAAACGAACAACAAATGCCAGACCAAACCCCATTTTGGCCTTTCTTTTCTCAACATTTAACTTCATATGAATCAAAATATTTATATGCAGCTTATATGTACAGGTTTACATATTTATATTTTCAAATTAGCCTTAAAATATAATTACTCTACATATTTCATTACAATCGCTGTTTGTCACATTTCAGAACAAATATAAAACATTTATATGATTAACAACAAACCCCCAGTGATTACTTTAAACCAACCTGTCCCACTACACCTCAAGCTCTGTATTTTCTGCCATAAAATGAGTAAGTGTACAGGGCCCCGTCCCCAAATTCACAGGAGTTGGGAAGGAGGTTTACATTTTCGCTCGTATACAAACATATGGATATTCCCTTTATGGGTGTGTTTGCCATAACGACAATTATTTCTTTTACCTGTAGTATTTTTTATGTCTGTAGACACACACACACACACAATACATACAAATAAATATTCATAAAACAATCCTCTCAAATAATCAGGAACAAATTTACTTTCAATGTGACAGTCTACCCTCCATCCTTGCTCTATTAATAAAGTACTGTAATAGAGAACCAATTTCAGGGTCACACTGTCACAGTTTCAATAACTTTGTTTCTCATTATTTGTGAGAGGATTTTCCAATTATTATTTGCTTCTATGTGTCTCTACACACATTTACAATACATTACAGGTAAACAAAATTACCGTCTCTACGAGGGATGGCTCCCCGTCCCCGCCGTGAAAATGCCCGCAACTTTACAACTACCCGCGGACATTCTTGGGTACGTCCAAGGCATCGTCCGCAAATAACCGAGATCCGCCCGGTAAAAATCCGCGAACTTGGGGCCCCCGTACCGATGACGTACGAGAACACGGACGCCGAGGGATATCATCCGTCGAGATTACCTGTAGGACACCACAACTCTTATTCCTACTTTACTGACAACAGGTAAAAAGCAAACACTGTAGGCCTCTCAAAACTACCGATCTAACGTCGTACTTCCCGCAAATGACGAGCTCTGGTGTTTTTTTAACTAAAATAAAGCCGCTTTCCCGGGAACTGGGTCTCTTCTGCCCGGATGACCGTCGCCGGGAAATGCTCGGCTCGCCAATTACTTTCGACGAGTGACCGAATCGTTCAAATTATAAAAAATGATTACCATATTGGAGTTCATTTGCCACTTGTTGTTAATCTTACAGGAACTGATCTCAAACATCACTTCCCGAGTTTAATGCCACTCGCACCGATCTCCCAGTAATTTTAACTTTACGACCGGTCAATGCGTGCCGCCAAAAAACGCGTTACGGGATAACCCGACCTATTTTTTGCTCCGATGAGACTTCACCATCTATAAAGTAGCATTTGTGTGTCAACTACGGTAATCAATGGGGCAGCAAATGACACGGTCCGAGGCAATTCTCGCCTCGGACATGATGCCGATGCCGTTGACGGATTCCTAATAATCAAAATCCAATAAGTGAAGGTTACAATGTGCAGAGACAAAACATGAATGATAAATGCCCTCTCTTTTTCCTAAAAGAGTTCACCTACATTTCCACAATGACCACCAACAAATATTAGGTACAATTAAGGGAAGCAACTACGAGCAGGGACGTAAGTGTTAAAAAACCTAATATTATTGATATTTCTCTTATATATTAATTGTGTGCATACCATCATAAAATTAAGATGTTATTTTTACTACAATAGCCAACAAAAGTATAGTCTGGCGGTCGGTCCAGTCTCTATTTCAATTAATCCCGTACGTTGTTATTTTATTTACGCATTTCGCTTTATACGCGGACCTCCGTGGCTTTAATTAACCGCATAAAACAAAACTATACTGTATTGAAATATATCCCCAAAATATACATACAATAACACCTACTTACAATATAGTACACAAAATATGATATAAATACATATACTTTATCTTCCATTACAAACAACTACATTCTTAAACTCCCATTTTTAATACTACTACTATTCCTATTGCATCAGACACTCCTACGCCAGATATACGAGACCTTGACTTCTATATCTCTAAGCTAACTTAAGTTCTGTACTCTCAATATATTAATTGTAATATCCCTCCCTCTTCAGTCTACACATTCTGACCTCTACCAAACAACACCCCACATCACTCAAGTCTTATTAGGAGGAGTAGCCTTTTAATTTATCCTTCGTTATCTTTACGTTCAATGGATCCCCGCTCGGAAATGATTTACGACTTCGTGATCTCCCTTTAAAACTTTCTATTTTCTCTACAAACTTCCTACAAATAGATACTAAGCCAGACCTCATAGGCATTCCCAATCTTCAAAGAACCATTACATAAATATTAAACACTCGTATAAACTTCACAAATACATTACAATACAGAGTTATGAAATACAGTAGTGTCTTAAACATACATGCCATAATTCAAGTGGTGCCCCTGGCCAGGCTCTATTGAGTCACTGGTCCACACAAAAATGATGTTTCATCAGGTGACTCCGACCCATAACTGGAAAAAACAAAAAAGGACGTTAAAATATATAGTGTTAGTCGTGCAAATTGTACCAGATCCCTCGACAACTTTAACTATAATATCGGTGTGCGTTCTCTGTATACCTCGACGCACTTGCTGCACGCACACGCACCTTTCCGGTGGGAACTCGTAAATGCTTAAAGATTTATACACTATGTTGCAATATTTATTTATTTTATTTATTTGCCACTTTCTGTATGTACAATTGTGTAAAACAAAATTAACAACATAACTTACAGGTTCAAGCTCTCACATCTGATCAGAATATAGGAAATTACCATTACAGTATTTACAAAATCGCATTTCTTGTGTACTTTTAACACGTTACCGCTACGACGTACGCCCTCGTCATACGGAAGGGGTCGAGCGGCTGTTCGGTCTTCTGGAACGCTCCAGCGTGCCCTTTTCAATAGACGTCGAGTACCTAATAATAACCCGATGAATATCGTCATCTACGACACGCCCTAAAACGGGACAACGATGCCGTGAGATTTTCTCAAACGGTGTTCCAGACTATACCCACAGAAACAACTGCAAGTAGCCTTAAACCAGACCCCACATCTGATAAAACAAAGTTGAATAACGCTTCAGTCTACATGCTAACTACTCACCATAATATAATACTAATAAAAAGCTGTGCACCGCATGACAAGTCTACCCTATACGAGTCCCCAAATCTGCTGTACCAAGCATTCACCTGCCTAAAACAGTTTACAGAAAAAACATCCACCCACTTCAAACAGCTGACTGGAACCAAAGAATATAATAATGAATTAATTGGTTCTTTATTACAATACAATAAAATTACAAGTTTTCAATAATATGTATGGTATATACTACCGACAAATTTAACGACGATATTTGCCACCGACTATTTTACTCCAGCGACTGTGATCGAGACGATCGTCAGCCCCGGTGAAGAACGTCGGCAAAAAACTTGACCCGCCCCTCCGTATTTTTATCCTCGGATTTGCAAGGGTCGACGGGGACGTTCCAAAACAGCCGCTAATACGACAAAAAACCAACGCTCGCACTTCTCGTCCGCCTATGCCACTCATGATAATTATGTGCAATAATCCACTTAAATAAAGTCACTTAATTATAAGAACAATTCATCTCTAACAATGTTCACTGCAAAATTACTTGGTATAACCCCTAATATTTGCTTATTTCATCACTAACATGAACTGTACTCTAGGTACACAAACAATTCAGTTATTGGAGTTTACCATTTACTGCAATTTGTTCCTAAAAGTTTAATTATTTACCTATTGTAAAGTACGTACATCATTCATTTATGGTAACACTACCGTCAAAATAACAATATTTTCAAGTTGAGCAAAATTCACACAAGTCCAGGTTTATTTGTCAACATTTATGACTTTTCCAGGTTTTACAGACCCATAGAGACCCTCGAGAACTGCTAAGTGGTAGATGAACACAAATAATAGTAAAATGCTTCGAAGTACTGTACTGTACTTGATATATCACCAGCATTACCTACCCTCACAAACAGACACGACGAGACCGGGCTCTGCAGAAACGACTACTGCCGTGACCTCTGCTCTGTGAGTGTTGTCCCAGATGTTGGGGGAGTCTCCCTCGCCCACGATCACCAAAAATACTGGGCGATGTCTGTATTTGATTTAATTAATCTTAAATATGCGAAATGAACAATATAATTCATTAATACATACAATATTAAAACACGCGAGAGGATGAGACGGCATTTACACCCAACGTGTACGTGCGCACTCGAGGAAACGGTCGTTTATCTTAGGAATACGTACAAAAAATTCATTATTGTTTATTACTGAATATTATATTTCATTGAATTAATGTTTATATACTGTATGTGAAATGAACAATGCAATTCATTTATAATAATTAGATTATTAAACCACTTGAGTGGCGACGGTTCTACGTAAGAAACTGAACAAAATAAGACCCTGGTTGTAGCTGTAGTGAACTTAATTAAAAAAAAATTTAATACCTGTATGTAGGCTTTAAGTAATGCTATTTAATGTTAATAAATGGAACACTAGAAGTAGCTAACCACTACTGGAAAAGAAATAAGGCCGACGTATGAATGTGTCGTCATTTCTCTACGTGTGAATATGAAAGCAACACTTATTTACTGTTAGTATATGTCTTAAATAATATTTACGAATGTAAAACTAAAATTCTATTCGCCAATGGCGGTAAAGTCTAAAACATAAGGACAGTCGATGAATATCGTGAAAGTTTTTACTCGCATGACGGTGTCGTCGGGTTCCACTTCAACGTAGACTACCGAAAGTACGTTGTAAGGTAAGTTAGCCTATTGTAAGTCAGTGAGCTTCATCTGCTGAAGGCATTGCACAGCTTTTCATTACTAATTGGAACATATTTTACGTTTCCATTGTTTACTGGCAGTAACTGGTAAATATTTTTCATGTCTAAAGCTAAAAGTTGCTCCTGGCCCTTCCCATCGGCACCTGACTGAAACCCGTGTACAGTCACCCCCCCTTTTTTTGCTGGGTCTTGGTCTTAAAAACTATACTAGTATAGTAGTACGTCCGCAAACAGGCGAAAACGATGCCGAGGACCACTTATGTTATGGGGGGAATGTAGCTGGTTTCAAGATAAAGCCCTTCATGATGTATCATTCAGACAACCCAAAGGCTTTTAAACATGTCGGCAAGCACACACTGCCGGTGTTTTATCGCAGTAATAAGAAAGCACGGGTGACCCTAGTACTGTTTCGGGATTGGTTCCCGACTTGTTTCACTCCATAAGCCGAGGAGTATTGTCTGCAACGAGGGATTGCATTCCAGATTTTCTTAATTTTGGATAATGCTCTGGGACACCTGGACGACCTGCACCCTGATGTTAAGGTAGTCTACATTCCACCTAACACTACCTCTATCTTCCAACCCATGGATCGAGGCGCTATTGCTGCATTCAAAGCGAATTATTTACGTACGACCTTCGCTCGGCCTGTTGCTGCTACTGAAGGTGAGAAAATGCTCGGAGAGTTTTGGAAGGACTGAAATGTATAAAGAACATAGCTGCAGCGTGGGATGAGGTTGCAGGTCAGTGCCTGAATGGAATACGAAAGAAAGTTCCAAAAAGATATGTGAACGGTTTCGGAGGATTGAATGAAGACGAAGTAATTTCTGAGATTAGTAACAAGATTATTGGAGTTGGGTAAACAGCTGGAGTTAGAAATTGATAGTGAACATGTTGAGCAGTTGGTTGAAAGTGTAGCAGAAGAGCTCAGTAACGAGGATCTTATTGAACTGGAAGCACACAAAGATACAGAGGAAGAATCGAGTTTAAATGTACAAGGAGGACCTGCACCCCCTAAAATTTCTCAGTGAAACAAATGGCAGAGACATTTGCTACAATTAATAAAGGAATGCAAATGTTTGATGGCATGGATCAAAATGTTGAGAGTTTTGCAAAAGTTGACAGAATGGTCCAAGATGCACTTGCTTGCTACAGGGAGATTTACAATAAAAAGAAAACTGTGCGGTCTAAATTGGACATATATTTTAAGAAGTCCCCCAGTGCTGCCTCTTCACTCCCTAAAGATGATCCAATACCTTCAACAAGCAAGTTTCCCCTGTATATTAACCTGTCTGAAGAAAGTGACATTGATGACCCACCCAGCCCTATCTCCTCCTCTGCTTCATCCACTTAATGCAGTCTCCATGTATAATTAGAAATTTATGGGGGGCCCCCGAGTGCATTCGGCTGACTACATTAAAGGTAAGTGCACAGTAACACTATCCATTCTTCATTATTAATTCCTTTACTGTACTGTATTTCATTATAGATTTTCTATGTATTATTTTTGGCATTTTCGACTTAACGACCTGGATTTGGGGAGTAGTTGTATATATCTTGGTTAAAATAAACAATAACTCTTAAGATTAAAACACAATAAACTGAGATATCTATCCCTCAATTGTTATAATATTCATCTATACAGTAAAAGCTTCTGTTATTGCTCTTACATCTCACTGCCAGGGAACTTTCTTAATAATTTAAGTGTAGCATTAACGCTTTTTTTAACTAATCATTTTAGACTACAAAGCAGTGTTACCAAACCAGGTGTTTCCCATAGACACTATCAGGCCTGTACTGTATCTCTTGATGAGCTAGAAACTCATTAATGACCCCAAAACGGTCTTCTCTCACGAGTCTACTCATCTATATTCCCTCTAACGATATCGTCGAATGTTGTCCCTCTACCCGGGAAGTAGAGCCGAGTTCGTTCCGCTCGCATTTTACTAAAGTTATCCTAATATGTTGCGGTTTTGTGAAATAACGTACCCGAGTGCGTGTGCCGGCCGGAGGAGGCGGTCGTAATGGCGAGAGCGGCACGCCATGCGACACATTTCGCTCGCTACGGCTCCGACGGGTCGCGACGCCGTAATGACCGAACCCTATTTGGTAAATTTTACCCGTGGAAAAAATATAAAGTACAGTAGTATTCTGCTAAAATGCACGAATGATACCACCGATACAATAATTTCTTGTCCGTATTCAATAATAAAGAGGAACGCCAACCGATATTGCAACACTAATTAACGGTTCTAAATGTTGTCTTACACGCACGAGCGCCTCTACCGACACACGTCACGTCAATCGTAACAATTAGATAGTGGTAAGTAGACGCATTCTTGGATGATAAATACGAAAAATTAGTCTACATTACTCTTATTTCCTTTCCTCTGTCACCTTTGTGTCTGATACGGGGCGATGGATATTGTCTGCAATGCGTCGAGTCATTACGGCGTATTTGAATCGAGTTTGGTTAAATCTTTCTCGACGGATTAAAAATTACTGTCCGCAATAACTTTACAGACATAGACGACGCCTCTACATAATACATCCCATTAAGACGAGCGTGTAACAAACAAGTAATATCATTAAAGTCACTTTCCTACTTTATAGTACTGTATGACACACTCAAAGGAGGCACCTAGTCCAAGAGCTTAACATGGGTGTGTTATGCACCAATTACAACAAATAACACATAAGCCAACTTGCCTGACTCTTGTCTCAGGAGTTAGTAGCCATGAGTGTGCTATCCCAGTACTACGGTGCCCCCTTGATTAACTCGTTTAAATAAAACTAAACAGTCTTCGTATACGTCACGAGGGTTAGTTAATCTACGGTCTGGACAGGGCAAGAGTAACCGACTCTGTAAGCGCAGTGCCCGGTTACGCGTTTGAGTTACCAACCGAGTTTTAGTGATCCTTAAAATAACATCCATAGAAAGTATATACATATAGGTTATTCTCAAAAATTATCTTCAAACCAGATAATACAATTTAGTGAGTACCAACCCATCTCTGTACGGAACACACTGAACCTGTCGTCCAAGAAGCCGCTGATACAGCGAGACTCTGAAGTTGCTCCTCGTACAAACCTTCCGACTCGGTCGTCTCCCGAGTCACGCTGCCGTTGCCAGAGGCAGCTTGACCTGTGGGTTAAGGTTGTAATGTGAATGATGCCTGCATCTAATAATTATACTGCACTACACATTTACAACCATTATATAGGGTATGGTGCACTGGTAAGCAGTGTTGAGTAACCAAAGGTGTGTCCTGGAGTATTAATAAGAGACACCACACACAAGGTGGAAGTACTGTAAACACAACTAGTCTATTGATAGAAAATTAAATGTCAGTATACTATACATGAGACTGTAAGTAAACAACTAGTTCTTATGTATCTACACACGGCGACAAACCGTACAAATACGCAACGATGGCCGAATCTTACAAAAATATTGATTAAATGTACAAAGAATACACCAAGATTAACAACCTAACACCATTATTGGATATTATAATTAACCTTACTTTATTGTCAACATACTAACATAAAATTATCATCAGTCCAATATACAGTATGTAACAGTTGCTACTGCATACACCTACGTTCTTTTCCACCTTTTATAAGTGGAAATACAAACATTACATTCTGAAATTAAAAAACAAGTGATGAGTACCTGAGTGATTGGTGCTCCAGGGGTTGATTATTTGTGACGGCGATGACAGAAAGGAGAGGCAGCCGAGGGAGTTGCTCACACTCTTCGTCGCCGTACCGTACGCTCGTCCTCGCCGGAGAACGTCGACGGCGACTGCAAAAACAGATTTAGATAAAACGGGAACAAAATATATCGCATGGTATGTGACAAAGAAAATGCATAGAATAACATCTGAAGCCGAGCATCTCGGTAACGTAAAAGGAGAAACGCGCCAAACTGACTCGACACGCCGGTGCACAAATTTTGGGGTCTTTATAAACAAATGTTTTGTACAATACCAAGCTGGAGAGGTACAGTGAAGAAAATACTCGCCAAATGTCTACCCGGAGAGCGACGTGGGCGAGGCTCCGTCGGTAACCGAGAGAGAGTCTGTCCAAATTTTGAATTTGAAGAGGAATGGAAAATGTGAACTTATTTTTTCTCCTTGCCGACAGTAATTATACCTATACCTTACACAAGAAAACAGAAAATCAGTACTACAGTATGTACCAGTGTGTGTACCATATATATAGTGATATCCCCATTAGTCGCAACAATTGGTACGGGGCACTTCCGGGGACGAGAGATTTCCGGGTGGGGCGTCGGCGGTCTAGTATTACCGACCTTCCGATACGACGTCGGGTTACCCGTTGTTGGGCGAGGGACGACTGGGTCTCTTGACCTCGAGATGTCTTGAATAAAGACAAAAGCTTAGGTTCTCCAGTGTTTCCACTTACTGTATGTACGGTATAGTATAGGCAACCGTGATCACTCTTTTCATTCTTAACGCAGCTTGTACGCTGTATTCTTGGCCGATTTTGTTCTGGTACAGTAATGTACAGTCCTGTGCAACACAAATTATAAGCAAAAACAGCAATTGGCGAGAGAACGACCTACGTTGGCAGCAGAATATGAACCGAGCGGTCCGAACGGCTACGCCACCCGCGAGCCTGGCATGTGGGGATGGGTTGGAGCACGATGCAATCTCTCAAAATGCCCCAAAAATTTATTCCGGGGCCAAGAATCGAGTCATTTGAAGAGTCTCCAGAATTTTTCTTGATATTTTCAACAAAATGTGTCTCGTTTTCAATCTCGGAAAATCGTTTGCAAACCGGGAATCGAAATAAATTTTATTAAATAATTCCGTGAGTAGATAACTGCCGATTAGCGGTAACTTCCGTGGGTAACTTGTGACTGGTCATAAACAAGCAGATCATAAAAATACATTTAATCAATAACATACAAAACCTAACCTACTTTAGGAACAAATTCCCTAACATATGATGATGAACAAACACTTAAATGAATCTGAACCCATTTCATCATATAAAAAGGAATTCCCATCATCTTATAAAAACCTATTCCCATCTAACAAAAATTTTTTGGGGGGCTTTTTAAAGCTTAATTGGTGATTGTCCACGTTTAGCTTAACGCGCACACAATTACCGTATTTTATGGCACGCGACGTGCACTTCTTCTGAAAAATGGCTAGAAAATTCTCCTGTGTCCTATATGTGAAGTTGCGGTCTCCCGTAGGCTAATGAACCCCTAGTTACCGGGGTACTGCCTCCGGTAGGCTAAGTTCTACCTAACACAACTCCAGAATGAATAATATGTTATTGCTTACTTAAAACCATTACAGTATTATTTTTGCATCTGCAAATACCTGATATGAATAAACATTTACAGATGACTTTTTTCACATTTGCATCCATTAACATAACCGACGATGTGGTAGCTGAGTTAGACTCGTTGCGAACCGCCGGACTACTGGGCCGAGCTGCGAGGCATTACGGTTTTCGACTCGTATTTTTGGATAGACGTACGTATCTTTTTTGTTTATTTTTACTCGGTTACGTGCATATTGCACAAAAAAATACAACAAATAATTGTCATACGGGCAAATACATGAAAGGAATATCAATTTTTTTGCACAAGAGTTGGGGGGCCACTTGGTAGACACGGCAGAATGTATGGAAATGGCGATTGTGTTGAACTTTCATTTGCCTTTTATTTACTGGTTACCTACATTGCTTTACCTCAATTGCTTGAAGTAGCACCAGGTATGTGGTATGATTTATGAATGCTGGGAAAGAATTTACAGGCAGTTGAGTTTGCAAGGAAATTAAGCCCTAAAACTGATTACTGTATTGGCGGACTAATACTACAGCTGGTGGACCGCCAATTGCAAGCGAAAACATGTTGAGGTCGGCTCGTAAAAAACTCGTTAATCGAGGGATTGCTCGTTAACCGAAGTTAAGAGTCTTATGGCAGGTAAATCGTTAACCGAGGGATCACTGTACTGTATTGAAGATATGGAGCATTATAACATGGGGCTCAATGGGATATGTTCCCAGCCAGTCCCCAAACACACACATATCACCAACAAAAATATTACTGCACTTATAAAATCAATAGAAAAAAATTGAACAACACTCACCACATAATGAAGAATAAGCCTGGTCATCATCACATGTCCCCTTCAAGGCTAAGAGGACTCTTGTAGGTGGAGTGGAGACGTCACTCTGACTCCCACACAGCCTCTGGGGAGTCTTGTGTCTCTTAATAATGTCAAGCTTCACCTCACACACACACACGGTTGTCTTGGCCTTCCCAGACATTTCCAAAGTTACGCTGCTCACTTCACAGTCACAAAAACAGAGCAAACGATAACAAAAACAATGGTAGCGGCCAATACTGCTCCTCTTTTTCACAACAGAGGCGAAGCAGCTTAGTCACAAAAACAGAAAATATCATTTCAGTCACCATAACACAGTTCAGTCTAAATGTTAGTGCTGTCCTCTCACCAAGTAAAAAAAACACATGGTAAGTACAATGTATGATGCGGACTGACAATCGTGGAACAATGCGATGGCAGGGTTACGATTGATAAAAGAACCAAGCACAGGGTTGTACTGCGCAGGTTGGCCGTGTGGCAGCGTGCGGGTAGGGCCGACAAGTGAAGAGAGAGAAGCGTGGTGCATAGGGTTAAATATTATTTCCTTATAAAATGTCATTGACTTGACATAGAAAAATATAATTTGAATTACTGGAATCCTTGTAAGACGGTGATTACTTTGAGTATTGTACCCTGTACTGTTATACAGCACAACCCAGAGGTTGCACTAGATAAAATATATTTCTAACCACTGGACATCGTTAAAGCAAATTCTTTTTCTCGTACACAGCAAGATGGTCTTCACTCATGGCCATCGCTAAAGCGGAATATCACTGAACGAGACATCACTTACCGAGGTTTACCTTGAATCTGCATCCCTCGTGTATTGTATAAACATTCACTAAGGTTTCTTCCTGTGAGGACTCCATCTTCCGTTAGTTATCAGTTTCCACGTGTCCTCTCTCGTCACGTTTTATTTTTCCTTAAACCGATCTTCTCCTTGGCACTTCTTCTCTTTCTCAGACTTACCAACGATACAAGGAATGGCTCACCATTCACGAGATGTTTTGGCCAATTTTCTGGACACAACTGTTGTCTCTGACTGTACAAGGCTGTAATAAAAAGACTTCAGTAACTCTTGTACACATTTATTACATTATATAAAAGATGACAAATGTACAGTGAGCACTACTACCAGAACTTAGAATTAAGTTTCAGTAACAATTTATTTACAGCATCCCCGGGTTGGCACAACAAGCACTGAAGTTTCACTGCATATTTTGTCATTTGACTTTGCTTTGAAAAACTTACAGTATAGTAGAGTACTGTACCTAGCTGTGGCCAAGGAGGTGTAATATCTGCCACTGTTCATATGTTTTGGCTGTGGTGTCCTCTGTATCGTCCAAAACACACAGCACAAGATCAAACTGAACTGAGGCAGTGATGACTGAGCACTCTGTGGCACTTCTGAGTGTTGAGTGATGGGAGACTGCATTGTATTGTGATTGGCAGAGACAAGCCCAAATATCTTTTGCTACATTTTGATTGGTTCATTCATTTTCAGATTGTAACGGGTAACAGTGGTATAAATAATAAATTTACTCAAGTATAAAGTACCCTGTACAATATTTTCTCTTAAAATTACTTGAGTTTACTCAAGTAATTTAAAGAGAAAATATTGTACTCTTTATTTAAGCAAAGTTACTTCAAAGTATTAAATCATTATTGAAGTAATAAAGTAAAAATACTTCATTACTGTCCACCATTGCTTATAACTTATAATGACAGGTAAATTACTTAACCCATTGTGTACAGGGTCACCTCTGAGCTGAATAAAATCATCAGGCATTAACCAAATCAAATCTTAAGGTTGCTTCCCCATAGTGAAGAGGTAAACACCTACTTGTAAGGCTTGCTTGTACTTGGAAGTCCCATTATACATACTTATAAGAAATGCTTGCACCTACTTATAAGGAATTGTTGTAATTTGTAGTTACTTAAATCCTACTTATAAGGCTTGCCTGTACAGTACTGTAATTGGAAGTTAACTTTACACCTACTAATAAGGAATGCTTGCATTTGGAAGTAACTTTACACCTACTTTTAAGGAATGCTTTTATTTGGAAGTTACTTTACATGTAATTTTAATTTACACATTCTTATTGTTTTAATAGCAAAAGATTGATAAAAATGGATGTACTGTAAATTGGTTGACATGCTGGCTAGCTGATACAGGGTGGTGATGGGTGCTCAGCTGACAATAGCCCGTGAGGAGAGCATGATGCACACACACACACCTATCATTAAATCATTCCTTAGGTTATGTGCGGTACAGTTTGCTTATGTGTACTGTACTCTAGTGTTGTAACACCAGCATGTCTGAGAACCACTATTCTTTAGCAAAAAATTGGCACAATATTGGTGAAAAAGGTCAAATTATGGGAGGTAAAAGTCCTAACCCATAGTTCCCATAAAAAGTTGAGTTCAATTTAGAAATGATTAAGGTTTTCAAGCACTTAATACTGTATTGTTCTTTTTCGAGGGTCCGGTTAACACGACACTTGAGAGACCTCTAGGGGGACTACCGTATGCTTCCACATTTAAACTTTAAAACATCATTGTACACGGCAAGACTGTCTCTTCGGAGTACCTTGTTTCAATAATGTTTCCCACAGTCACTACTGTACATCTAAAGTTTTTTAATATCACTGTGGACAAGCAAGTGTCTTTTGAGGTGACTTTTCTGTGTAAATGGTTTCCCACATTGATCACATCTAAACTTTTTAATACCATTGTGAACAAGGAAATGCTGCTCAAGATGACTTTTTTGTGAAAACTGTTTCCCACATACACCACATTTAAAGTTCTTAACATCACTGTGCACAAGCAAGTGTGTCTTGAGATGACTTTTCTGTGTAAATAGTTTCCCACATTCATCACATCTAAACTTTTTAATACCATTGTGAACAAGGAAATGCTGCTCAAGATGACTCTTCTGTTTAAATAGTTTCCCACATTCACCACATTTAAAGTTTTTAATACCATTGTGCACAAGGAAGTGTTGCTCAAGATGACTTTTTTGTTTAAATTGTTTCCCACATTCATTACATCTAAAGTTTTTAATGTTACTGTGCACTAGTGAGTGTGTCTTGAGATGATTTTTTTGAGAAAATAGTTTCCCACATTCATCACATCTAAAGTTTTTAATACCATTGTGTGCCAGGTAGTGCTGCTCAAGATGACTTTTTTGTGAAAACTGTTTCCCACATTCACCACAAGTGAACTTTTTAATGTCATTGTGCACGAGCAAGTGTGTTTCAAGACAAATCTTCCCAAAAAATGACTTGCCACATTCCTCACAGGAGGACTGTGTTTCTCCACTAGACATTGTGTACTTCAAGTTAGTGTGACATTTGGTCTCGAGATGTTACGTCACAGTGCCTGAAACAAAACATTTTGCATTAGACAATATTCCCAACACAAGTACAATACTGCAAAATTCTTCTTTAGCAAGGAGAGAATGTCACCGTTAAATCTATTCACCGAGGCATCCTCTTCTTAAAATAACTAAAACAGGATGATTTGAAGTGATTGAGGTCATACCAGAGAGGAAAAACACCAAGGCAAGAGTTTCATTGAGTGCTAGTACTGTACTGTGAAAGAGTTATAGTAGACTGACATAGTTTATACAGAATGCAATTTCTGCAGAAAAGTTGCGGTCCTCCCAGATGTCCTTATGTGACAAGAAAAGGTGCTTGGTGGTGACACGACAAGGACTGTGGACAAAATTCTTTTCACTTTTATACCGGTCCAATGAATTACCCAAAAGTACCCGAAAGTATATTAAATCAGGGTAAAATCTTAACAAATATATGTTTTACATGAATAAAACATGATTAATAATGTTTTCATTGAAATGTAGTCAAAATAATGAAATAATAAACAGCGAAAAACGCCAAATTCCAAAGTCACCTATCCAAAATAGAGATATAATTACCGATGTTTCTGTTACTTTGGGGTATTTAACATAGCCGTAGGATTTACTTTTCGTTAGGTTAGGTTAGGTTAGCGAAGTGCATCACGATGGATCTGAGTTATCTCCCTTGTTCACGAACTCTTTGGAATTTAGCGTTCGCCAATACTGAAAGTTTTTTGCTGTTTATTATTTCATCTTACAAATTATTTTTACCAAATTTCACTAAAAATATTATTAGACATGTTTTGTGTATGTATAACAGATATTCGTTAAGATTTTACCCTGATTTAATATACTTTTGGGTACTTTGGGGTAATTCGTTGGACCCCTTTTATACAGATGACCCAACCATCCATTATCCTTCACTACGCCTCCCCAGTCTCATGAGATACCATTTTTAATGCCAGACAACACACATCATCTCTACAAGAGGACTTCACATGTGTGACTGACTGGTGAGTATCCTTACTGATTTCCTTCATCGTATCAAACTGCACAATTGAACAAAAAAATTGTCAACACCATCATTCCATCATCACACAACATTGAGATTTTGGCATCACCCTAGCTTCAAATCTTACCATTAAAAGTTTCTTCAGATATTTAGCCAAGACTGCTTCAGTGAAACTTGAACCTGTGTTCTGAGTCAGGCCCTGTCAATCATTTATGTAAGCTGAGTGTGCTCTCAGATAGAATACTGTTGTCATCTGTGGGCTGGGCATCATACCGGGGCACTAATTTGATTCACAAAAAACTACCTTAATAAAAAACAATGGACTCTCCTCAAAAATTCCATCCTTGCACATTTGTAGAGATATCTCATTTCTTTTCCTATTCTATAGGTGTGTCCCCAGTCAGTATTGTGACGTGCTACCCTCAATAGTGCCACCACCACTCACTCTCACTGGACCAACAGGGCCATCAGGGAGGGCCCATCACTCTTACAGAACCTCTGCCTTCACACACAGTATCTTCAGTCTTTAGCACAGACAAACCTCGATGAAAAGATTTAATGCTTTCTGGGGTTTTAAAGAAAAGGTGTTATCTTACTCAACAGATTAATACATTATAATCATGATACACAAGGAGACAAAATACTGTACTATATTTAAGAGACATCATACTCAAAAGGTTATTTCATCATGTGAAAGTGGGTCCCATAGGCATGACTGCCGCTTAAGGACAGCGTGGATACAGCGCACCGTATACTAAGCCTTCGGTACACAAGGAGGCAGCATAGTTGGTACCGGACTCCACTGCATTCACCTCCCCAAGTTGTAAACTTAGGTATACATTTACAGCTGGGTGAACTGGGAGTGTCTGGGATCGAACCACAGACCCCTGGAACAGGAGGTGAGCACTGTATCCACTATACTTGTTATGTCATCACACTAAAGATATATTCACTCAATGGGTTAAATCATCACACACTAACAGGTTAAGTCATCACACTAAAGATAACTTATTCAACTGGTTAATTCATTATACTAGACAGTACTGCAGAGGTTATGGAAGTGTTGTAGAGTTCTAGAATGATATTAGTACAAATACTCTCCCTAAACACCATAATTAAACACAAAACAACAATACCTTTTCCTGCACAAGAGAGATGACGTCCATTAATGACCTGTGACCTATCTCAGCCTGCGGCACCAACTGACAAGACGATATAGTTGCACTCAATCGTTGCAACTACCTGCAGTGTAGAGGAAGGATACAGCTGTAGTTAACAATTATATACTTATGACATGAATACTGCATGCCAACTGTACTGTGTGTAAATAATATATCGGGTAAGGCGCTCCAAACACAATCAAGTTAATCTTAAATACCCACCAATAAAAGAGGCATGTTATGTTCTCGTCACATTGTTTGCTGTTACGAAGGAGCAGAAAACGGGCATATATACCGTGTACAGTATATATATATATCAACAGTCCATATACACGCGAACTTCCATATATGCACAAACAATACGTCACTAGTCGTAATATACAAACTAGACACGGTACGTTCCTGAAGCTTTGGTCATATATTAAAACTTTGTATATTCAATAACATTAGTAGCTACTGTACTATGAGGATGTGTTACCTGCCTGCATTACTTATCAGTTCATATTATAGTACCAGTTTAAATACACTTTATAACTTTCTTCATAAACTTCACCTCCAAACTAGCACTTTTTATATTCAAGTTTTTTTTTGTCCCAAGTTTTAGCTGTAAAGACACTGCCGTCACACAACCATTCACAAGCGGTGACACTATGTTACACGTGACAGACGCACTTCACAATGACCTATCAATCTTTCCCCCATGTGAACTGTCTGTTATTTACCCACATGAACCAACTACTGTACAGGCACCCGTCACTTTATCAACGTTCGAGACACGAGAATTCACTTTTAAGAATTTTATATTATTACCTGATGATCACTACACTACTGTACTGTATATGAAAGGTATTCACGCTTATACGAATATTTTATTATTTGCTTTTAATGTGTTAGGATCTAAATTATAGTATGGTAGTTAGATAATAATTTACAGTAGTTAGGTAGAGTTTTTTGTTGTTTGTGGACATAATAAATTTTTTTAGGCATAATATTGGTGTTATCTAGTCATTGTGAAGCGAAGCCTATTTTTCCCAATGTTATATTACGTTGGGATAGGAATAATCACTTAATGGATGGTTTTCAAGGAACCTAACCCAGTCATAAAGTGAGGGATACCCTGTATGAGTATGAACAACAATAACAAGGAAACATATGGTACGTATAATAGAGCTCTGAGGATGACACAAAAACTCAAGACTGATTTTCATTGTTGTCCTGAAAAACAAAAAAGTATTATGATAAGATAGAAAGGTAAAATACTGACCATATCAAAAAATGACTATCAATTACAGTTTAACTAGACAAAGTAGTCATACACATGGCTATTTAATCACACAATTGGCTAGTTTAGGTTAGGGTAAAGATTCAGCAGAACACATACGTACAGGACTCGGAAATTACTAACATAATTAAGTTTTATATTTCTGACGATGCTTTAACGACTTCACTGCAGGACTGCCACTTTTAATATTTTATCTAGTTAACAGCAGATGACTTTTCAGCTTGGAAGCAACACGGTACACGAGAGGTTAAAAGGTTATCTTTGACACTGTTGTACGTTTATGGACACATGACCCACTACCACAAGGAATGATTTGTACAAGTGGACGGGACTTTACGACCAATCAAACCTTTGGCGACCTGACCTAATCTACCCTAATGATAAGCAAGCCCTAAATTTACAAAAGCTTATCTTATTTAACAATTGGAGAAAGATAAAATGAAGCCACTCTTAACAGGAAAAGTGATGCAGTATATATCATGTTGTGATCACTGTCAGGCTGACCAGAACAAGTGTTAGGCCCCCTCCCCCCCAGTGCTAAATATTACACTGGGAAGGAATTACTTTGTACAGTATCTGGTACTGTACTAAACTGGTGTTACTGGATAAAGAATTCTCTGGTTATTTCTCTTTATTTCTGACCCTGTGCTGGCCTTCATAGTAACAAGAAATTACAATACAACTGAAAACTCACAAAAGTACTAAATTTAATACTTTATCTGGTCACCCTGGTCCAGGTCTCTCATGTGACAAAGTACCGTCCCCTGATTGGTCAAGGCTGATCATGTGGATACACTTAACATTAACAAAGGTTAGGTCAAAATGCCAAATGCTTGATTGTTTTTTTATGTGTTTTACCCCACAATTTTCCTCGTCTTGTGGAAACCATTGTTGTTGTTAGTGGGTCATATCAGTGACAAAAAGGTCATATTTTTTTAAATCATAAAGATAAACATAAGAAAAACTTATTCTGATTATTGATTTCCCTTTATGGTCACTAATAAAGGTATCACACGTAGTCCCCGACTTACGACTGACTCAACTTTCGTCCAACCGCGCTTACGACCTGCTCTGACCGTACGACCGTCCGCACATACGATCGCCGCAGTCGTGACCAAAAATATTTTCAAATGACGCGCGCATTTTCTATACCGAAACGTTTCCATCCCGGGCGAGAGCGTGGCTTGTTGGGTCACCGTGTGGGTACAGCGCTTAGTTGGTGTTTGGCTGTCGTATACTATACTGATCTCGCTGTGTACTTACGTTATCGTATTAATTGACTTTATAATGACAGGAAAGCGTACAAGTGAGAGTGCTGGTGGTGCTCAGAAGAAAAGGAGACAGGCAATTACTTTTGAGATGAAAATGAAGATAATAATGCAATATGAGAATGGAAAAACTGTAGCAACAATCTCACGCGACCTAGGTTTCTCACACTCGACCATATCCACTATTCTGAAGGACAAGGAACGTATTCGTGAAGTAGTGAAAGGAACAACACCTATAAAGGGAACTATAATATCAAAGAAAAGACAAGGTCCTATTCACGATATGGAAAAATTATTGGTGATATGGATAGAAGACCAGATACAGAAGCGTGTACCCTTAAGCCTTCTAACCATACAGGCTAAAGCAAGAAGCCTGTTCCAAAGCCTGAAGGAGCAGGCAGGAGATGAATGTGAGCAAACCTTCACAGCAAGTCATGGGTGGTTTAACAGATTTAAAAAAAGCTACAGTCTACATAATGTTAAGGTGAGTGGAGAGGCAGCTAGTGCCGATGTTGGTGCTGCCGAAGCTTTTAAGGAGGAGTTAGATCATGTGATTGTGGAAGGAAATTATTTGCCTGAGCAAATATTCAATGTGGATGAGACTGGATTATTGTGGCAGCGCATGCCTGAGCGGACATACATCCACAAAGAGGCGAAAAAATGCCAGGATTCAAGGCATTCAAGGACAGAATTACACTTCTATTCGGGGGGAATGTTGCTGGCTTCAAGCTAAAGCCCTTCATGATCTATCATTCAGAGAACCCCAGGGCTTTTAAACATGTCAGCAAGCACACACTGCCGGTGTTTTATCGCAGTAACAAGAAAGCGTGGATGACCCTAGTACTATTTGAGGATTGGTTCATGACTTGTTTCATTCCTCGAGTCTGCAACAACGGATTCCATTCAAGGTTTTACTGATTTAGGATAATGCTCCGGGACACCCACCACACCTGGACGACATGCACCCTGATGTTAAGGTAGTGTACATTCCACCTAACACTACCTCTGTCATCAAGGTGCTATTGCTGCCTTTAAAGCGTATTATTTAAGCACGACCTTCGCTCAGGCCGTCGCTGCTACTGAAGGTGAAAAAAACGCTCAGACAGTTTTGGAAGGAGTACAACGTGTCATGTACAAAGAACATTAGTACAGCATTGGATCAGGTTACAAAACATTGCATGAATGGAATATTAGTAACAAGATAGTGGAATTAGGTAAAGAGCTTTAGTTAGAAATTAATAATGATGATGTTGAAGTTTTCAGTGAAACAAATGGTAGAGACATTTACTAAGAACACAATTCCTCACAGTTATCCAATCTACTACAGATAAAGTCTCCAAATTGTACTTCTAACCATCATTACTACCTATAAATAAATAATTCCCTCAATAAGGTGACCTAATGGACGTGACCTTAAGAAACATTAATAGTCAATTATTTATCATCCCAACCCATATAATAATGCTTAGATAAGTGAAGTTAGATATATAATTACTTTTATTAGTGATATTACTTACCTATAGAGCCATAATTAGAGGATAATGGTGAAAAATAACAGCCATTCTACAGTTAGGGGTCACACAACAACAAGGGAAATACTCGATGCTGATTGGTCGACAGCTTCAGGCAGATAATTATGTACCGTATGTAGTTTAGAGGTAGTGTTATTTATTTTGTTTATTATTTTTAGTTTAATATCTATTTTTAAATGTGTATTTTTAGGTTTATTTTTGTATTTTATGTATGTGTGTGATTTTGTGATTTAAGGGATCTGAATTATAAAGTATGTTATGTGTTCTATTTTTTCTTTGTTTTATTTGCATTTTATATTTAAATTTCATATTTTTATTAGTATTTTCTTATTTTATTAGTTTAGTGGTAGTTAGTTAATTGTTTTGTATTTTTTTTATCATTACACTATTTATGAGAATGCTGGCCGTTGGTTCTTTTATTGTTACTCTAAGACTTTTTTATTTGTTCAGTGTCTAATGCTCTTATTTAATCTCTCTTTTGTTAATTTTGTAGATATTCAGTTTTTTTTCTCATTTTTCATTTCTTGGTCAAGCTGACTTTAACACCATCTGATCTCCAGCACTGATCATGTCACTCATGTTAATATAACTTACTAACACAGTCCAGGGACATCTCAATACCTAGTTCCTCCATTCTGATTAAGACCACATGGTTAACTGTGTCTGATGAACAGTTGAAGTCAGCAACATTCTAGTCTGCCACCCACTCCACTCCATCCATCTTCCATACAGTCTTCTATTTTACCTATCACTTTTTACACTCCATTTTGCAACACCACATTACTCTCCTCTCCTTACATACACCTCCCTCCTTTCTCTACATTTTTTAAGCATCACACACACATTCTTCCCCTGCTATAACCTTTACACACCTAACACGCTAGAAAGTTATCATTCTTAATTTTTTATGCCACCTGACTGCTCCATGGTCAACCCTCTTCTTAAACATGTTACAATACAACTGTGCTCACTACATCCCTAAACTTGAGCCTTCATTCTCCTTCCACCTTGTACACATACATAACCCTCAACAGTGTGCACCATGACCACTTACTTTATCAGTCAGTACAGTAGTGCTCCAGTTCCCCATCTCCCTTACACACATCAATCCATCCTTCACTTTCTCTCAGCCCAACCTGTGAAGCATACATAAAGCAGTCATCAGATCATTGCCAACTAGTAACTTCAGAGCCTTAATTCATGCACTCACCCTTTCCACCTGTTGCACTTTCTTCATCCACTTATAAAAAGATCAATATTCCTTCACCACCCATTTCACATTCACTCCTCTTCCACTATATTGCACATCTATCGTTCTTACAAGTACGTAATCAGCTGTCTAGAACCACCTCAATTCTCACACACAGCCGACACTGAACTTTCCACAATACCGCCTGCTCTTCCTGCATTGTACGTACCTATATTTAAACTTCCATTTTTTTCCAAACACAGCATTTTTTATTCTGACGTTTAAAGTACAAGTACCATACAGCACCTACGGCAGTTGACCGACTGCCCCAAACTGAGGACGAGTCTTCCGTCGGGTAAAAAATACAATATTTAATAATAATTTTTATTGAGATCAGCAGGATGACTTGTGTTTTTATCAGGTTTCTCCAACTAATCTCAAGTGACGGGATTAAACATAGACAATGGCAGTTTTTCAAAGTAATGTTATAGTAATGCAATGTTAGATTGGTTTGTCAAGAAAGTGCTAGGTTTTGAAGAGTAATGCATAGGCATTAAGTTTAAAACTACATTAAATATTATAGAGCAAAGTCGAAGCAAAATGTATCAGGTTTACAGTGATGAAAAATACACTCCTTATTTAAGAAGTGTTTTTGTGCTATCTGTGAGTATGAAAACTGTAATTTCTAAAACTAAGTAAGGCCATATACACTGCTGATGCTTTGTGATTACTTTTAACATGAACTGGCAACCATTACATACCATGACTTTAAATGTAAAAAAGTAAAGTAACAACTTATTAACAATGAGACCTTACAGGAAGTTGAAACCTCAAATACATTATTTGAAATAAACAACAAAATTACATTTGATAAACCTCAAAGATAATCAAGATATCTAAAAAAAAGAGTAAAAGTAAAATGTTTCATTCTCACAAATATGTGTTGTGGATCAAGGAGGGTTGAACATATCCGAGTGCTCATTACTGTATCTCTTTTGATCTCGATCTGACACGAGTAAACTTATGGCGCGTGCAGTACAGTATATGTGACTCGTGCCACATGGCTACCAAAACTTAACACAACTGGTGAGATATACAAGTAGTTGTTGTTTAGTCTGTACAACTCAGTAACTTCTAAAGTTTGTCTATTTTATAAAACGTAAAGGAGTGAACAATATATTGACACTAAGTAAAATAAATGTCTTTTAACGTAATAATGACAAACAGAATACGCATAGAAAAGTTTATTTCTGAAATGTTTGGACCAAAACTCATAAACACAATAATGAATGCAATGCTTACAGTACATAACTTTTAAAAGATCTTGGCAGGATTCCCCTGCATACTGAGTAAAACAGAGAAATAATAACTACAAATTTTCTTTCCATTACTAAGAATAATGATGAAGCTACTAACAGCCCCCTTATCCTTGTTAATCATCTGTAATTTATGCACTTTAAATGGTGATGCGAGGTAATCCCCCTTTAAGTAAACTGTATGGTAGCAATTTATTGAAGCTTCAATTTTTTTAAATTGATACATGTTCACACCCTGATCCATTCCGACTTACATCAGATAACAAGGTGAGGAGAAAAATAAAATGCCGAAGATAACAGAACTTGTTAAAGCATAATCCACTATTCAAAACTGAATTCCCTCCCCCGGCCTCTGCCTCTGCCCTTCAAGGGTTTATCTTCTGCTGCTGCCTTCTCTGCTCGTCGCCTCTTCACGTCCCAATTGTAAATACGAGCCATTGTCACTTCAGTCGTGGTACACTGGTTTCTGTACAGGTAGGAAAATTATTTTAAACTCTTTATGAAGAACTACAAGTAAAGACTGTTACAATAATGAAGCTACGACTATACTGTACTGTACTACTGCTGAATAAAGCTAACCATGTATGTATTTATTTTAGAATACAGTACAGTACAACCTCAATACACTGGACTAATTGGGGTACGGTAACAGTACACCCCAGTCCGGAAAATGCGAAAGTCTGAAAAAAGTGAGTCAATAGAGGGGGGTGACATAACACTACTTGTCTTGTTATAATGTTACTACACTTCAATAACTAACGTATTTAAGTACATAACAAGGTTGGTAAAACACTAATACATCTTCAATAAAAGATACGAGATAAAACTTTCTGGGTTGAAAATCAGGCTGCAGTACTGTACAGTAAGTCTGGTCTTTGACTACTTTTTTCACTGAGATAACTGTTTTATACTGTAAAGTGTTATATGTAAGTAAAAGAATTTGTGTTATGAATAGAAAAATCTGTACAGTATTATAAAGATAAAGAGTGTGTGGGAGGTGAAACTGTATCTAGGAACAGGAGGAAGAGGGTTGATAAAAAATGAATCAACTTTCCAAACAAGAAAACCCCCCCACCCCCCAAGTCATTGTGGTCATTTGTTTTCACAGCTCAAACAGCTGATTGTCCAAGCTCCCTCCTTCCCCCTCTCTCTCATGCTTATAATAATAATAATACAGCAATAATGTAATAATAATAATAGCTGGTCTTGTTTTCAAGGGCCAGTTTTTCTAAACAATTCACTAGTGCTGAAAACACTGCAAAATCACTCATATCTTTCTTCAGCAATTAGTAAATAGTACTGCAGTGAATTTATCAGCAGTTAATAAATAATATTTTAGTGTATTATACATCTATATATTCCCTGGTTTATTCATTAATCGGTTGTCTAAGTGTACAAGTAGCCATGTATAACTCAAAAGGTAATAAATAACATTGTCTGGAAGGTAACTCCATACCAAACAATATATAGTAAGTTATAGTGACCCTGTTGTAAGATGATTTGATGAAAACTCTCACAGGAATACTTCTTGTCCTCTATTTTCATATATAACCAAATATGGTGAGTGAGGTGTTACAAAATAACTATTGGTGGCTCTATACGAACCTGACTGACAAATGGCTGGACAACATTACAGTAGTGACAATTTCAAGTTGAGACGAAAAGAATGAAACTTACCTTAAAAAGTCAAGATCATGCTCCACTTGTTTTAGATTCTTTGTGGCATTGCCTAAGTTTTTGGATAGAAGACCTTCAGCATCCCCAAGACCATACTCCAGCATCACATTAGCCTGTCAAGATCAGTTAAACCATCATTAGGTATGAAAACGTATCTTCATGGTCAGTAATGGTTGACCCCAGCTGCCCTTGAGAGCGTAACTGGTAGGATGTTGATCCATTCCTCCCACGAAGTTCTTTATGACATTCACAAGAAGCTAACACATTTGTAAACTACTTAAATTCACTACTGTATACTAATTCCCATAACAGAGTATAAACTTTTGTGGTATATACAGTGCTGACTCTCCTTACTATCACGAAAGAATACTCAGCCTTTACTTGATAAAACACGGAGTCATCGGGCACTTTGTAACATTATCAAGAAATAATTACAACAATCAAATGGGAAAAAAGACGTGTGTGTGTGATCAAATAACAGCCATTTATACCATGATGATGAAATATTTCGTCTTTAGGATCCTGATGTATATGAGCACCGAGACATTTAAAAACAAAAGAGGGTCACTAGCCATTTATATTCAACATGAACAAGAACTCTATCACTTAAGACAACTGTAATAAGATCATATATCCCAGTTTTCCCTCATCCCCTGCTACCTTGATCAAACACCTTCACTGCTTCTAAAATCCTCTTCCAATACTGTACATTATATAGCCCATTATTATAAAGTCAAGAGGCTATCAAGGTGCAAAAATCATCCTTATTCTAGCTATCTCATCCACAGATCTATGCCCCACCATAAAGCCCATTTCTTTCTTTGTCATGTATGATTGTTTTCTTATACCGTACCTGTACAGCACAAACCAAAGATGGAAAACTCTCTTTCTCCAGTTTGTTTCTGTATTATGGAGAATGATGATGATGGCTACAGCTCATTCACACTTTCCTTAGTATTTCCGAGATAATCCATTTTTATACTGCCCTATGTATTTTAAATGCCCCAAGCAGTTGAGTGATATTTTGCAAAGAACCACAGGCATTCCTCCACACAGACACATCCTCTGGACTTCCTTTTTACCACCACTTCTTAGTTATACAATGAAAACACATAAATACTCTTCTGCAGCAAAGGGTCGAGTGAGGTCGTGTGTGAATACTGACGGGCAATTTGTGTCTCACCGAACTATTTTCTTATCAACTGGTGTTAGTATAATCCTACGAACACTACAGGATGCCACTGTGAGCTTTAGAACTTAAATAATAACCAACTAGGAAGTTTTCTTGTGGTAATAAGGACAGAGCATAGGAATAACTGATGTCTATACACTACTTATAATTAATTCATAATATTCACAATCTTAGAAATAACACTCCTGAATTGCTATCTCTCTGTGGTGTAGATCATAGGTGATGGAAACCCTCGACTCTTACAAACCCTTTCCTGCTCTATTACAAGATGGCTGGAACCAAGAACAAACAAGACTCATCACTTGCTGTCATTCACTTAATCTAACTGATGTGTTCTAACATGGTGTTCCTCTTCTATGACAAGGTCTCTGATATGGGTTATCCCTTATGTATAGAAGGATTTTATAAGACTTACTCCTAGCCAAAGACAAACGCGATCTGTAGGTGGAATGTTTGCCTTCATGTACACCTGGTCTGAGAGGAGATACCTCGTCTCAATGACTTCTGCCGTGTCCTTCCTCGTTTTCATTTCTTTCACAATTTGTAGAGAACTCTTGATGTCTGGAATCTGAGACTTCAACCTGAAAAACAAAACAGAACTTAAGCTCACATTCGATAAACACAATATTTAATTTCTTCACCAACAAATCAATATCTGAAATTAAAGTAGGAATTGGTGACTGGAGTGAAACTAATATATGAAGATACAAAGTGAAGACTGTTATGGGAAGAGGGACACAGAGAGCTTGTTTCAACTGTATGATCCTTTCCAAACTATCAGACTGTTGTAGGAGTTGCCAGTGTGAGGGGACGTTAGGCAGGGACCGACACATTACTAGTCGAGGCTACCCAAAGAAGCCAAGTTACAAATTGTAGGAATGTTTTTAATAAAGAAATACAATGCAGCATTATTGACAGAACCTATTGATTCCTTTATTCAATTCCTGCAGAGTGCATAAGTGGTGAGTGTACCAGCTGGGAACCCAATGCTCTTACCAGACAATTACTACAATTACAATATTTTATCATTAGTTTTCATATTGTCATCATAATCACCAGTGGCCTCAGTACATAACAGAACAACATAAGAAATGACGAAATGAAAATCATGTAATTAAAGGCAAGCTTGAATAGGTGGCAACAGCTTATGAACAGAGTGAGTGGATACTGACGGATAAGACATCGACATACAAAAACTAAGTCGGGGATTGTCTGAGAAAAAGGAATATAACTATGGATGAAAAGTGGAGGTGTAATGGATGGATATTACCGTCCAAGGCAAGAACTTTGGTCACATGGACGACTAAAATATACAGGAAGAAGTAGTACAGTAACTCCACCAGGAAGAAAGTCAAACAACGGCAGCACGTGACTTACTTTTTACGCCTTGCCTGTAGATGAACCTCCATAAATTTGTATTTGTTCAGCTGCTCATCTAAGCGCTTGATAACCTCTTGTGCATTGGCGTTGTCTTCCTTCTTCATGAATGAGTCGACATCTTCCTGTAAGTACGTGCACGGGTCTTTAACACATAATGGGTCCACATTATTAGTTTTAATGTTTCTAAATAACCCAACAGTCCGCTTTCAGTTCTAGTATTTTTCACGTGGGAAAGTTATTCAGTTTTCTGTTTAACTTGAGATAATAATTGGATCATATTAATATAAATAATTACGAATTATTTAAATGATCATTGTCAACTTTACAGAGGGCCAGTGTTGTACCAGTAAGTTACCTAACCTAATAAAATCTATATAAACTTGAACTTCATCTCAATCTTATTATATTTGATTACATTAAGGATAAAATTACAGATTACAATAACTAAAGAGACTCTAATGTGGCATGAGGTGTGTAGTGAAGGCATGACTCATGACAGATGGTGTTGGTGTCATGTGTCACTTGAGTCCTCCAGTTTATAAGTTAATCTAATTACTCTCTAGAAGTTAATATACTTTATTTATATACTTACTACAAACTGGGCCTCTGGTATGCCCATATAACTTTTACTCTCGTCTAAAGGTTTTTCACTGTCGCCGGCCATGATGTTTACACCCTACTGAAGTGTTCCAATAATCCTCTAATGTTAAGGAAAAGTCACATTAATATAACCTTAATTCAACTTTAAATATGTAAGGTTATTTTTTTAATGTTTGTTTAATATAATATTTTAATTTTTATCAATGAAAATAATTGAGTTTTGTTATAGGGAATATATTTTAAGAGACTATAATTTATGTTTGATAGATATGGTATTTTAGCGCCAATTTCGCGAATTTTTTATATTTGGCGATAAATATTTTGGCGATGTTGGCGTTAAACTATTATTAATGCGATAATTAGATAGATGATAATTTCTATTTGTAAATTAATGGTTTGAACTATTCTGTTACTAAAAACCAGGAGGAAAAAATAAAATTCAAAATATTAGAGGACAGTAGAGGTGCACATGGGCGTTGGTGATACAAAGGGGTGGACTGTGGGCGTTGGGACATAGTATTAATTATATTGTATTGAGATGACAAGGTTCTTACATCATTTTGTAGGGAATTATCACTACAGGAAATACAGCTACTAAATGTTAGGGGCGAGAGATGGTCCTAACTGATTAAGACAATCCTAGACAGAAAACATATTTATTCATTAAACTCACCATATAGTTATACAAGTTGACTGGTTCATCATTTACCTCATCACCACCCACTAGAGGAGGCCATGCTCAGGGAAGGATGCCAGTAGCCTGAATAGGAATAAGATCCCTCTATTGTTCTTGATAAATTTGTCAAGGGGTTTTTGCAGCCTGATTCCACAGCTTGAGCTGGTAGACAGTTCCATAGCTATCATCTATATGACAAAGTACTTTCCTTATGTTCGTCCTACATGAAAAATGAACAAGCTTGAAGTAATGCACCCTCAAGTCCTCGTGCTGGTGGTGCATGACAGATCGTGAATCATCTTACAGTAGTCGCTCTGTGTTGCACTTTTTCTTCCTTTGGCCATTCTTAGACGCCAAGGATAGACTTACAATGACCTGGACCATGTGGTGTTCATAAATCACAGCTTAGGATTTTGTTGCATCCACCAATTACAGGAACTTGTTTTGTCTGCCAATCACAGTTGAGGACCTTGTAATGTCCACCAATCATAATCCAGGGCCTCGTTGTGTCCACCAATCATAATCCAGAGCCTCGTTGTGTCCACCAATCATAACCCAGGGCCTCGTTGTGTCCAAGCACCAACATACCACCCAAACTAACACACCATAAACATTCACCAACACATCTCAAATGATCAATAACGTCCACCAAGACAACATTCACCAACACACCACTAACATACTGTAGGTAGGTACTGCACTGTTCATCTATCACCACTAACTCCAACCTTGTGTCTGTCTCACATTCCAGAACTTTAAAACCACTGGAAGGATTGACAATAATTTATAGAAAAAGTTACTGTCAACAAGATGATGTACCATGGATAACTGCCAGATCCTTATCATATTGCTCAATGTCACACTTTGGAGCCAGTGGTCAAGACATACATTGGTTTAACTGATCAATGGTGCTACAACAACATCCTGGGCCACACACGGTACCATACTGACCCAAAATGAAAGAATAAGGTTGGCCATGTCTCAACGTCTCACAGAACAGTCAACAGTTTGGAAGAATTTGACACACCATCTGTAAGAATTTCTTGCTGGGTTGGATTGTGGTTAACATCTGAGGAATTTATTTTTGTTTAAATGACCTTGATATAAATCTCTCTATAAATTCCATACAGTATAAGCATATATATACAATGGCAGATCTAGGCCTGTGAGGTACAAAAGTGAGGAATCCCTGAGACTGAAACTACTTAGTTATTTTAGTAACACACTGTTGTGATATAAGAATAAAACACCTAAAAAACAAACATTGACTACCATAGGCCAAGAATATGGGAAATTTATTTCAACCTTAAGCCTCTCAGTCAGCAACAACACCCCCCCTCCCCCCCAGGTTGCCCGCTACAGTACTACTATGGTAAAACTAATTAGCCAGTGACAATAAAAATAAACCAAAAGAAGCTTAATTTTTATATTTTCTTTCTCATATTTAAAGTTGGGTGCCCAGGGCAGATCCAGGGAGGGGGCTGGAGGTCTGGACCTCCCTTTTCATCAGAAATTTCAACTTTTTCTTTAATGCAGTATTGTATTCAAGACATTTTTGTATAGTAAAAATTAATTACTATTGATCTCAGAATATCTCTTAATAACAAGTGCACATGGCTTCAAAGTGCCCATGATAATGGTCAGATTTAAAAAAAAATTCTGGGAGGGGGGGTGGGCTTACAGCGCTCCTCGGCTGGGTGGGCTCGCTCTGCTTGCCACGTTCCCCTACCCACAACTTCTTGGAACCCCCCCCCTTTTGATATTCCTGGATCTGCCCCTGGTGCTCTGTTTGGCCACACACCCTGAACACTTCTAAATCTGGCACTGCTAAATAGCATCAATCTTCAATCCCAGATTAAAGAGGGTGCTTGATTCTATTTACAGTACAGGTATGTGGAGTACACTACAGTATTGTACAGTACACTTTAATACAGTAAACAGAAAGAGATGCATGTACTGTACTGTACAGTGTTCTGGTTGTTCCTTGTATGACTTCTGTTGACTAAATGGGCAAGTAATACAGTCCATACTGTTATTTAAATTTACCCTTTGGCTGTTGTTGTTGTGTTGCTCTTGTCTCTGTGAGCAGCTCAGCCCTGATGTGGATGGCAGATGGTTCTGCAGTAACCTATCATATCGTCTTTTATTTGTGATACAGTATTCTTTCCTTTTTATTTCTTTTCATTACTTTATTAGTAGGATTTCGTCTCTTCTTCGTTTATCATTTCACCACTTATTGTAATTAATGAAGAGGCCTTACAAATATTGGTCAACAAACTAGTGGAAAAAGGCAAAGAGTGTTGGCATAATGTTGTACAGACAGAATATGGTAGTTTCTCAATAACAAATAAATCCTAAAATAAAGACTATTGCAGCACTGTATGTGAATATCTTGTACAAACCTCAGACTAGATCCCCAGTCAGTTCATAAATGGACAACTATTTAATAAAACGGACAAGATTATTCAGAAGTGAAATTGAATTTCTCTTGGACTTGGTGCAGGTCATACTAGACTTCCAAGGCCAACAATGGCACTTAGATGGCTAGCAAATTACACACTTACAACGCATTATAAACAAAGGAGAAACCCTTACACAAACCTGTATCACTGAGAACTGTATATAACTCTTAAGACTTCACAAGAACTCAAAATAAAGGAGAACCAGCCACCAAGGAGGTGTTTTGACTGGGCCTGTACGGTTTTAACATCTCAAACCCCCACTGTGGCTTAGCTGGATGACATTCAAGGTGTTTGCCTGATGACATGGTCCTCAAAACACATTTGTTTTCTAATTTAAATAATCCTTTTTGGACTTGGTTGTAGTGGGGAAGCGTAATTAATTCTTGTAAGAGTTCTAATATATGATTCCTAAAGCTTAAGCCAGGGTTCACATCCCAAGCTTCAGAACTAAGATCAGGGAGTTGACTAGTGACAGGCTGCAGGCACTGGCCATAAAACTTATATATGGGAGACCTGAGGGTTGAAAGGACTAAACATATTCACACATATACTGTAGTAAATACAGCACATATATCATTAGCCATGTGGGAATGTCAACGAAAATATGTTTATGATAATTTTATTTTATTTCTTATATTTATACAGTAACTCAATAAAAATAAATATATTACAATAATACTGTACACAGAAACATAATCTAATTAATTAGTTACTCGATCAAATAAAAGAACCAGTTCTACGTGGTCAGTGTGTGGGAACATGTCCACAGGCACCGCATACCTTGGAACAAAAGGAGCAGAATGGTCTTTCTTGACGCCTGTGCTCCGAGTCGACCCGAGACTCACAAAGTTTTCCATTGCAAAGCCATCTGGTTTACAACTTATGTAAATCAATTTATTAATGGCTTCACACTGACGAATAGTTTGAATCACACTTGGATCTGTAGAGAGAGTAAAATGTTGTCACTGGAAACAGGTTTTGTAAAAGAAAGACACGATTATATTTGGTCTTCGGTAAATTGAGAAGAAAATTTATTAATACCGATTTAGTGATGGCTATTATTATTCTGTTATCTCTATATCCATTACACAGTTAGCTGCTACAGAGGTGTTACACTAATGTCATTACAACAATGTGGGTTTAATTAATATAATTGCAAGTATAAATACGTAAAGTAGCAATGGAATTTAGGGGCAATCTATCACAATTACAACAAAAGAATCTAAACATATTATGCAAGTAAAAGAGACAAAAAAGATTATTCCTTAAAAGGTTCATTTGGATAACAAAATATTTCAGATATTACAGTAAATTTTCTAACCTGAAGAAGTACAACAGTTAAAAAAATAATAATAAAAAAATATTACTCACGGAGTCCTGCTCGTGCTGGGTTGACAACAGCAACAACATCAGCACAGTTTCTCAAGGTCTGAGTTAACTTTGGGAGTATCTGCAATAATTTCACTAAATAATCATTGTGCAATTAAAAACACATACCGTACTGTACTATACAGCAAACACCTGACAGAGAATAATTTAATGCAGTCAGCCCCTAATTCACATCAAAATCTGGACTGAGAATGAAGAGTTCGATAAGACATTCACAGATTACACCATAATTTTTATTTAGAATGATTTCAACAGATAGATAACAGACACAGAGAAATACACCAAAAGGTTACTGGCACATGATGAACTCCAATCAATTAAAACTTTACCCCCAAAAGCTGGAGCCTTGATACTGTACCCCACAATGTCCCCAGAGGATACTGATAACAAAGGTGTGACAAATCCTGTATAGAAAGGAGGATTCTTCACACTCCTCCTATACCAAAACATATCCTTCCAACCCTCCATTACAATAGTCACCATGAATGAAGGACCAAACAGCTTATGCAGTCATCAACCTTCTCAACTGGCTGAAAGAATTGTTGTTGTCACAGGTTATGGCCGTGCTGTTCTGAGGTCATGATACATTACATAGGAGTAGCTCTTATTATTATTAACTTTCCAACACCTAACTCCTTGCTCAAGCCTCCCTATAGCAACACCTCCCCCCAGGAAGTCATGGTACAAGAAAACACCTGTATTCACCTTATGAAAACTATTGTATAAAATTTCCACAGTCATTGCCCCTCACTACAGACTGAAGATATCACCACAACGCTTCAAAACTTCAGGTTCAAAATAATATGATCCCTAATAAACCTCCTGCTTCTAGGGGATAATTGTTGTACTACTAGAGCTGTCTTATTTAGGGCTGGTGAAGGGGAAGGAAAGGGTGGGGAGTGCAAGAAGCTTGTAATTTAAGACCCACTTGGCTTAAGGGTATAAACATGAAACTTAATTCATTTTAGGTTTAAGAGGAATAAAAATATTCTCGAAGGGTCAAATTGCCCCTTCTCACAACACTGAAGGTCCTGAGGCATTTACAAACACTCAGTACGATGAAAACTAATTGATCTATATAAGAATGATCTCTTTTAAGTTTTAATACCGTATACTGTACTAAATATTCTCTTGGTGTAGTCATGCATTTCCACCTCTTGAATAGTTAAATAGCACCAGGTAAATGCTCTAATATTATAAGTCATTCTCATCTCTGAAAAAATTGGGGAACAGACAAGTTCATTAAATGGATAACATAAGGAGACCAAAATTTCTTTATATTCTAAGTTCCCTTAAGTCATGTCATTCCTACACCAAGATAATAAAATATTTGGTACTGAAATGATTTAGCTAAATATCATACAAACAAAAAAACAAGTTCAGGTGGAGTGCTGTACAGTATATGGTATTAACATACTTCTTGACCCTATACATACCTTCTCAGCTTTGCCTTGTATAAAAGTTGTGTTTGAAATACTGTTATTATAAGCATTCTTCTTTGCATCTTCTATAGCTCCAGTAATCTCATCAATGCCAACAGTTCCTCGAACATGTGGTGCCATGACGAGACTTATAGTACCTGTGAAGGAGAATCAGATATACTGGTAATGAGGTTGGGTTCCTTTATCCCTCTTGATACAGTCAACTGTGTACAGGACCAGATTCTAAACAATGAAATGGGAAAAAAATATGTTTGGATGAATTGCTGTTTGTTTCTCTTCTACTCCCTTTCTTTTCTCTAGTTTTTATGCTTACATCTTGTCTAGGATGTAATATAAGTAATGAAGTATTGTAAGCATATTACAGAATATTTATTAACTAACTACAGCACCAGATATTGTGAAAATACAGTACAGTACAGGGAGGCTATCTTTACAAATGACAGTCAGTAGAGTTTGTGTATCAGTGCATCACATTTAGGCTCATGCAGCTCTTGACTCAGCTGGTCTGCCTAACATTGTAAATCCCTTCTGAAGTATAGATCTAAACATGGTATAACAGTATTACAACATATTTTAGTAGACAGTTGCCATGCTACTGCACCTGTATAATAAAAAGGTGCATTTATATTTGGTAATTTCACTCTTATTTAAAAACAATATGAAGTAAACTACATTACTATAGTTAGTATTGTACAGGTAGTGGAAATAAGCCTCTAACAGCTTTCTAGGACCATTTTTTTTAAAGTGCCATGATGTTTGCCAATGTTTTCATGTCAACATTGTTTATGTGCAGCCAATCCACTGGTTAAAAGGGGATGTCACAGCAGCTAGAGTGAAAGATTAATAGCATGTGAGGAAAAAGCCTGTGTTTGTTCTTGATTACCACCACCATGCACTATGGCAGGAAAAAGTTTCGAAGAAAAAAAAATACATCACTGTACCCACCAGTTCCACAACAGATGTCGAGTAAGGTGGTGATGGGAGAGACCTCTGCTATTTCTTGTAATGTTCTGTACAATACCTCGGCTCCTCTAGTGTTAATCTGGAAATTACAAACAGTATAGATAAAAAGTCAAAGAATAAATATCCAGACAATACTGAAGATATTACAAGCATGTAATATCCCACTTGTTCTTATACTGTACAGTATATCCTTCATGTTCTACCATCTTGTTCTTGGGGGAGTTAAATAAATCTACATGTTGGTGGTACAGCTTTAACACACATAACTCTCACCAACATGTCAAGGGTTCGAGCCTCGGCCAGGACAAATGTGAGAAGGGTGTTATCCAGTGCGACCCTCACTACCATTAAATCCCATTTATGGCCAAGAGGAAGATATGTAGCCTTTGGGATCCATACCACTGACAAGACCCTTAGCAGAACCTGATTACTGATACGACAAGAGACCACACAGCATGGAGACCTGCCATCAGGTACCGGTAATCACAGCATGGAGACCTGCCATCAGGTACCGGTAATCACAGCATGGAGACCTGCCATCAGGTACCGGTAATCACAGCATGGAGACCTGCCATCAGGTAATCACAGCATATTCCATGAAAAAATCCTACAATGTCATTACACAATTTAATAATTCAATAAACATTCTATCCTCAGGAACTTACTTGAAAAAATGCATCTGGTGATATTTGGAAAGTCAAATCACAGCAGGTTTCTGTAATGTGTTCCTTCCCAGCAACCAGTTGTAATGGTGCTTGCTCTCGTGTGCACCGTGTGTGTTTACTGGAAACAAAATGTATCATTATTCAACAAATATGACCTATGATATAACCCTGCAGATATGGGGAACACAACATCAAGATCCTGAAGATATGGGGAACACAACATCAAGACCCTAAAGATATGGGGAACACAACATCAAGATCCCACATGTACGGTACAATATAAAATGTCTCCAACCCTTCAGATCTAACACTGTCCAGATTTTATATTTTTACAGATTTTAGAAACATTGGTCTGAAAATGTTATCACAACCTTAACAGAGAATTTATCACTGCTTGTTTATACATAATGAACATAAAGATACAACTTAGGACTATACAACCATCCAGCCGTAAAGCCACGAGGTTCACCAATATGTAATTCCTGATGACATGTTCGGTCTTTTCACACAGTCATCAGATTTAGCCAGCCAGCTACACTATAAGCCACCCACTCCGTATGTTTGTTTATCATGAGCAGACACGTAACAGTCTCAACGTGGGTTGTTTTCACTTACCAAAGACAATAATCAATGATCGCAATGCCTTATTAGGTCAAGTCTCATCTTCAACTCACTTATTGTACCACTACATTATTTATATCGTGAAAATTAATCACTATACTGTAGTTGTAGTGAGCTGAGACTCTACCTATAAGAACTAATAGTGTGGTTAAGTTAGTACAGTAGAGTACTCACCATGCTTGTAGGTAGAGAGAGTCAAGTTCACACTCTGATCCTTCCCCTTCAAAAAAGTATCTTCTTAAATCTTCCATAACTTCTTGAATCCCTTCAGCTGGCAACTGTTGTGGATGGATGACAACACAGGCCATTTTATCTCCACTTTGAGTTGACCGCACGGTAATATTTCGCCATATTCCGCCATCATCAAACTGGTGGCAGGCGTCATGTGCGGACTGTCGGATATAGTTCTGGAAACTCTGGAAATTAGAAAAATATTCACTATACAGTACATGTCCAACCATCTAATCTTTTCCAAGCCCTTTTCTGGTGAACTATAAGATGGTCATAAAACAAGTTCAAATACAGACTCTCTCTCCATTCATTCTTAAAGTTATAAAAGATGTGTTCTGCTACGACGCTCACCTTCCAACAACAACAACAGTAGTATCTCTCTTCCCCATTTGCTTCCCACTTTGTAAATTACTCATCAATGTGACTCAACGCATTTCCATCCCATCCCAGAAACTTATGGAAGTGAGGCTTTGTGTTGCTGTGATGCATCCCCGTAAACAGTTGATAAAGTGATGCGGCGGTTGGAGCTGCGTACAACAGAGGAAACATACGAGGGAGGAGGAGAAGGAAGAAGGAGGATGAGGGATGAAATTGTAAGAGGGAGAGGGGTGAGAAGACAGGGGTGGACCAGGGAAGGGAGAGGAGGGAATATAAAAAAAAGAACGAGAAGAGGGAGGAAGAGGAGAAAGGGGAGATGCCAGGATGGGGAGAGAAAGAAGGAAAAAGCTTATGTACCTCAGACCTTGTGCTCCACTTGTGCTGTCAACACAAGACTGTACACAGCCTCTGCCTCAAACCTATAATGAGGCTGGTGCTGATCAACAACAGTCAGTCATATAACATTACCCAAGAAGTTGGCAGCTAAACTTCAGTAACTCTCAACTGGTGATGTTTTTGTTGCCAATGAACCATAAGACTGGTGCTTTTATAAGTTATTTATATACTAATGACACCAGTGAATGGTTATACACACTCAAGACATATAAAGAAATATGCATAATACAAGATGGCTGAAGAACACATATTGGTATTACAGTATCTGCTAATGTTCACCTCATGCAATAGGGACAAGTAAGAGATGACAAATTAACATTATGAAGTGAGAGAGAAATTAGACCCCAAAATAGGAAAGTAATTACCTGAACAATAAACTTGTGACTTTCCTTCATGTTGATGAGATAGGTTGGGGGAACACACACCATCAGCGGGTCTGAGGGTCGTCCAACGAAGAAACCAACAGTTTTGGGGTCACCGTCTACACCAGTGCGGATCCCAAATTCATCTTTGTTGCGATAAGCGATTAAATCAGGCTGTAAAATTAATAAATACATATAATACACATTAAAATACAGTCAATCTTCTTCACTTTCCCTCCTCCCTTCTATCTTTGAAATTTACCTGTGGTTTCCTCATTCCGTCCCTTCAGTCCCCTACACAGTATACACACAGTCCTGAGGTAACAACCAAGTAAACTGCAAACTGAGTATGGGAAAGTTAAAGTGAGTTCCTATTGGCCAGACATCCCTTTATGGGCAGTGTGGATAGAGCTTACAGTAATCTAAACCTTCTATATGGCGCACAAGGAGGCAACATAGCTGGCACTGCACATGACTGCCTTCACTTTCCATTTCCAGTTGGGTGACAGAAGAGTACAGTACCACACCCTTAAGTAATGTAAGGGATTTCAATTTCTAAAACTGAAAGGATTTACTGTGTGTGATAATAACAGTCATACTCACAGATGGTCTGGTTGGTTCAAGTGGACATGGAAGCCCTCGCACGGTCCTTACTACCGGCGCTCGAACTTCAGTAAGTCGTTTGGACAAAACCTGCAATACTTTCTGTGTTTGATGTTCCTTCATCTTGAGTTGCTGGTAATATGGCACCTAGAAAATTATAAAAGAGGCATTACATATTGTTAAACATGTAACAAGAACAAACCCTTATTCTGCTTCACAGTGAGGACATATATATACAGTATCATAAATAAAATATGTAAGGATATGTATATAATGATGGCGGGACACAAGTATAGCACCATGGAGCAAGAGGGACACAAGTACAGTACCAGGGAGCAAGAGGGACACAAGTACAGTACCAGGGAGCAAGAGGGACACAAGTACAGTACCACAGAGCAAGAGGGACACACGTACAGTACCATGGAACAAGACACATACAGCGGTAGTACCTGGCACAAGGGAGTGACCACTTGAGCGAGGAGTTGATGCTGGTCTTCACAGGTGACAGGACTGGTTAGCGGGGTGTTCCTTCTTGGCTGAAACAGAAATAAAAAAAAAATATGATTTTTTTTATGACACACATGAGACGCTCCAGCTGACAGGAGGGTTGAGGTGTGTTTACTATACCATTATAAGCCTCAAACTTCCCTCTCACTTATAACTGTTCTTCCTGGCCTTATTACAGCTGCTCCCCGACTTATGACGGGGTTAGGGACCCAAACCCAGGTCGTAAGTCGAAATGGTCGTAAGTCGAAATGGTCGTAAGTCGAAAATGCTTAAATAATACATAGAAAATCTAAAATGGGTGTCTCTTTTTCTTCTCAGCACCACAGAACTCTCACTTTTAAGCTTGCCAGCCATTTTAAGGTGAATTACAAACAAAAATTTTGTCAATACGTACACAGCACAATCACTGAAGTTGGGACTCGAAAATACGTAATTTGACAAAATTTTGGTACGACTGAGGCGGTCGTATGTCCGGGTGGTCGTAAGTCGAGTAGGTTGTAAGTCGGGGAGGAGCTGTATACTTTCATCACTCATCTACTTCTCGCCCGGAGCGCCTCATACACATATAGAGAAGAACCTTGTGGAAAAATATACCGGTGAAAAGACTTAAGAGTAGGAAATGGAAATGCAAAGAGGAGAATAAAAAGGATGAAGACAATGATGTGATACTGAAGGGAAGAGAAGGTTTAGGAATTGAAAAGAAAATTAAATAGTGATTTTTACAGGAAATAAAAAATTCTATTAGTGCCTGGACCTCGCTAATCTGGGAGGCTTGGGACCACACCGGTTCTGGATGATTGAAAATTCTGAACCATCGAAGCCCTGACTGATGTACCACTGTCTAATTTCTTTAGTATAAACACCTTTTCTAAAATAGTTAATGTCACATGCTTATGTGTTGCTGCATTACAAACACTTCCACTGCTTGCTGGTCTCTTAGGAGGCATATTTAGGGGTAAATTATAAGTATCTAAAGGTAAACTAGTGGCAACAGCCTCTAGAAGTGAACTATGACACCATCCTGAACCGTCGAAGCTGCCGGACTATGGGGTCCCTGATTAGCGGGCTTCAACCCGTATGCTGTAAATTATTACAGTGGACAGTTGAGAAGAGTAATAATTCCCGTATAATAGACTTATGCACAACAATACACTCCGTCTCTCAGTACTGTACAGTATAACCTCAAACTACAGTCCTGTCATAACATGGGGTCCACACACAGCACAGACTCTGAAACTTTGCCTCACAACAAACTTTGTCTTTTAACAGTTATATTACACAGACCTCAACATATTTATAGACGTTTAATCTTAATATATGGACATCAACCAATACATTGTGCAGTACAGTAGTCCCTTCAAATTCAAGGGGGTTAGGTTCTCAAAATGGCCGTGAATCACTACAATACAGTAAACCCTTGCCATTCGCTGTAAGCAACTGGTAGCTCGAGTGGCTAGCATGCAAGCCTTCCCCCTCAGTGCAGTAAGTCACCCCACACGCTAGCGGCGTCTCATATCGCTCTGTTTGCCCCCACCCAGTACCTGTGACTTAGCATCCTGTGTCATACTCTCAAAACTTTCCTGTGTTTTTTTTTTTGCGAAAATGGCCCCAAAAAGACTTCCTAGTGTGAGTGCTAGTGATGCTAGTGAAGTGAAACATAAAAGGCAAAGAAAATTTCATTATTAGACAAGTTAAAAGAGGGGATGAGTGCTGCCGCGGTTGGCCGGTTGTTTGGTGTGAATGAATCCACAGTGCGGTACATAAGAAAGAATGAACAAGCAATTCGTGATTCTGCTCAAGCGAGTGCTCCTGCAAGTGCTAACGTGACACAGGTTGTTCGTGACAAGAACACTTTAAAAACTGAGAAAGCACCATCACCACAAAAATGTTCTGATTGACAGTAATGTTATTCCTAAAAAGGCTAAAAGTCTTTTTGATCATTTTTATGAGTCAACAGGTGGTGAAGGGGCTAGTGGAGTGACTGAACCAACTTTTAGTGGCAGTAAAGGTTGGTTCAAGAATATTAAGAAAAGATTCTCGCTCCATAATGTGAAGCTGACTGGGGAAGCTGCATCAGCTGACCACACAGCCACAGGTGCATTTACCACCAAGCTGAAGAACATAATAGATGAGAAAGGCTACAGACCAGAGCAAGTGTTTAATGCTGATGAATCCGGTTTATATTGGAAGAAAATGCCTGGTAGAACCTACATACACAAGCAGGAGAGACGTGCCTCTGGGTTCAAGGCAGCCAAGGACAGAGTGATGCTCATCTTCTGTGGCAATAGGGCTGGCCACATGATCAAGCCTAGTTTGCTTTACTGCTCAGCAAACCTTAGGGCTTTAAAGGGTAAAAACAAGAACCTTTTGCCAGTGTTTTGGCAGTCAAACAAAAAGGCATGGGTAACTGTGCAAGCATTCCTGGATTGGTTCCATAAATGCTTCATCCTGGAAGTGGAAAAATACTTTGCTTCCAAGAAGATGGAATTCAAGGTGTTATTATTAATAGATAATGCATCAGGCCACCCAGAAATTTTGCAGTTTAGCCATCCAGGTTCCTACCCACTAACACCACTGTTCTTATCCAGCCTCTCGATCAGGGTTTAATATGCACCTTCAAGACATATTATACACGCAGCTCTTTTGTCTTGATGTTCCCACGTGTTGGAAGGAGTACAACATTGCAGACTGCATTACCAACATCAGTGAATCATTCAGAGTACTTAAACCAGAGACAATGAATGCTTGTTGGTGCACCTTATGGCCTGAGTGTGTGAATAACTTTCAGGGATTTCCGTCCATAGTAAAGGATGTGAATGACATTGTGAGTGTTGCACATCAGTTAGTAGGGTGGTGAGGGGTTTGTGGACATGGCTGCTGAAGATGTAGAAGAGCTGATTGATAGGTATGGAGAGGACCTTACAGAAGAGGATTTGGAAGAGTTGGTAAAAAGTGCCGAGGAAGATGAACAGGAAGACATTATTACAACAAGAAGGTTGGAGCTTGGAAAATTTTGGTGAACTATTTCGTCGGGTAAAGACGGTAAATGATTTCATTGTTGACCATGACCCTTCCATGGAATGCAGCCTTAAGATGGTCAGAGGAATCAACCAGGTATTGTTTTCCTATCAGGAAATGTTTAAAGACTTCAAAGCAAAGAGGAAACAACTACCAATCACCAAGTTTTTTAAGAAAGAACCAGCTGCTACTGCTGCCGCTCCACCCTCCTCCTCCCAGTCACCCACCACCTCTCCACCAACCACCACTGATTCACCCTCTTCCACCAGTGATCGTGATGATCCACCTATGCTTCAGTAACCAGATGTCTCCCTATGTACAGTGCACCACTTCATCAAGCTCCAGACTTCCACATATGAATGTAAGTATTGTACAGTATTGTGACTTAAGTTTCTGTTACACAGTACATTATAGGTATACCTGCATATTAGTGCACTAAGGTATTATATAAGTGGCTATTACCGGTTTTGCCATTTCTTGGAACCTATCCCTCGCGAATGGCAAGGGTTTACTGTACAGGTAAAGGAAATTACTGTCTCTAGAATGAATGGCTCCCTGTCCAGGCTGCGAAAATGCTGGCAACTTTAAAACTACTCGCAGACATTCTTGGCTGCATCCAGGGTGTCATCAGCGAATAATAGAGAACTGCAAAATAAAAATCAGCGAATTATCCGGGCGTATTGTACTGAGAAACCAGAGTATCACATATTGAATATGCCAAAACAGAAACAACATTACTTCTCCAAAGAAAAAAGTCTTCTATCCTTGATATAAAATTACGATTTTATTCACAGCCAATAAAGGCAGTGTGTAAACTGTCCATGTTCGAAGCTCTGAGCCACTTTAACCTGAGTCCACCCCAGATTGTTAGGGTGGACTGCACTTGATTACTGAAATTGTAGAATTAATAACTACTGCATAAATTTTCTTGGTGTAATATGAACATTCTTAAAGTACCGTGTATAGACCAGTGTGACTTATTCCTATACTGTACTGTACTTACCTTTATTTTCTTGAGATTATTCTTTGATTTAATTTTCTGAGGTTCTTTCTGGCGGGTCTTTTGAGGTCTATCATCTTTGTGTTGTTTTAGATTACTCTCCTTCACCAGCCGCTGTAACTGGTCATCCACTAATGGAAACCTCAATTCATCACTTATCTGCTGCTCAAGAGGTACACTTCTTCTTCTCGGTTTGGCACCACTGGAAAACAAAAAATATTGCCTGGCTGACTCCAAGAAGGACACTATTAAGAGTTTCTTTAAAGGTTGGACTGAGCTTGTGAAGTCCTATTTTACATCTGGAAAGAATGAAGAATTTATCCATAACACTGGCACTGTATAGCAATAAAACTTGTGTGTTAAGTACAGTAAAGAAAATATACTTTGGCTATCCACATTAACTTAAGCTACAAGAGTAATTGACTCAAAGTGGTTTCATCACACCTTCTCTAGGTTTCAGAACTCCATACCCAAGTTTATCAAATTACAGACTCACAAGTTCTGGCACAGTCCACACATGGAATGGAATATCTGAGGTTTGCTGGTATTTTGTTAACCACAGCTAGAGGTCACAGCCTCGTGTTAAAAAAGCTACGTTTCAGTACAAAAAAAGGTCAAGTAAAAGTTGTTAAGTCATGGAATAACCTGCCAGATTATGTTGTGATGATATCAAGTGAGAGCTCCTCAGTCCAGACTTGACAAACACTGGAAAATGTTTTGGTACAATCAAGACCCCGTACCATATCGAGCCAAGGCAAACCTAACTTAATGTAGCTGAAACAAATTTATAAGATTTTTTTTTTCATTTCTCTAGTACCTATTACATTACTTTTACCTTCATCCTCTTCGCCACTGATCGGGTCGTTAGCCGCTTGGGTGATCGGTCACGTCTCTGTTACGCACTGTTGGCAAGTACCGGGCATGCACCGGCTCCTGAATGTATCTGAACCTGCTCCAGTGTTGGTCAAGTCTGGTCTTGAAAGAGCTCACACTCGGTGCCGTCACAACACTCTCTGGCAGATTGTTCCAAGAATTCACAACTCTCGCTCTGAAAAAGTTACCTCTCACAGTTTTCTGGACCTGCGACTACTTTAACTTTGAGCTGTGACCCTTGTGGGGCGAGCGTCCGCCAGCTCCAGCTAAGGACACTCGACTGAGTAGTGCCCCTTGAGATGTTTATACACCTCAATTAGGTCACCCCTTGCCCATCTGTAGTATAAGCTAGGCAGTTGTGGGCGCTTTAATCTCTCAGGGTAGCTGAGGTGCCAAAGTGCAGGCACCAGTCTGGTGGCCCTCCTTTGGACATTTTCAATCAACTGACAGTCCCGAGCATATCTCGGGGACCAGACGGGGTGACAGTACTCCAGATGGGGAAGCACTTCACTCTAGATATGTGAACGACCTTCTTATAAGACCCAATAATTTATTTGCATGATTTACCTTCTTCTCGCAATGGCCCGAGAACTACAGCTCATTGTCAACATACACACCTAAGTCCTTTTTGCATTTACTTGTGATAAAAGACAAAATGGTCTCAGATGTCTGTAGGAAGCACAGCATCCATTAACTGAAGCCTAAAGAAATCATAAAATTAATAAGGTGTAAAATGTATTGCTCGTGCATTTTCCATTGATCACAAGAGGTTAAACAGCATTTATGTTCTTTGATGAAATGTTCTACAATAGGTGGTTAAGGCGTACAACTCATCTACACTACTGTATAACTTGACTTACAGTTTCTTGATGTGCCATAAGAAAGAAGTTATGTTTAATACAGTGTGTTACTCTAGTCAAAAGGGTAAATTTGCTTTAGAGCACACAACTGTTAGAAAGTCAAAACTATATTTTTCTAGTGTATTTTTGTGGGCCTTGATTGGTTTTGACCTTAACTTCTGTCAGAAATTGCCTGTTTATTAGTTATCGAGAGTTTTGGGTGGGGCGTTTTCGACCAAAATTATGCCCAATTAAATACAAAATACACAAACAAAACAGGCATATAAACCTGACCTGACCTAACCGAACCTAACCTAACCTGACCTAACCTGACCTGACCTAACCTAACCTAACCTAACCTAACCTGACCTGACCTGACCTGACCTAACCTAACTCACCATATGATGGACTCGCTTATTTCTTACCTTATTGGCCTGGTTCTGGTTCGTCGTTCGATTCTGAGATTAGTACAGGTGAAAATGGCACTTTTCTAAAAATGTGCCTTTGTAATCACTGACGGTGTACCAATGTCTCTTCTTTGTCTTGGGAATAAGGAAAGAGTTACCACAATGCTACATATGTTGATCTTGACGACAATATTTACATTCGTTCTTACACTTAGGACACGTTACTGAGGTCGGGAGAACACCATGATATTGCTTGTTCGTTTTATTCCCCAAAACGCACAATCAGCTCCATATGATTGAAGTGACACCCATCGCGGACTTCCATCGTCGGAAATGAATTTGAATTTCAAAATATGAGATCCAGAATAAAAATCGAATCTGATTGGACCAAAAATACCACGAATTAAACCGTAAATCATTTTAATTGGTTATGAAAAAAAATGCTTTTGCTTAGCCATGTAACGTGTACGGGAATGCATGCGCGTGACGATTTATGAAGGAAACACGCAGAGTGGGAGGTCAGGTAGACGATAATGACAGAAGATTAATGGAAGAAAATGGAGAAATATCTGGCATGCGCTACCTCCGTTATTACGCATTTGTGACGGTAATGTAAGAGAAGAAAATTATCTTAAAATTGGACGTCTTATTCGAATATGATAATAGATTTGGGGAAGGAAAGTTGTGTGCACTAATGCAAAAATACCCTCAAAAGTAGGAGGTACAGGTGGAACAGAGACAGTCAGGCTGTGGACATAGTGTACTGTGACTTCATGAAGGCTTTTGATAGAGTACCGCACAAAAGACTATTAAAAAAAGTATCTAGTTATCGCATTGATGGAAAATATCTTGATTGGTTAAGGAATTTTTTAACTAAGAGAAAACAGAAGGTTGTGGTAAATGGAGAAGTATTTGACTGGAGAGAGGTCACTAGTGGGGTCCCTCAGGGTTCTGTCCTCGACCCCCTGCTGTTTGTCCTTTTTATCAATGACCTGCCTGAGGCAATTAAACACGACAGTGAGGTATATCTATATGCGGACATGAGGATAGGAAGAACATAAGTTGCTGACCAGGGATATCATATGTACACCACGATCAAGAAGACGACTGTAGAGAAGGATATAGTCATCGATGATAAGCTGACGTTTTCTGACCATCTAGCTGAGAAAATCAACAAGGCTAATAAAATAGTGGGCATTATTAGAAGAACTTTTGTTCATCTGGATGCACCTATATAATCAAGGCTCTGTACACTGCTCTGGTTAGGCCACACCTTGAGTATGCTAATCAAATTTGGTGCCCATATCTCATTAAGGATATTGAAGCAGTAGAGAATGTACAGAGGAGGAACAAGTATATAATTATAAGGCATAAATATCCGCCACACACAGCCACCGTCTGAGGAGAGAAGAGGCTATTGAGTCACAGGTAAAAAGAACCCTAGATGCTGTAGTGAGGAATACACACCTTACCTCTATACCACCACCTCTTTATCTGAAGGTAATAATAACAGTATAACACTCACCTACAGACTTGACCTCTAATTCCCCTTGAAATTAACAAAAAAGGACATTGACCAAGCCTTCTCAACATGTTGGTTTGTTTATGTCTACACAACTCAGTAACTACAGATTTACCTTAAATAATATTGTATTCATCTCAAGTATTAATATATTACAAAAAATGAGTATAATTTGATAGGAATATTATATAATATTTTCATCTTATCACAAGACAACATTACAGGGGTGGATCCAGGAAATCTGTTTAATATAATGAACATATTGAGGCCATGTGGACTTAATATTAGGAAATATACTTAAGTTAATAGTAATTATATTTTACTATACAAAAACTCCTTAAATTCAGTTCCTTTCACTGTTAAAAGCATCCATACACCATTATACATCATCTTTCAGTGAATCCTTTACTGTTATTAATTTATTGCTATTTTATCAGATATTTTAGTTATATATATTATAATAGTTATCCTTTTTAACTGTATTTTCTATGATATTAACCCATAATATTATTCCATTTTCTACTTCTTAAACTCTTTTTATTCAATATAATACTAATCCACCTAATTTTAAAGCCTATATTATTCAATGTTTCATACTAAATATATCTATTGTTACTAATAGCCAATTTGTGTCACAGTTAACAAGGTAAAATGTTAATGACCATTCAGGTTGTTAAGAGGAGCTCTGTAACCTCTAACCCGGCCACCTGCTGTACTCTGTAACTCACTTAACTAGTAATTTAACCTTTACCACTAGTTGTTATCATGGGTAGTGTCAAGGTATGTATTTTATAAATGTTCTTATAATTAAAGTTATCTGGAATAGTTTGGTTAATATATAGGACTAACCTACACAAGGCTGTATCACCTCATGTCCTGGTAATGGTTCTACTAATTACCCAATTGTAGCCGTAATGAAGTTAAATAATAGATATTACATGAATAATTAGGACTACTAATCACTTCTCGACTAGTATTTGGTGTCAAAGTAAAAAAAAATAATGGGAAACTTAATTTAATCTGAGTTAATAGATCGAGTGAATGTACCTAACCTAACCTGACCTAACTCAGATTAAATTAAGTTTACCAATTTTTTGTGACTTTATGACATCAAATGATAATTATAAGTGATTTACAGCCCGATTTATGCTTGTAGAACCATCATTTGACTTAATTGCGGCTACATTTGGGTAATCAGTCGGACAGTCCAGATAATGCTTTAAATTTCTCCATATCATAGTAAGTTCTTTCTGTTTAATATATCGAGGAAGCTAGGTTAGGTTAGGTTAGGTTAGGTTAGGTTAGGTTAGGTTAGGTTAGGTTAGGTTAGGTCTGTTCTTCATACCCACAAATGTTAAGGGTAAATTTATACCTTAGGATATAAGAGTCCCTAGGGGTTGTATTTTGGTGTTTTAAACGAATTTGACCTTTATTTTGGCCGGAAATTGCTTGGTTTAGTCCCCCCCCCCCTCATCGATAATCGGGGAGAACACGAATAAGAGTCGTCTAACTTAACTAAAACTAACATAACATACAAAATATTTTAGGTTAGGTTAGGTAGTTTAATTTGGTTCATATAATGATTAATAAATAATTGATGATCCCTTTCAGTAATGGTGTACTTCACTCCTCACAGATTGGCATCATCGGGGGATCAGGTCTGAACAAACCAGAGTTGTTTGAGGCTTGTAGTGAGAGTGAGGTGCAGACACCTTATGGCTCGCCCTCAGATGTATTACGGGAAGGCAAGATTAATGGGGTGCCATGTGTCTTGCTGGCCAGGTAAGATTAACCTTTTAACCTTATTTACCTAATGGCCACCCAGTAGAGGTAGCCATGATGAGGAAAAGACGCCAGTGGCCAGTGTAGGATCCCTCCACTGTTCTTGATAATTTTGTCAAGGGTTATTTTGAAGCCCAGTACTGTTCTTGATAACAGCCTGAGCTGGTAGACTGTTACATGGGTCTACCAGCCTGTGTGTGAAGAACTGTATTTCATTTTGTATAACTTAGAAAGCTTGTAGCTGTCCCCTCGTGTTGGTGGTGCGTGACATCATGGCCCAGGATCATGTGTTCTGTCCCTTTCAAGATTTTTAATGTCTCTATGAGATCTGCCCTTTTGTCTGAAGGGTTGGTAGTCCTAATGCCTTCAGTCTACTTAAATAATTGATGAAATAATTCAGGAATCATCGTAGTCGCTGTGTGTTGCACCTTTCCTAGGGATGCCAGGTCTTTCTTGAGGTAGGGTTTCAGTCCCTGTATACAGTAATTCGGACTGGGACGTACTTGACATTTGTACATTTGAATGATCATTTTCCTATCTTTGTATTCAAATGTACACTTTATAATTCTCAAAACTCCATTTGCTTATTATACAGATAGCAACTATTTGACTATATTATTTTTATAGTATTTTTTTCTCACTGCAGACATGGAAGGGAACATACAATAATGCCAACTAATGTCAACTACCGAGCAAACATTTGGGCCCTGAAGGAGAGAGGCTGCACACATGTCATTGTGTCTACTGCCTGTGGTTCACTACGAGAGCACATTAAGCCTGGAAATTTTGTCATTTTGGACCAGTTTATTGACAGGTAAGTTGGCAAACACCAGGTCTCCTCACAACCCCAAAAAATATGTGAAAAGGTGTGATTATACATTAGAACAGATATACCTAAGTGTTTAAAAACCCACTGATGTTTTGAGCTTAAGATGGTTGACTTATACTGTTCAATTAGTGTACAATGTTATAAGCTAATATAAATGTGTCTTGTAAAAAATCAAAGAAAATTATGAGTAACAAACAGTATCAACTGTCCTCATCATGAGAGGCTGGTAGTACAGGAGGAAGGGAAGGAAAGGGTGGTGGTACAGGGGGAAGGGTGGTGTGGTGGTACAGGGGGAAGGGAAGGGTGGTGTGGTGGTACAGGGGGAAGGGTGGTGTGAATGGATTAAAGAATAACCATGGTTGACAGGAGACGACTTTACAAGGGCTGTCTAACTTTGGGCTCCACCACAAGATGAGGCTTCTGGATCAATGTACAATTTTGCAGATTTACCAATACTTTACTGCACTGTGGGTCAAACATCATACCTTTTCTTTGATGAAAAAATTTGTTGATGTCCATAGTCACTCGAGAGATGGAGTAACTTGGGAAAACAGTGTTAATTCAATGGCTGTACCTGTGAGAGCTTGGCCAGACAGTCGGGGGGTGGCTTCAGACATAAGAACTCTAAAAAAAAAAAAAAAAAAAAAAGGCAAAAATCTGCAGCAGCAAAATTACATATATACAATACAGTACAGTTTAGGTCAAGAAGAGAAGAAGAATTGGAGACGGGTAAAATTTTCAAGAAAATTGTATTACGTGAAAATAACATGCTTTAGCTCTGTTAGGGGCTAAGTTTTAAGATTATACATTAGGAGAGAGAGCAAAACAAATTTAACTGAAGAAGTGTTGCCATTTAGTTGCTGTAGAGTAGACATTGACAGTTAGTTTGGTAATATTCTTGATAATTTCATTTAATGAGAATTTTTAGTAATAATACTTTAGTGCCTTCAATATTGTGTAATGTTATGAATCTTCGGTCAATAAGATGTGCAGCACAGCCTTTTTGAAACTGACCATTTGCATCATGACAGGACTACAAAACGTGCACAAACTTTTTATGATGGTGAGGAAGGACATCCTCGAGGGATTTTTCACCTGCCAATGGATACTCCTTTCTGCACTGACACACGAAGTATTCTTGAAAAATCCTGCAGGGAACTGGGCTATGATGTGCATCCAACAGGTTGGTGGTGTTGTGTTGCCTCTTCACGTCTTTTAGATTAATTTAACTATTTTTAATTGTTGGGTTCAGTTAAGTATGCTGGTGAACTCCTGAGTAATGTTTAAAATAATCTCCATGCAGGCACAGTACAGTACTACTCCTCTTTATCGACGGGGGTTACGTTCTGTAAACGGCCGTCGATAAAGAAACCGTCGATACCGTGATGGTTACGTAATTTTTCTAACTATTATTAGCATATGTTGAATAAATGTACCTTTAAGCATTAATGCGTTTCCTTTACGCATAACCTTAAATAATAGTGTATAAATAATAATATAATAAGTGGACAAAAATACTAGCAAACTTACGATTTCATTTATTGAAGTGAACATCGGTCCTTACAGTAAACAAAACAGTGTACAGTACAGTAAAAGTCCAAAAATCCGGCTGCCCAAGGCAAATTGTTTACCATTTATTATTACAACACTTTACACTGAAACGCGGGTAGTTTCAACAAAAATATTGTATATTTCCATTCAAGTATTTATTCAAGTCAATTAGGAGGGAATATTATTGTAATACAACAGTTTTTTAACTAAACCATTCGAAAAGTGATTACGGTAACATCTTTTGAACGAAAGAAAGTGAGTCATTGTTTTCGTCACGATTTGATCCCACTTTCCACTTTAATACGTACGTCATTTCAACAAAAATATTACATTTCCGTGAATGTATTATATCAAGCACAGTATGAATAGAATATCATTGTAATATAACAGAATTTTAACCGAAAACTATTAAAAAAACGAGTAACATCTCAAGAACATCGGAAGCTTAGGTAAAGTCTTTTGTTTTCGACATGTATTTTATCCTATTTTACATTGAAATACATCACGTTTCAGCAAAACTACTATTTATTTCCGAGAATATATTCATTCAGGCGCAGTTTAGGTAAAATATACGTGTGATGTAATAATTTTTTAACTGAAAACGATTCGAAAAACACGTAGCCTCTAGCCCTGTTCAAGGAGAGGACTGGGAGAAGCTGTTTGGTGCCAAAATAAAAATCCGGCTAAATAATCCGTCGATAATCGAAACCGTCGATAAAAAATCCGTCGATAAAGAGGGAGTACAGTACTATGAAATGATAAAATATAAAGTTTGAAATAAACAAAGGAACAAATTAAATAGTCACCTTATTCCCCAGTGTAGGTAGAAGTTATACAGTCTCATAGTGTAAGGTTGGGTGAGGACACAAAGGTTAGGAATGTCACTAGACTTTAGCCCAAATTAACCAGATTCCTGACAGTTGTCCGCATAAAACTCCACAATAAACAAAAAACTTTCTGAACATAAAAAGTGTTCCCAGGAGGAATGAAAAATCTGGATGTATGGTAACTAGAGTGGCAACAATGCCATGTTACCATCTTGAGTTATGGTTGCTGTTTCAAAATTAGGGTAAGATTTTTGGGGCTAATTTGTTGCTGGAGGTTGTAGGTATCCATACTCACTAAGACTATTCAACTGAAATTAGAATTTTCATTGATTTTGTTACTGAGGAATTTTATGCAGTGGAATAAGATCATTTGCAGCAAAATCAATGAATGTGGATTGTGAGGTAATGTTCCTGCACCCATCTTGATACAGTCACAGTTAAGAGTCTGAGTAACCAAGAGAAAATTTATTTTTGCTTTGAACATTAATGCTTCCACTTTTTTTTTTATAATTTTACTTGTTTACATAAATGTATTTGTGATGTAACATGTATTATAATCCAACAAGGAGTGTGTATTAACTAGACTAGAAATTGTAAGGATACCCAAAAAACAAAACATGTCAGAGACCATTAAGCAGAACACAAGAAACACAGGCATCACCACTCATTATTCTGGCAAGGTGATTTCTTCAGTACTTAGTGTTGATAACCTGACCACATGGATCCAATACACTACAACGTAAGAGTATTTAATAGCCATTAACTTATTTCTTCTAGGTACGGTAGTGACAGTGGAGGGTCCAAGGTTTAGCAGTAAAGCCGAGAGTCATATGTTCCGCCTGTGGGGATGTGATGTTATCAACATGACTACAGCCCCTGAGGTTTGTCTTGTGTCTAGTTAAGTATTTTACTGTACCTGTAGGCAGTGTTGGTTGAGACTTGAGTATCTCCTATAAGGTGATGGTTTGCTGTTTATATCTTGGCAGGTTCATTAATGGTTTGATTCAGCTTTAAAAGATTGTATTTGTGTCTTATTATTATGAATATTGGTGCAGAGTTTTATGATAATTTTATTATGATTGAGTTACTGTAAATAGATCATGCTGTACAGAGCTCCCTAATACTGTACCTACCCAGGCTTTGGTAATAGATCACTTCCGAAGCAGCTCTCTTCTCCAAGCACACCTGGATCTATCAGTTCTTTGGGAGAAAGGAAAGAAAATGTTCCTCTGATATGGATGTCATTAAAAGCAAGGCCAGTGAGCAATAGGTAAATTCTTCTCTACGGTAATTGGCATTGACGCCTTTGCTATTTCCTGGGTTATAGAACACGGGACACTTCTTGCTCTTGGTTGGTCAGGGTGTGATGATAAGCAGTCTTAAAATGTAGATTCTTATTGTTTCTGTTTATGGGACGGATAAGTGGAAATACAATATACAGTATAATCCCAGTTATCTAGCACCTACAGGGATTGAGAGGTGCCGGGTACCTGTATTGCTTTGTGGGAATGAAGCTAACAGGTGTATAAAACGTGCCCAAACTGTACCCACTCCCTGCATGAATGGTTTTGGGTAACAGCTGTAGAAATAAAGAGTTTACAGTAAACTTGCCTGGATTTATATTGTTGTTTTGTGATGGTGATGTTTTTAATACAATACGTACGACTAACTTTTGTTTTTAAGGTAGTTTTACTAAAAGTGGTTGATATAGAGTGTAATGACCACGGTCGTACATAGAGAAGAGCATGTGGGTTAATTCAGAATGCGTTGGTTTTTTATACATGTGTAAAATGTTCTCACTTCATACTATGTTGCCTCAATTAAGTCAAAGTTAAAAAATTTGAGTAATTAGTGTTAAATAATGAGCTTTGAAATAATTAAAGGATAGAATATTTGTAAAGTCAATTACGCTGTGCCTGTAAGTTTTAAATCACCTTTATATACATATTATAAAATATATAGAATATATTTACTATAAAAACACATTAGTTCTCACTTAATCAGGAAATTTGTACAGAATCTATGGTATGACCCCAAGTGCCAAAACGCAATGTAGAACAGTACAGTATTAGGTCAGGTTTATTTTTGACGTCAAACGACAGTTTTTGGGAAAAGTGAAAACTAATGTGTTTATTAGTGAAGATAGTCTATACACGTATTTATAAGAATGTATATAAATGTGATTTAAAACTTACGGGCACAGCATAATTGACTTTTTAAATATTCTGTTCTGTTTAGGTCTCAAAAAATCCTTTCCTACTGTATGCCACAAATGCATCTCTTATCATTAAAGTACTGCACAGCACTTGACCATTGATTTTAGTGCAAATATTAGGCTCGGTATTATTTCAGTAGTCTAAATCACAGAAAATTGTACAGTAAAGGATATTAGACCTATACTGCATAGTAAAGGATTTAGACCTATACTGTATACTCAAGAGGTGCTAACCCAACACATCCATCTGTGTTTGTACATACTTGCTCATTGTGATTTCCATTGGCTCCTGGGGTTGTGAGACCTTTTCTGATGGGTGTACATGCTGTTCTCGGAGCCTACACTCTCCAAGGACTTGTCAGATATTATATGGAGGGCCCATTAGCATCAGTGTCAGGCCAAGAATGACATGGGGAGAGGTTGTAAAATATGACATTAGTTAGCTGCCTTCAGGTAATTATGGCTAACCCTTGGCTGTAAAACATTGATGGTGACTGAGACAAATAAGGATAACTCACATGGGACACAAGTTTGTACAGTTAGGAGGTTAAGAATATTTGAAGCTTTTAAGTGTAAAGCTTCTCATATTCAGTTTGCTACTTACATTATATTTGGTGCAGCAAAAGATATATAAATATTTTTTTTTTATATGCTTTTGGAAAGACTTTCACACATTTTGTGTTGAATCACTTATGAGACACACACTAAGGACAGAGAGAGTGAGAAGAGGTTTACAATAATGACTCATGGATTGTGCTGTGTATGATTAAGAGAAAAGTTTGAAAAGTAAGGAATTGGTTTAGGAACTTGTACTGCTCATATGGTTTGGACATGTAAACAAGTGGTGGGACTGGGTAGAAGTGTGTGTGTGTTGAGAGAAGGCAATATATATGGAGTGAAAACAGTAGTATATGTACAGGTAGGGTGGCTTGTGCTGGTAACTGGCCAGTTAAATTGATAATTGAAGCGCTCTTTGCTCCCTAAAACTGAGGTTATATTCTACTTATCTGTTAAAAAGGTTGTACTTGCTCGAGAGCTTGGGTTATGCTATGCAGCAGTTGCTATGGCAACAGACTATGATTGCTGGAAGGAAGGAGAGGAGGCTGTGTCTGTGGAGAAGGTTATGGCAGTTTTTAAGTAAGTGTGTGACATTGTTTTTTTATTTGCATAAAGTCGGTAAACAATGAAAATTTGACTTGTGGTACTGAGTAACCAACAATACAGTATATATTTATAATATTTAACAATTTCTTTAAGATTAAATGTTGAGAAGGCCACCATGGTACTGAAGAATGCAGTGGCCAAAATTGCTGCTGAAGATTGGACTGAGAGAGTAGCAGCTCTGAAGGTAAGATCTACACTGTAGTCCATAGTCTGGTGACTTGTAATACAAGTAGCTGTACTTGGTGTCCTGACTATCCCATTCTCCATTATACAATATTTAGTAAATGTTGAAAAGTTAACCCATTACCGTCTACATAAACCAAGCAACTTTCCTCCCCATGACTCAGATCAGATCTTATAGAATCTTGTCTCTCCAGTCAACACACTTCATGCTAAAGTTTTGGCTTCAGTCTGACATTTTTTAATTTACTGAACTGTATTGGTTCTCTTGTTTGGGTTAAATTAATATATGAAAGATTGACTTATCATTATTACAGGGGCTTCTCTTTCATCCCTTCTTGGAGGCTTGGTTAGGTTAGGGGATATGCAGTTTATAGTGCAGAATACTATTGCCAGTGTTTAAATTACTGGACATCACTAATGTTCATGTTTCTGTTACAGGAAAGTGTGGAGAGGAACATTATGATCCCAAAGTAAATTGTTTCTGAAAAGTGCAAGTTATGTAGTGTTACTCTATTAGTGTTTATAAAGTCAGTTAAGTTGGCTAAGGTTTGGAAGTCACATAGATTGAAAATCCACAACAAAATGAACTTGTACATGGCACTGGTAAGGTCCGTTCTGGTTTATGGAAGAGAATCGTGGTATGATAATGAAACTATACCCAGACGGTTTCGGGCATTTAAAAACAAAGCACATAAGAAAATACTATGAAGATGGCAGGATCGTGTCAGAAATGAGATCTTATGGGAAATTGCAAATGAGTGATTGAAGAAAGACTATAAGGTAGTTGGGACACATTCTTTGTGTTCATCTTGAGAGAATAAGAGAAGCTGTTAGGGAACAAGTAGAGGAGGAAGACCGAGAACCACTTGGATTCAGACTGTGAGGATGGAGGGCAACTGGGATGACATGCAAGAGCTGGTTGGTTGGTGTAAATACCTGAAGGCCCTTTGTGTTTTATGGCCTTGGAGGCATTAAAGGTAGCAATTTTACTGTTATATAATCAATGTACAGTTTTATGAGACCATTCCAGAACTGTTGAATAATAATTAGTTTGACTTTATAAATGCCAAATTTTTTTTTACAGAAAAGGATCACTAGTGTTAAACATACAAAATTATTTTAGACCAAATAAAGACAGTTACAACATAGAACCTTGATTTAATAGATCACATTTTGTCTGGGTGCATTTGGTGTTGGCAAATTAATCGTCGTCAACCACAAATGGTGAGTAGAGTATTTCATTTAGATTTCATGCTTTTTCTGCCGTTCATTTATTATTTGGGTGTTTTTATAGAGATAATATTGAGACGGGCAGCATGACACTGGCTGGAGTGGTTGGGAGACAGCAGGAGGCAGAAACTGAGACATCATTGCTAATTCTGATTTTGTGGCCAGTACCAAATCTATTACCAAACTGAGTGTTGCATTACCTGCTTTTTTTTTTTAATTCATGGAAGTGAACACAATAAAGGAAAATATGAATGATTTAACTTACGTAATATACCTGGCATGCGTGTAATGAATCTGTCGACAGAATCACTGGGAGTTTAGTCGTACAGGACAGCCAAGACAGCCTTCACCTCTCATGTACAATCATGCAGTTCAACAGAATTTGTCACACATTTTGTCCATGACATCCAGGTCCTGAAAGCACATCATTATCTAACCTTATTCCTATTACTACTACAGTACAGTACTACTATGTTCCTCTTACTACCACAGTACAGTACTACTATGTTCCTCTTACTACTACTGCTACTGTGAGACTTCTCTAAGCAGGAGCAAGAACTTGCTCACTAAGTGCACTGACCCAGAGATTTAAACACTGCAGCAGCAATTAATATTTGACTGCTCGTTGCGAGTTGTTGAAAATGTGATCAATTTGACGGGCTTTCGGTATCAACGGAAATTCTTTCCCCCATTATTAGTCCATTAATTTAAATGAGTTTTAATGTACTTCTCTGGGCAAGGCGATCAGTGGTTTAATTCCTAGGCACTCCCAGTTCACCCAGCTGTAAATGGGTACCTATATTTACAACTTTGGGAAATAATATGGGATCACATCAATAACCATTAGGACAGGATGTGGTGAGTGTTGTATCCACTCAGCCACTTTCTTTATGGTAACTTATATAAACACTACAGAACATATTTTAATTCCCTTACCACACTGCAACACTATTTACAAAAATTACCGAACTATGAATATTTAACAAATTGACCGACTGAATGCTTAGGTAATATATTTGAGGAGAGAACACTGAACAAAATCTCTGATAAATATATTTCTTCAGTTATCAATTATGTAACCAATGATACTTATTTTAAATAATAGGTCTTGTATTATATATTAATACAATAAGGTAACTAAAATTAATAGAAACAAGTACAGTCTTCATGAAGTTTGTAATGACAAGAAAAAAAATATTTTATACAATAGTTTTTAAAAATACGATAAAGTACTTGAAGAATACGTCCTCTTACAAAGTCAACATATTGGACAAATACATACATAGATATTGAGTATCTATTAAACATTCACTAGCTTGTATTAGTTCATGATATTCTGACCTGTCTAGTGCTTGCCGGTCATCTCTTTAATCCCCTGTTCCTCGTGTCCACAATTTTCAAAGACTCGCTGTTCAAAATATTAATAAATAATAGTTTTGTCCATCACAGTAAGGATAATCTCATCGTGTTTAACACTTGTTTATGGAGATTTAACCTGATGTGACGGTTATATATAAAGGTTTGGGCACGGATGCAAAATTCAGTGAGAATTACATGTTATTTTTGGAAGACATTGTGTTAAGGAAAGACTTCTGTATCATAAAAATCGAGTAACCGCAAATTATCGAAATCGTGAATCACAAACCTGAGAATGGCAAGGGTCTACTGTATACCATTGTCTGACATAGAGTACAATTAAGGATCTGGGTAAAGGTTATTTTAGTCATCATTTGTCCTAATAACTCGTGGAAAAATTAAGTTCCTTTTGCAACCCCAATTACTCGCCTCCTGTAATTTTTCCATTTTGATTTTTAGAGTTTTTCTGTTGTTTTGGACATAATTAAACCTTCTAATTTCCAGTGTGAGGAAAAATTGTGTTTTGTCATTTTTAAAATGATAATTCTCTTGACAAATCTTAATACTGTACAGGTATATCTCACTATACTATACATCAAACTATGTTCTTCAAAAGTGTTAAAGCAAGTCAAATAACATTAGTGAACACAAGTTTATTAGACCAAATAATGCAAGTAGGAATTACAGACACTTGTAGTCTAAATATTCACCCAAATATGAAATAAATAACTAAATACTTAAGATTGTGTGTGAAACTTTTGAACTGTTTAAAAAGAAAAAAAAAATATATCAGTAAAAATTTTCTCCTAACAATTTTCATTATAATAAGTATGCCTATGTAATGCTACTTGACCAGTACAGTCAAGTAAACATAAAATACCAGATGTCATAATTTCAAGTTATTTAAGTTAAGACTACAAACCACTTAACTGATGGATATGTCAGATGTAAGGAGCAGCTTCCTTGAACAGGTTATGATGACTGGAGAAGCACTAGGCAGACCAAAATATCACCAACTAACATTTAGCTCTGAATATGCTGTAACACCACTAACCCAGTTCCTGCCAAATAGTGTTATACAGGAGGAGAGAAAGAGAAGTAATACAATATATATATATCATGAGGGATCTTTGTCCAGGATAGAGATAAATCAAATAATAAACACTGGGAATATGACACCATTACCCAGATGACTAAACAAATGACATTCTTGCATGGAGTTTTGTGAGAAATACAACATTACCTGTAGGTGACCCCCCATAACCACTACTTTATCCAGTCGGGACAAATCTATGTAATTATTGCCATCCTGAAAACACCCTTGGTTCTATATCAATTATTTTATAGATTTAATGATTTTTATTGCAAGTACAAAACAAAACCATTATTCCTTTACAGATCAATGGAAAGAATCATGTTAGGACCACTGTGTATTTGTTGACAGTTCTATTGAAGACTTTCCATCACATCCTGAAACACAGTAAAGAGAGTGAGGAACAGTAATTATTAAAGGTTTAATCTTCACAAAAATTATCTAGTATTTCATTATGTTCATCAATATTAATTATCCTTGTCATGACATTTTCGGCTATGAATATGTACAGTAGCTAAAACAACTGTCTGTGCAGGAGGGGGTCGATATGCTCCCAAATTTGACGTGTGACTAGTGACAGCCCTCCGTGTGACTAGTGACAGCCCTCCGTGTGACTAGTGACAGCCCTCCGTGTGACTAGCGACAGCCCTCCGTGTGACTAGTGACAGCCCTCATATACCAATATTTATCGTCCATGGTCTCATATTGTTTCCCACAAAGTATGTACAGATAGTTGTTTTAGCTACTGTACATGTAATTAGTTAAGGACCTTTGAAATAATTAAACACATTTAGAATAAAAAAAAAAAAAATCCCGTAAATTATGCTGTGCCCATAAGTTTTAAATCATCTTTACATACTTTTTTTTTCCCAAGACTATAGACTAACTTTACCATTTGAGCACGATAGTTTTCACTTTCTAGACAAAAGGCTTTAGTTGTCCTGAAAACACCTGAACCTATTAGTGATATCCCCATTTGCTGGACTAATTGGTGCAGAATTCTTCCGGGTAATGAGATGACGACTTTCAAACCTGGAAAAAATCGTACATCCCCAGAATTTTTCCAGGTACTGTACTGGGAAAAGTTCTTTGGAAAGTAAACTACTCATATTTTTTTTAATTTTTGAGAAGTGACCGTTTATAATTGTGCATTACAGTACATGTGTGTATTTCAACATACTGTAATTGACAATATCCTGAACTGTTGAACTACCAGTACTGTATTTGCTATCCTAGACTACAGTGTAAAAAGCAATTTAAAACATTGATTAATAAGTTTACCTCAACACTCCTCTGGAATGCAAATGTGGACTTCAGTTTCTGGTAGTCACTCTTAAGGGTGGCAATTGGAGTTTTGTCAATTAAAGCCTGTAAGTAAAAGTCTTCCATAGAGGCCAAACAAATGACAATTAAAGAGGTAACAAAAGGTTCAGTACCATTTTCTAAATAAATTTCCCATAGCGTGTAGTGACACTGTAGTCCTGCCAATACCACATTGGTACAAATGTAAACTATAGAATAAAACTTATGTAACAGAGGAATGGAACTTGAAACTATACAGCATATGTCCAAGGAAAGCCTGTAATAAACCATAGAACAGTACTTGTGTCAGTTGGGTTATATTCTTAGTTTCTGCAAATACCTGGACACTAACATACTTCATTATTCTTTAACACTCAATGATACAAGTCTACAAAAAAAAGCATTCCTTGTGTCATCATTCTCCTACAACGAACTTACTGTCATGGGAAGGCAAGTAAACTAGTTACTCAAAATACAATGCACACAGTCACTCAGCCAGTTGCTGGATTGTCCAATTTATTGTCATTTACTTAAAAAAAATTATTTAAAGAAATTTATTCTATATTTTTAAATTTCATAATAAGAATGCATAAATAATCCATAAAAATTAAAAGTGAAGTAGATTTTTGGCTGACAAATTATTTACTTCAATAATACATACGGTATATGATCTAAAAGTACAGGCAGAGATGAGCAACTTACCTGCAGGTCATGAGACTCTACTTGGTCTGCTGCAGCAATGGACAGAGCCAGGAGGGGTAGGTGAAGGTTGGCACAGTGCTTCAGCAGAGGTGCAGTAGGGACAATAACAGGACAGTGTCGTAGGAGCAAGTCCACACTACGTAAACATGATGCCAAGCTGTTTTCACTAATGGGGTGACTTGCTGTTTAGAATCAAAAGTAAAAGGTATCACTAACAACTATAAGTATAAAATAAAAATGATGGGCATGGATGTTTATGTGCGGAGACAGTGGGCTGTAACTGCGTGGCCAGTACTCCATCCGCTTGGTGTGATGACATACACACACACACACGTCTTGGAGTAAGTTGGTAACAGCCCGACTGAACTGTGTCATCACCCAGAGGATGGTATGAGTGTGGAAAGTTATTATTTGTGTTGCTGGACTTTATCATTTGCTATGTACCAATTTTATTGTTTATCATAGCATTTTTTTTTTCCATTTTCGATGAATGCGATTAGAAATTTGTTCAAATTTAGTTCACTCTTTACTCACTAAATCATTTAACATTGAACCACATCATTTATATAGAAGTTGATGTTAATAAGTCAATCGTTTAACTGTCATTATTATTATTAGGGAGTACTACAATACCTTCCGTGCTTTGCTGATATCCCTTGCTTAGTGACCACCAAATACTAAGGTGGAATACAATCTTTGAAAGTCAAGATAAAATATTAAGAAGAACAGCATCCACCCATGGTCACTGTACGTACTATGAATTAACTAGGAGGGGGGAGGGGTGTCCTAAAGGAAGAATAACATACAGATGAATCATGACAAATTTAAAGAAACCCACAAGTCGGCAGCAGAGGGATATACTGTACTGTACTGAGTACCCCTGGAGTCAAGGAGAAGACATAAGTCTAGAGGGATAAATCACAAACAACAGAACCACCAAAAGAAAGTACAAGCTGTGGAAAAAATATTAAAGCATCATTCTGCACTGAACATGAAATAAAAAATACTTTACTTGATATATCACATTTAGCAAAATATAACAAAATAGAGAAACTAATACATTGTATCTTCATTACCTTTAGTAAAAGGATAGTTGATAAGAGTGATCCATGCTGTAGTGAGAGCCGGAACAACCCAAAGATGTGGCAGTGTCTTCACTTGGATTAACACTCGTTCCAGTACTGCAATATCCATCTGACCTAACTAAATAAATTAGACAAATAAAATTAGCCAACTGTGTACTAAAGTTAAAGAGGACGAACACTGGAATGGAGGTTCAAAATTCATAATTTGATTTAGTGGTCGACTGATACACACTTTCCTTTGAGTGATCCACTTTTTATATCTTTACATTATGAACATTCAAGTTAATACCATATTAATTGTAATACAGTAATGAACTGAACTTTTTGTTACTTTTACTGTGTTAAGGTAAAGCATGAAATATGATCTCAATGTAATATGCCTATTTTAAATTTGTAAAAAAACAAAGAATAAGAAAAGGGAAGATGATTTTTGGCACTACAGTATAGACAAAACACATTCATGAACAGTAGTTTTTATGGTTGATCCAGACATAATGAAAAGATAGGAAGGCCAAGGCATCCAGATCCTCAACATAACACTTCATATATCTGAGTTAGACAAGAACAATACCAAATATTTCAACAGCCAAGCAAGTGGTTCACATACTGTACTGGTGACTTGAACTGATGGAGGTGAAGCATCATGGCATTAAAATATCTTCTCATTAACAGACACCTATACTGTACTGTACACTAAAGTTTATTATTGACATGATCAAATTAAATATAAAACAGTAATTTAATGATTTTGTAAAGTTGCCATTTAATATTTTCAAGGATGGAGAGAGTAAGATATTAAACCAGAGAGAGAAAAGGTTCACATCTTGTGCCGAGATAAAAATGAATGAATGGGAAAGTACATAATATGTGCTTGTGGCCACCCTGCAGGGAGGGGGTTAGGGCTTTACTGTACACGAAGAAAAATATCAGGACACTAACCTTTACAAAATTTGTGAGCTGAGTAAGAACTGCACCCCATAGTGATGCTGTGGTCACCTGAAAATAAATGGTGAAGACACTAAAAATAATATTACACTGTAGTCAAGACAAACCTGTACACTATGCATGGCTCTTACCAATCTTTTCTAATACAAAAGTAAATTAGTTTTGATTTATGTTACACAGGTTGAATCTTTCTCCACCTGAAAAGCAGGAGCAGAGTATAGTAACCTCAGTCGCACATCCACTCTCTCAATAATAACTGACCTATTTCTGAAGTATGGAAAAAATGGACAGATCCTGAACCCCATTCTACAACATAGACTGGACTGGATGACTTGTGTTTTGCAACTAGCCAAAGCTTCGGAGCTAACAAACAGATGAAATAGAGACCGGGATTGATCAAGCGATTAGAGCAGCTCTCCAGCTTAGAAATATGTATTGAAGATGTGAGCAACATTTCAGTCACTTGTTTAGTCATAATTTTGGATCCCAGCAATATTTCAATCTTCAGTGCCAGCCACACCCTCAGGTTAGAGTGGTAAATGTATCAATAATACTTTACCTTGTAGTCATGGCAGAGGTCAGTGAGGAGTGTTAGTGCCATCGGATTATGCCGTTGTGATCGCCAAAGTCCCTCTACTAATAAACTCTTGTCAATACTGTTGAATTGCTTCTCATTTGTAGCATGGCCCAGTGCTTCCAGGCGACTCACATATGTCATGGTCTGCAGGTATGACCTATAACAAATGAAAAATAATTTAAATTGAAAGAACTTTGGACAAGTATTCAAAAGAAGACTGAACCATGAAATACCATTTTGTGGTTAAGGTGAGTACTGTGTCATGGAACTACAATAAACATAATTCTTTTGAACAGTGATGTGGCTATAGAAGTACATCTGGGGCCAAAGGTGTATGACTTAACACAGTGGTTGTCTCCAATGGCCAGAATCACTGAATCAGGGGTTGGAAATCTGAAATGAATCCCTGCACCTCTTATGAATCTCAGAGCCAAAAGAATACACCCATAAGCAGATGATGAAGGCCACTTCTTGCAACCTTCATGTCAAACCTTTGAGGAGACTTAGGGTATCCAGGTTACTTACCTCAGTCCTGAGCCATAAGAGGACCACTACTCATAAAATTCCTTTTTCTAGCAGAACCCATTCCAGGCAGCTCTTGTAATACTCAGTGACTTCCAGGTAGACCTTCAGTCCTAAGATACGTCTCTCAATATCAGCCTGTATTAATCTTTAGGTCAATTTACCCATAACCATCCAACTGTGCACTCAGTCACCATGGTGATTGACTCTGCCATCTATGAACCCTAAGGAATCTGACTCTGCTCTAAAGCATCCAAGAGAACCAGAGACTAGTTGAACATTAATGCGTCAGTTCCTGCTGACTAGTCATGAAACCAAACAACACAAACGTACACCATTTACAGTTCTAATTCTCAACCCACACATTGCCAGATGTTGAGCAAGAAAATGCTATGAACATTATAAGGTGTGTGTGTGTGTGTAAGTGAACCTTCTGCTTAGTAAGCCTTTAATACCAGCTTTCCCCACTGACCCCTTGTTCCCCCACTTTAAGAACTATTGTATTATGGTAATTAAGTTACTTCATGAATCCTTCTGCCTCACCAGTGTGGGAATATTGGTTCTATATTTCAGCAACTGCATTAACCTGTAGAAATTCTAGAGAGTATAAATAACAGGTTCTGTTTTAATAATTACTGTACCTTATGGAGGCAATGCCCTTGGGACAATATTTCCGGATTGTGTCTTCATCAGCGATAGCTAGCACACAACGCAGCGCCCTAAGACGGTAGGCGGCAGAAAAGCTTGTGTCCTCACTCAGGGCTCGGTTCAGAAGGTAGCTCACAGCTTCATTTTGGGGGCAGCATCGCAGAAGATATATCACTCTTAAAAAAATAAAAATGTTGGTCTGGGTGAGTTGTAAGTTTGAAAAACCTCTGAAAATCTTGGTACCCACTTCAAGATACACTGATTCAGTAGTCTTTGTCGATACATTGTCCTCAAATAATTTTGTTAATCTCACAGCCATGCTTCTTAAAAGAAACTTTTCATAGAGAAACACTTAAACATTGATAAAAATAACAAAATACATAAAAATATTTATAAAATATAACTGAAAGGTGTGTGGATAATTTCCACCTGACGGCCGTCCATCAACTGACCACCCAGCACTTGGCCCATCTACACCCAGTGTTTTCCAGTCTTATGGTATTAAAGAAATAAACATGAAATAAGCATAAGAATACATAAAAGAATAAATAAATACAGAAATGGAAAAAGTAAAACAGATCAAGAGAGCAAAACAATATACAGTACAGTACAGTATACAGTGGCCCCTCGGTTAACGAACTCAATTTGTTCCAGAGGGTCGTTCGTTAACTGAAAATTTCGTTAACCAAAACCATTGTTTCAATGGGATATTGGGTAATTGGTTCCAGCTCACAGAAAAGTATATACAAAGTAAAGCCAAAGACGCATAAAGTCAGAAACACTCCTAAAATTCCCCTAAATCGCCCTTAAATCACTATACTGCATATATATACGTACATATACACTAGAACTCTTAAATCACTACTGTAATGTGATACAGGTGATTAATTTTATCTCTTGTGCAAAATATATGACGTTTATATTCAAATTATTCGCTGTCTTGCAAGGATTCCAGCAATGCAAATTATATTCTCCTAACTTTAGTCTGTGATTTTATATAAGATACAAATTTAAAGCCTATGGTATACCGGTAACCAGAAACCTTCGCTGGGAGGAGGGGGGGGAGGGAGGGAGGGAGGGGTGACAGTGCCATGTTTGAAAGTTAGTGCCGAAGGTCTGGTGAAGTATTAATTTGTTTATTTATTTCCTTTAGATTGAGTATTTGTTTTTTGCTTATACAGTTTAATAGAAGTGACCGGGGAGAATATAATTTACATTGCTGGAATTCTTATAAGATAGTGATTAATTTTGTACATTATTCTGATTACATGTACAGTTTAGCTTTGTGCTTAGGACAGTGTGTGCATGTAAATGAGTTTCAATAAATGAATAAAGTTACATATATGTGCCAAAAATAGTTGAAAAACTTTATGTAGACAGAGTTCAGATGGCTAAATTTTAAAATGAATAATAATTTTAATACTGTATAAAAAATGCACAAATATTAAAGAGCACAATTTTCTTTATGTTTACTCCATTGGAAACGAATGTAAACATAGCAGAGATCACTGAATTGGCTGAGTACCTCCTCAGCTTATCAGCTGATGTTCAAAACAAAACGTGATTTTCATAAGGATTTCGTTAATCGTTTTTTTTAACCGAATTGAAAATTCTTATGGAAGGCAATTCGTTAACTGAAATTTTGTTAACCGAGGCGTTCTTTAACAGAGGGACCACTGTACTATGTTGTGTTGTCAAAGAAAGAGAAACAATTGAGACCCTGTAATTCTGTGTAAATGAAGCAGAAAGTCAGATCAGCAACTTTGGTCAGATATAGCAGCAGAGTCTACCAGTAGACAACACATTATGCTTCCAATATCTTCCCAAGCAATAGTACCTCCCTGTTTGATAGCTGCCTACTACCTAATGTACTTGGACTATAAAACTAAGCTGTACTTGAGATGTCAAAGGTAAACAAATTTCCATTAATACAATACAGTAGAGTAAAATTCATTTCATAATCAATGTTGAGGTAAGTGAACACCTGAATTATTACCTTGAGAGTGAAGCATCATCAGCAGGGTCTTCATCAATGGCTGAGGAAGGATCCAGAGCAATCTTGAAATTGGTGACTGTCTCCTCTGACCCAAGTCCGTGATCATCCTCTGGTGGTGGGAGCCACTTCTCCACTAAATCCAGCTGAATCAACACCTGCAACCCAAATAACAGTACGTCTCACAAACAAATTCATTATGACACATTTTAAGGAAGAGAATCCAGGAGAGAAAGATGGTGCTTAATATAGACAACTCATTCCTCTAACATTGAGCTTCTCACCACACATTAAGCGAGAGATTTAGAGCGAGGTGAACACTTTCTTCTAAATCTCCCATAAGGAAAGATCTATATCAGCCTTTTTTTTTTATACTTGTTACAACTGACACATTATGAAGAAAAATTAGAATCCTCCTTCCTTAAAGCTTATCTACCATATGACTTAGGAACAAGAACTGAAATAAATTCCTCTACTAATATGCACTCTTGGCACAGAAGACCAATCTCCCCTCCCAATATAACAGTAATCATCATTGTTTTATGGCCATTTTACAAGCTTGCTTGGGTTAGCCATGATTATCTGATGGCAGCTCTTTATGCTGCACGGTTTCTTGCAACCTCTGTCAAGTTCTTATCTTTGAGGTAATTTCTTATAATCTGTCCCCATGTCATTCTTGGTTTATGTCTGGCTCTCCTTCCCTCCACATTCAAGTTCATGCATCTCTCGACCCAGTTGGTCTCCTCCATTCTCTCCACATGTCTAAACCATCTTAGCCTGGCTCTACACAAAACCCAGCTGCTCTCTTAGGTCCGAAGAGTTTCCCATCCATCAGTGTTACAATTCATATCTGCCTCATTATTCTCATGTCAGCACAACTGCCCGTGTTTTACTGCCATACAACATATCACTTCTCATTGTGGCTACATACATCTTTCCTTTCTCACAAAGAGAAGGTCCCATTGCCATCAATAACGGCAACAGCTCCCAAAACTTCCTCCAGCCACTTCTGACTCTTGCCACCTCCAGAGCACATGGACACAGCTCACAGCATCCTGGAGGTGCAGGACTTCACCCAACACCTCATCTCACACTTCACCTGACCCAAGCTTCAGCCCATGTGATAATATTTTTTGCTCCATACATATCATAATATCTTTTTTTAGCAAATGATGCTTCATTTATCAATGCACAAGGTACACCACCCTTGCCCGGGCCTCTGCCAGGGTGATGATGTTTTTTCAGTGTTTCATGCTGTGACATTTCTTGGTGACTGATGCAACATTCACAGATGTACACAACAAACATCGTGTCTCACAGTGAACAGACAAACCAAGCTTCTATGAGCCTGCCATTGTGATAACAGTGATTAACTTCCTTATTGTTGATATTTACAATTAAAAATGTCTGAAGGTTTTATATAATTAATCATTTTTTAGCACAAAACTATTGCTTTATGAGGGCTGTAACTAGTCAAGTATACAGTGATAAAATTTACCTAAATGTTTCGTCTTGGCAATGCTTCAAACTTCAATCTAGTTCTCCATCATTTAGGTGAATGTGCATTTAAATAGACTCCCTTGGGACTCAACTTCGATTAAATACAGGTCTACTATACTTATTACAGTACAACTATTATTATCATGAAGAGACTGGATGAACAATGGGTGATGGTAAAAAAGTGGAGAGAGGGAGGAAGAGAGAGTAGAGAAGAGTAAAAAAAGGGGGGGGGGGGTTAATAAGGATTTGTGCATAGAATTTGACAGTGACATGAATGCCTGGAAGAGACAGTACAAAAACCATCCTGCTAAATAAAAGGAAACAAGAAGGAAATATTGTATGGGATACAAATAAAGAGATACTACTGTATGTCATATGCTAATTTTCACTAGTTAAAATAAGAAGTTTATAATACTGTATATATCACTCACTTGATTACAGTCAGTAATGCTGCAGATATCCGAGACACAGCCATTGATGTCCGGCATGGTGTGAGTACCAAGAGTTGCTAAGGAGTCCAAGGAGGGATGTTGGTATAGGGCAAAGACGAGTTCCACCGGCGTGCGAGTTAGTGCCAGGTACTGGGGTTCACCCAGAGAATGCTTATGTAACGCATGCTCGATAGCCAGCTGTTCGTATCGATTACTCATGCGTAAATAGGCCTCGGCTGCCTTAGGATCTGGACTGTTTTCTTGCCACTGTTTAGCCAGAAGTTTACTCTTCTCGGCCGCTTCCACTTTATCAGCCCCCGGAGGAAGTCTATTAACGACCCAGTTGGCACAGGCAGTTGCCAATTCGCCATGTTGTATTTTGCTCACCACTCTACGGACACACGTTAACAGAGCACTGTTGCTACTGCACACCTGCCATGGGGAGTTTTTCAGATTGTTTGACTCTGAAGCTCCAGTACTGACCTCTGATTTTTCAGGAGATTCTCGTTCTAAAGCTTTGGAGACAGTATTCTGAGTGGCTATCAGACACAACTGATCTGGGTTTAATTTTAAGGTATGAGAAGCTTGAAGCCATGTATCTACAGTCGATACATTTAGTTCTGGTTCAATTATTTTCATCAGATATTTGCTTCGCCTAAAGAGCTCATGAAAAGGAAGACGGTGTTTAGATATATCAGGAGGTCCCAGACTTTGAGGATGGGATGAGACCCATTCATCCACCTCAAAATCACTTGGAGGAGCCTGCCTTATGTACACTCCAAGGAAATTGATCACATCTAATCCACGCTTCAATAAACTTAATTCCTGAGAATCTTGCTCAAGGAGTATTAGTTGTTGTACTACAAGTTCAATTAGTTCATAGTTGTAAGGACTGAGCAAATTTAGCTTTGTTTGAAGCATCTTATACAACAGGGTCTTGTTGCTAATCTCGGCAATAATAGTCTGGCACTTAGATATCACAGTACGTGGAGGTTCAACTTTAATTATTCCACCCGACGGAAACTCTTCACTGGGCACCTCCGGCGTCCAAGATTGTAGTGTGGTCCTCAGGTAGAGAAGTAAAGCATCAGTCACGTCTAAATTGAAATCTTTACAATAATCATACAACAGGGAGAAAGAACACTCTGAATGTGACACAAAGTCAACCATAACTTTTTTCAGAGCTGTAACATCTCCTTTGAAGGCTTCCTTGAAGGACACGTTCATATCACCCAAACGCTTTCCCCAAAGAACTCTCTTTAGCAACAAATCAAATTGTTCCTTGACCTCTGTTAATTTATGTAATGTGCAATAGTCTCTTCCTACAGTAGCAACAGAAATGAGCCGGGTATAATCAATTCCAAATCTTTTAATGAGCTCATTTTGTACTTTCAAAGCATCCTTTTTAGTTAGGAGTACAAGCAGGCTGACAGCCAGAATGACATCTGGCCTTGTACTACCAATAACTTTTAACAGTATAGTAAACACCTGTTGCCAGTCAGGTAAGCATCCTGCCACTAGTGATTGGGTACCCGATATAATGTGGTTCTGAAACAGCAGCAAACTCAAGTTAAGAGCAAGTAAGTCCTGACCACGTTCACGAAGATGACTAATGAGGTCCTGTAAGCTGTTATTTAAAGAACCGTTCTCCAACAAATATGCTCCCTTCTCTCCGTTGCCTAGATAAGGGAGAGACAAAGTTCTAGCCTGAGGAAGCTGGGAATTCAAACAGGCCTCCATGGAGTGTGTCATTAATGAAGTGACTAAGCCATCTTCTATAGGCATACTAGCATCATGGAACAAAGGACTGAACTTCCAGATACTGTAGGGATTACAACTCTCTACAGCACTGGACTTGGTATAAATACTTTCTACATGGCACTGAGAATATAAAGTCTGGCCCAGCTGGCACCATGTTCCCAATTCCAGCAATGGTTCCAGAAGGTCTGTGAATGTAAAGAGATACATCAGCATTATTAACAAGATATTATCAATAGTTCTACATACAACATACTGTACTGTATATAAGCAGACTGAAGGTCTAAATTCAAACATAGTGGGATCATTTGAACACAATGCAATCAAAATATGAACCGGTCAGCAAGGGTTCACTAAATCTCACAAATCAGGAGAAAGAGAGAACCTCCTTCCCAGTGACTTTGGAGATTATATTTTCAGCACTGGCCATGTAAAAAAAGGTCATAAATCTATTAATCAAGATAAATAAAATACAGGTAGATCTCTTATAACAGACAAGATGTGTACCCGAGTGTCTGGTAAGGAATTAATCTATTAAAAGAGGTTATTATAAACGTGGTGTCTAGAGAGATGTGTTCCTGACATTAGCACCACATATCAAAGGCCTCTAACCTCTGCTGAAAATGTCCACGCTTCTCACTCATACAAGGGCCATATATACCTTTCAGCAGCCCTTTTCTCCAATTGAAGTTAATGTCCCTTTTCAATAGGTCTTTTAGATTATTAAATACTCTTTTTGCTTGAACTATTCTTATAATGTCTTTCATACAGCGACCATCACAGCCGGGATTTAGAAACGAGCATAACTTTCATCTTTACAGCATTAACTCTTAACCTATATTCTCCACCTTTTTCCACCAGTACCAAGGCGGTAACTATCTTATATTACAACACTATAATGTTTACTTTAAGACTTCGGGACTGTATTACCATATACTGTAAGAACTTGTAACATGAAATACAGTAGCTAGCATGAATAAAACAGAAATTTTGAGGGAAGTTACAGTAAATCTTCTGCATATTTTACTTAAATAATAAAAATGAGAGAGAGAGAGAGGAACTACTTATGGCACAGCCTCATCATGTTATACTGTATTTTATATGATATTTATTACAAATGACTTCCTTGTACAGTATTTGGTGAGAGGGTTAAAGTCAACGAGCCAGCCTTAAAGTATACTTGTATTCCTTTGAAGAGTGACAGTAGTTCCCTCCACAGTACACACCTGTGACCCCAAGCTTTCTCTGTTGTTCACTGTTACCTCTACACACAGAACCAGTAGTAAGACAGGTACAGTTGTAGACAAAATCCTCTCAACACTTGGCATCTGCTTGTGAGCCATATACATGATGAGTTTATGCAGTACAGTATCTAATAATGCTGGTTTTCATCACAAATTATAACAGAAAAAAATAAAATAAAAAATTCATACATAGAAAAATCTGAGAAAATATGTTAAAATTCCCCCCTCTCTACCCAATGGTCTTCCAGTGTCCAGGGAATTTTGTCCACAACTGTACATGTACATGAAAGCAAGGATCTGTGGAACTGTAGTGAGGATGATATGTAAGAAATAATTTACTGGGCTCTTATGGGCCAATGAAGCACAAGGATGTACTGCACTGCATCTGCTCAACTAGTACAGTATTTTCTTAAACTATTACACTGACCTGGATGTGCAGATGTCAAGGCTAAACCCACAATTTCATGAATAACACCGATAAGGTCAGCCCGGGACTTGACGCTGGCAGTCCTCTCTTGCAACGCAGTGGAATTCGGGGATGAAGATTCATTGTGACTTATTAATTCTATGTTTAGTTGTTCAACCAATAGCTTGACTATCTCATATCCAACTTCAGTGCAATCTAACACAGTTGGATCTGCTATGATCTCTCTGTAAAAGCAAAGAATAAACAGATAAAAAACGGTACAGTACAACACACTCTGACCCACCCCACCCCACCCCACGTCCTCTCACCATGGCTAGGTCTATGGCTTTATTTCTCTTATTATATTGCATCAACTAACCTCCCTGTGACCATGATCTTTGTGCTGGTCTTGAGTTTGTTCTTCTGTAAATTTCTTTAAGAATGATGAAACTGTTTAAAATTTCTTAGCTCTTACAAGTCTCTTCTCTCTATGCTTCAAATTGGCTGGAGTCTAAAGCAAAACAGGTTCTCTTTTCACTAACCTCCATTTATTCACTCTAATGTGCTGTTTCTCACTGGTCAGTCATCTACTCCACATTCTAGTACTTGCTTCACCCATCATTCCATTCCCTTCTTGGTCTTTCCCTCTCCCTCTCACCACCCACTTGTAAAGTATACACTGTCCACATCCTTTCACCTCACCTCCCATTAAGCAACACACCCTGGTCAACATTTTGTCCAACGTTGCCTTAATTTCCAAACACATCTAATTTCTGTATTTCTTAACCTTTGCATCCTATTTACCCAAAATATTTGCTTCCCTCTCCTGTACTCTTGCTTCCCTCTCCTGTACTCTTGCTTCCCTCTCCTGTACTCTTGCTTCCCTCTCCTGTACTCTTGCTTCCCTCTCCTGTACTCTTGCTTCCCTCTCCTGTACTCTTGCTTCCCTCTCCTGTACTCTTGCTTCCCTCTCCTGTACTCTTATTCCTCCACCCTTAGGCCAACTTTCACTGACAACCATCATCCTTCTCCTCAACACACCCTGACACACACTTTATTCACCTCATACAAACTATAAATAACTCAATATTTTCCCATGTATCCTATATTATTGTTAAAGTCACCCAATTAATTGTTTTATCCACTTTATATGAATCTTTTTCCAAATCTTTAAACGACAATTCTTTCTCATTTACAAAATCTTTTATAATTTTTTTTATGCAAACACCTGATCCAAACAACACCTTTTCCTGAATACACAGTAAATTACATAATGGCCTGACCCTAAAAACTTATTCTATAACCAAGCCAGTGTGGAGTGACCCCATGACTACGTGGACCCAGGCTTCTCACAGTATATACATACATACATGCATACTTATGTATTGAGGGGGCAAAGCTACTACAGTGAAGTATACTATCCTCCCGGTAGGACATTTATCAGACTTACCTACACACATGAACGGCTTCTTTCAATTTACCGTTCTTAGCAGCTAATGATGCCAAGAGGGAAAATAAATCACCTCTGGGTACATCTAAGAGGAAGGCAAGCTGCTGCATATGGTTTAACCCTCTACTGGTGTCTTTCTCTTCCTTGTTGACATCAGGCCTTTTGGTGTCTGTCACTACTGGGTCACAACTTCTGGTGTCTATGGCTTGCTCTTCAGTATCCCATACAAGGCCATATTCCTTGTACCAATCACTTACTTTATCCTTAAGAATTTTATAGCAACAGGTTTTGTCTTCCAGCTCCCTCAGTGTTGGGTAAATATCATACTTTTCCTGAAACAGAAATATAGTTAAGTTTTATAGACAGTACAAGAATCCATCTCGTCCCTAGAGTTCAACACTAACTAAATGGACACCTGGGATCTTGTTCTCAATAAATGAAATACCATAAATGTACCATCTTGAATATAATATGACCATGTGACTGAGCATCTTAAAAATCAATCAAGTAATGCACATCCCTCTGTGGGGGGGTAAATACTGAATGATGTGGCCAATGAGAAAAAAACAAACATTAGAATTGACTGAAATATGGCAGAAATTTGAAGAAACAGATGAAGCCTTTATTTAGAATGAGGTGTGCCAAAGAGTAGTGTGAAAAGTAACATACACTAAGACTTACCTGCATGGTGTGAAGATTGTGAATAGTTGTGAAAAAATCTTCATCAGATGGAGTGCCAGTCTTATGGTGCCATTTCTTTAAGATACTTTCAAGGGCCACCATACCCCCAGTCACAGCTTTATAAGACTCCTGTTCCTGTAAAATACCCCCCAAAAAAGATGAAATTAGCCTTAATTGTTGGCCATCATCAGTGGAAGTTAGCTGTAGGGAAGGTGGCCATCATCAGAGGAAGTTGTAAGTTACCTGGGTCCATAAAGTGGCCCAACACATCCTACTGTAGCCAGTGAGCCACACTTACATCACCTGGTTGGTCAGGAAACTTTGGGAGAGGAAATTATCCACAAACTTATATCACAACCTGTAATTTGACCAAGGATGACCAACAAAGCCATCAGATGGAGATGACTGGAAAGCATACTGTACAGTGATGCATTAACTCTGTAAGTAAACCAAGAGGCAGCTAAATTAAAAGAAAATTTGTGCCTAGAACATCAAGAACATGAGAGATATCAAAAGGTATAAATCTAAAGACTGCAACACACACAGCAGCAACAGTGGTCCAGAAGGCTAAAGAACGTTCAGAAAATGAAACTCAAGTCACACTTTACCTTCTGACCACTTGGAGAAAATAAAAGTTTTTGAGTGAAGTAAATAATCAACTTCTGACAAGTCTGCTTTTGTAGAGAGTCCTTTAATCCGTGGAGAAGCGTCTTCACTCCCTCCACATTTCTGTCAAACAAAAATTATTTAATATTAACATAAGAACATTGATTACAGTATGGGTATTAATGTATATAACCAAAGTAAAATATTTACACATTTAGTATTCACAATTTTCCATTATATGCCCACAAAAAATGCTTAAACAATTACAATACCCTCATATTTATGTGAAAAAAGATGTCACATTAATTTTTGAGTCAGTCGGACACTTGCAACTCACTAGGGAAGAATTGTTCTCTTACAGCCACTACTGAACCCATTCTCACAAAAAGCATCACCAGACTTTACCAAACCCTATTGAACTGTGACAGCCTCATGTAACAGAAGCAAACCCCAGTACACACCTCGTGTTCAGAAGATAAATGGCCCGGGTAAAATACGCATCAACACGAGAGAGATGTTTGTACGTTGCAACCACACATAGTGCATCATCCATGGCTTCCTTTTCATCATGGGATAAAATATTTTGTAACATCATCTGCAACACAGGAAAATGGACATGAATAAATAGAAGAACAATAGCAACATTTAGACAATATCTCTGAAGCATTTTCTCACATTCCTTCCCATCAAGCCACTCTGTGAAGGTCCATCATGTACACAGAAGATTCTTACCAGTAGTTACATGGACACACAGAAGGGCCCCTGGATGGAGCTTGACTTAATATTTACGATGAAAGGACAGCAGTCACTCAATACACCCCCTCCATAGTCTTAAGAGGGGGGAGGGTTACAGACAACTACACATTTACACAAGATACAAAAAACAAACTAGCTGCAATAACTAACCACAGAATTCCGTGGATCATCAATTTTGGTAAGATGGAGAGAATATCTTCGTAATACCAACTTTAGATCTACTAAGCGCCTCTGATCCTCAAGTTGAGTACTAAGAGAGGTATTGAGGGATAGTCCCAGCTTACACATGGCATGTGTTCCCTCACTCCATGGTACAGGAGCAACACGTACACACTCCACAATACACTGGGCACGAATCTGAAATACATTATATATAAAACAGCAGCAAGGCATTTGAGTATGTCATATCCCCAGACCATAGCTTTTATATAAACAAGATCAGGGGATAAGTGAACATATATCAACTCTGGCAATATTATCTTCCACTTATGATATTTTTGAACCACTTTGGATACTCAGGGACCATCATTCCAAACATCCTGGAACCAATACAGGCAATCTGCAACTAATACATCCCATTTAACCTGAGTGTTAACGAGGAATGAACTTAATGCTGGACAGATACAGAGTCAAAGTGACATGTGTGTCCTTGAGGAGGTTGTTCCCGTGAGCCTGGTCTATGACATTGTCAACTAAGATGTGATAGGCAGCAGAAAGAATTAAGCTACACTCATCACAATCCCATTCCTTAAGGCAAAGAATGACCTTTAAATAATTTTGAGCAACTGGTGACAGTGGGAGTGTTATCTTCTTATTCCTGCAAGTTATTATGGTCTAAGAGTTTACTGGAGAAACCATGGATCCATATGTCACTCCTGACTGGAGTACCATTATGAACATTTTCAAAAGCCTTTAATTTAACATTTAGCAAAAATATAACAATGGTAGACCCTATGTCCTTGTGTATGAAGCTTAGCTGTTTAATGTGAGTAACAAAATCTTTAGGGGAGGACAAATATAAAATATCCCCCAAATCATGTCAGCCGAGAGTATAATAATGATGCTCTATGAAGCAAAAAATGAATATTAATAAAATACACAACAGTACTGCACCTGAGCATCAGACATAATATTTATGACAGCATACAGCTTATCTTCCCATGGTGCCTCTTGCCAGGCCCACCAATCTTGGAAAGCAGAGGCCAAAGTGTCCAGAACATAGCGTGCCAGAGTACCATCATAATCCAGCTCATGACGTATCAAGTATGACCGTACAAAGTCATCCATTAAGGGGGAGACTTCTTCACCACACACTAACCAGTCCAGTAAAGCTGCTACAACTGCCTCTTTGTTTTCCTGTTGTGTAAAAATGTAAGTAAAATTTTAGATAAGAGGAAAAATACTTAGCAATAAAAGAAAAAAAATTTATATTTATTTCATTACAAATACCAGTATACATTTGCTATTTCTTCATGATGATACAGTACTTGCCTGTATATACTGATTGAATTCTATCTTGATTCTAAATTTATTTGCTAGGAGTTGCAGATCCTGAAGTGCAAGAGCTGTTTGTCGAAGGTGGTACAGAGCAGAAGATGGGGAGTGAGCCTTCCACTGAGCAACGTGCACTGCCATCTGTACTTCAATGTTGCCACCTAATGAAGAACAAGTAGGTTCAGATGTACTGTACATTACTTCTTAGTCACACGTTTAGTTACTTTCTTTTGTTTCTAATAAAGCCAACATGGCAAACCTCAATATCTACCAAAATCACCAATGCCAACTGTAGGTTACAATATTTACACACATTTCAGCCAATGACACTATGACACATCTGTGGGCCTGAAAACAATCTTCTTTGCTTTCTCTCTCAGTTGGTTCTCAGGCCACAGCCAGACACACTGCTACCCACACGATGCCTCTCAGAGTTTCCTTCATATTATCACTCCATCTTTTTCTAGGTCTTCCAATTCATCTACTCTGCCCAGCATAATATTCTCGGGCCTCTCCAGTTACTTTATTTAGCTACATGGTCAGTCTATCTTACACCACTTGATCTGGTCGCACAAGATGGTCTAGTCAGGACTCGTCAGTGCTCTGTCTCGACTCAAAACTGTGTTGTCTTAGAGTTTAATCTTTCTAACACATTCACCTCTCCGTTTTGTTAAGTCTCTTAAGGTACAGTACAGTATATGATTCACGATATATATATAACAGGAATGCCAGAACTCATATTTATTGAAGGTTTGGTTAGGTTAGGTTAGGTCACATGGAAATCTTCATACTCTGGCTAGAGATTGGGGAGGGGAAAGATTATTTACTTATACTTCTGATACAATTGTTTATACTTAATACATCAAGCCTAAAGTGGGTTAGGTTATGTTAGGTTAGGTGAGATAAGCAGTTAATGACAGTATCATGCTCTCAGTTTACTAGGTGATATAGTTGAGACAGACAGAAAACATCAACGAGACCACAGGCAATTTCAGCCTTTATGGGCCACCACAAGATTAGCCCTCACTACTCAGCCCGGAGTCACTAGATGATAATTTCAGGGCGATACAACTCCAGGCTGATTATGCTGAGAGGTTACTTCAGGTGGGCTCTTGGATGGGCTACTTTAGGTGATTCATAAAGGACAAAACTATGAATGATCTCGACAAAGTTACTAAATATATACAGTATATATTTACCAAACTATACAGAGCTGACCAACTTTGTATTTCTTTACCATTAAATCTAAATTCTTCACCCAGATGGTAATGTTACAAGTGAAGGAATTATATCAAATTTAAATAGTGTAAATAAATAAATAAATAAACAAACAAATAAATAAATAATAAAATGATAAAAATGTTCATTAATACCAACCCGCCTGGAAGTCAGCAGCCACATTTTCTAACACTGATATAATGGTATTGGCAAGTGTTAGTCCATTGGAAGGCCAAGCACTTCTCTCCAGGACTTCCAGCCTCCTGCAACCCACAACACAAGATAAATCTATTAGCTAACATGTTTTATTACTTAGTTCTTACGGCTATCTTTCTCTAATTTCTAAGATCTTTTAAATATACCTTACAATATTTGCTTGAGAAGACAACTGACGATTAATTTAATTACCAAACCAATTTACTTGTGCCAAATCTACAATCTTCAGCTTCAAAAATCCCCTACAACATTAAAACCCCTAACTTAGGGCTTCAAAGATCTTTTATCTCATGAGGTACAGTACTTGGTGGTGACCAGGGAAGTGCAGTATGTCTTCAGAATGGGTGGGTGTCTAGGGAGATAATATTTCACATTTTAACCGATAGTGTAGTACTGTAGTTAAAAGTTAAAGACACATCTGGTACTGCTTAATTTTGGGTCCTAAACCACACCGATAAAAACAATGAACGTGTAACAATACTTTAATACTCCTCACTTGACTCTGTTGTCTCCCCAGGTGGCAATGATCTCCATTGAGCTGGGACAGAACTTCACCAAGTCAGATAGCACATTCTTTGGCAGCCAGTTGCAGAGTACTGATGAAGGTACATTATGCGGAAATGCATCCAAGATCTGAGAAACACACAGTTGGTCTACCTGGTGGCTAAACTCGTACTGATGTCGATGCCACAACGTTGATGCAGAATCCAAGTTCCCCTGTCAATGATGATAACCAAAAGTTTTATTATACTGTAAAACATTAATAGTAACTAATATGAAGCCATACAGAGAAGACCTTCCTAATGGCCACCAACTTCATGTCTCAACAATACTCTACTCCTCTGCTCCCCACCTCCCCTTCTTTATCTATGATGATTACTGTATACATTCACCCAAGAACTTTACCAAATACACTTATAGATCCTCTCAACTCTTCCTCCTATTTCAACTCGCCACATTTCTTTCACCCTTGTTCAAGATATTCTCCCCCATCTTCCTTTCACAATATATCCTTAATCATTATCTCCAAGTGTTTTCACCCCTTTCACTTCCAATGCAACTTCTTGTTTCCTTTACATCTTAGTGTCAACCTTTTCCTTTATGGTGAAGTACAGTCCTAATCTTTTATACTCTCTCACTATTCATTTTACCTTCCTCTTAATCCAGGTGTTTCTCCTATTTTAATCACTACTCACCTGCAGCAGACATCGATATGCCATTTTTTTTCTTCAACTCATCATTATTATCATCACTGTTTTCTGGCCATTTTCCACACTTACATTGATCAGTTAGCCATGATTACCTCACAGCATGGCATCTCAGGTTGAAGTAAGTTTTAAGGCTGGATGCCCTCCATAACACCAACCTACCTGCCTACCTACACTGTATATATGTGCTTATCGATGCTGTTATGGCAACCCCCCTTATTTTACATATCTCAGTCTACATAATAAATTTTGGGATAAACCATTTAAAATTCACATTCTTACCCTGCCCAAGTGTTCAACAAACTCCACCAGCATATCTGAGGAGGAGAAGACAAGCCAGTGCTGAATATCTGAGGACGGAAAGATGTTCTCAAATGTCTGGAGACGGTAGGTGGTCTCACTCACTCGCTGCATCAGATTGCTCAACTGGTCACCTTCTTCTGACTGGAAAAGTTAACAAAATAAACCTGAACTACGATGAATTGCTTGTACCTATAAGACATACATACATAAATACATCTGTACATAACACATGACCACAACTTTTAGCATGTCAATGGAATTTTCACATAATACTTGTTCAACAGAAATATAACCAGTGAATCAAAGGGTGAATATGGCAACAAGTTCATTATGGAAATTCACAGTAGTTAAGGGTGAAATTACCTTGAAAATGGTTAATATAGAGTAAATAGATGATTAATGTGGGAAGTATTAGAGAAAATATAAGAGTTTAATGGAAAATTGTTGAATGCTGTCCTGGGAATCATTGACTCAACACTGTTACATGGACTGAGTCAGGCAGAAATCAGAAGTACTAACTGCAATGACATCCTTGAGGGTACTGTACTGTTTTATATGAATAAAGTAGAGGGAAGTGTGAGCAGCATCAGGCAAAGTAGAATAGCCAGCTCAGATGATATGTGAATGAGAGGTGAAAACTCGGGAGATGGAAGGATAGGGTAAGGGAAGCACTTCTGTATTAGGAGGATAAAGATTCAAGATACAGTGTAATATGTGAATGACTCTAAAAATATGATGTCAAAAGGTGCCACTGCTGCTAGGTGATGCTTGGTTGTAATTAGAGAGACAGAAAGATAAACTGGTGAATAGGGAGCCCTTGTATGAGTTTGGTACAGGTCACCCACCACTGTAAAAGGCATGGGCTTGTGAAAGTTAGGTATTAGGAGCAGCACATATACCTTAATTGAATTTACAAGTCGTCCTTTTGCATAGTTGAGAACCATCTTCGTAGTAACCAAGTCAGGTAAAGAAGCCTGAATGCAGAGTGAAGTCACAAATTCTGAATCCTGGATCTTTCCTAGTGTTGCCAACAGCTCTTCAGTTTGTCTGACAAGTTTAAAAATCAAGTAATTACAGTGAACACAGATTAACAGAATAAGGATTCTGTTTTGCACTTGGTAAACCATTCAATATTTCCTAGGATTCATATTTACTTTCAGTTATTGTACAAGGGCAGATCTCATTAAAACATTCAGAATCCTGAGAGGGATGGAAAATGTGAACCTGGGCCATTTCTTGGTGATGTCACACACCAACAACACGAGGGGACATGACTACAAACTCGAAGTTATAATGCAGAACGAGCATAAGTAAATAATTTTTCACACAGAGGATGGTAGACCTAAGTAACAGTCTACAGTCTACCAGCTCAAGTTGTTATCAAGAACAGTACTGGGCTTCAAAATAGCCCTTGACAAAATTATCAGAACAATGGAAGGATCCTACACAGGCCACTGACCTTCCTCCCTTCAGGTAAAAACATTCTTCAAAAGCCTTTCATCTTAGTTTTGACATAATTATCTTGGAGTAAACTCACTTTATAAACTCATTCAGTCAGCTGCTTCACGGACATTCCAAAAACTTAAGAATTACATGTAGAGGTTTTAGGCTTGAAGGTTCCTCAAATGCTCTAACTCAAAGGACTTGTTTTTCATCCCTCTCATTACCCTTCCTTCCTTGAATCATACTTAATAGAAATAATAATAATATACAACGTGTACCTTCCACTTCCTTCAATCTCAATCACAGACATATTTTGAGCCGAGGTGATCCAGGGGTTCATCATGTCACACAAAAACTTGGCCCGGGCCTTATGGACGTCCTGGATGTTCAACCTAAATCTGCCACAAAAATCCTCAGCCTCCTTGAATTTGCGCTTCATCAAGAGTTTGGCCAGTCTGAAACGTTCACAAAATTAATATAAATACTGTATTCCCTTTACTGTACTTACACAAAAGTAATTAACAATACACTAAAGCCTAGAATAACGACGGTAGTGTAAGGTGAATCATCGTGTCGTGAATCATTACTTAGCATTAAAATAAAGCAATAATAATGAGGTGCGTTCCCCAGTGTGGCCATTTCATAGCTTTTGTGTGGTTTTTGACCTTTTCCCCTAAAAAAATACAATTAATGAAAAATACAAACTATAACTTTAAATACTGTTTATGAATACACCTTATATAATATAAATCAATAATAAGATCACACAAGAGGAGATGGGATGCTATTGTTGTCAGTGTTTACACCCATGAGGTCAGTTATCCGTCTGAAACAAGAAAATAAGACCCTGGTTGTTGCAAAAGTAAAATGAATGTAAAAAAATATACAGTATATGTTTTAATTAATGTTATTTAATGTACAGTAAAAGTAACCATTGATGTTAAAGAGAAAAAAGGTGAATGATAGTGGAACGGCAATGTATACTTGTGCCCTCAAGGAAACCATGTCGTTTATCTTAAGAATATGTACAAAAGCTTCATTAGTGTTTATTGCTGAATATGTATTTGATTGAATTAATGTTTATATATGTGAAATGAACAATGCAATTCATTAATAATACGTAGAATATTAAAACACACGAGGAGACGAGACGGCATTGTTTTCGTTCACGTTTACAACACCAGTGACAAATGACGATGGTTCTACTTCTACATAAGAAACTGAATAATCAAGATCCTCTTTGTTGTTGTAGTAAAATTAATGTAAAAAAATGAATATGTATGTGTTAAGTAATGTTAATAAATGGAAAAATAGAAGTAGCTAACTATTAACGGTAAAGAATAAACAAAATAGATTGGGAACGCCATCGTATGTAAGTGCGTACATGTGAAAACATCGTCATTTCTCTACATAAGAATATAAAAGCAACACTTATTACTGTTCATATATGTTTTAAATAATACTTACTAATGTAAAATATAAGGACAGCCAATGAATATTGTACGAGTTTTTACTCAGATGATTTCGTCAATCAGGTTCAACTCTGGCTGAAGTTGAAGCTTTCCATAAAGATATCATAGCTGTTACTGAAACTGTTACTGAACCTGAAGTTGTTGCTGAAGCTGCTTATGATGCTGAATTTAATGGTGTAGCTGAAGTTGATGGTTTAGGCCTTTGAATAATAAAGCTGTCTAAAAAACCTTTCACAGCTACTTTCTTTTCTCATTAAACATCTTTACGAAGAGGTCATATGTGTTTTTCATGTCCCTGTTAATTTTAATGCTTCGTTCTGTTAATGGATCCAATTCAGAAAATAATAACATTCATTGCATGCTCTATATAATATCCACAGACCTCTCAACTTTTTCATATCGTTTTAACACATCTAGTTTCTCGGCTAAGCTTAAACACTTTCTTTCAGCTTTTGAACCAGCACTACCATCACTCGCTCGCTTGCTCATGTTGAATAGGGTCGCAAAAAATGCAGTAAGAAACTGAGAATGTTTATCCCCTTTTCCTGTTCAGATGCGTGAAGACAAAAGGCCCACCAGCAATGACTGTTTATACTAGTGATGCTGGGACCACCCTCACAAGCCCGGCAGTCTCCATGTGCAGAGAGTTTTTTTTTTTTTATAATACATATCAGGATTTACTTATTATGGCATAAATTGAATTGGGTCCTAAATTAACCAGGGTCTTAAATATGAATCGTCGTTAGTAGAGTTGTCGTTATGGGAGGCTTTCCTGTACTGTATATGGGATACTTCCTTCACAAAAAGCAACATGGATGTAGAAAAAGTTATCATGAAAAAGATTGATTTGATTGATTGATTCTGGTAATAACTTTACTGGCGGTGCAACAGCTTAGGTTCATATGCCACTGAAAAAGTCTGAAAACTGAAAACAAAATAATATACAGCTAACTAATTATCATTTTCATTCAGATAAAAAAACTTGTTTGAGGAAGAAAGGGAACCAAGTTGCTTTACACTTAGTTAAACATGAATGACTGAACATAACACATTACTTATGGTGAGATGAATAAACTGTAGGTCAAAGATTGGGCCAATTTCAGTTCCCTCTGGCTTCACCAAGAAGTAACAACAAGGATTTCTGGTGCCAACACAGTGCTGTACTCACCTTGCTTCAGGAACACCATCCACTATGCTTTTAAGTTTAAGGCTTGAAGTAACACAGGTCACAGGGCTCATGTCTGGCTCTAAGAACAGTATGGACTCTGCTCCTTCTCCAATCTTTACCAGATTTGTATCCCTGTTAACACTCAACTCATAAACGGTCACAAATCCTGAAAAAAAATAATCACATCTGCAGTAATAGTTTACACTCATAACAGAGAGAGAGAGAGAGAGAGAATTTTCTCCTTTACATTATCAAAAGTTTCCAGGTGTTGTTCCCTAAACTCATTATCACAGGTAGATATGTTTAGTGAAATTATACACTTTTATCCCTACTGCTTATGGCCTCCAGGAGTAAAATTTGGTATAATCCTGCTTATCCCTTGTGTATTGTACCATCATAATTCTACCCACTTATTTTCTCAGTCTGAAATTCCAAGTGTATAAAATTCAAGTAGCTCTTCTCCAAGTGACATGTTGCTGTAACAAATAATTAGCTTTAATAACAGCAAGTATTTTGCTTTTGATAACAGACCCATTTGCAGAGGTGAAAAATAAATAAAAAAATATTTCAATCCATCTTATACGTACTGTATATTGTAACTGATTGATGTACACACGAAAAACAACAATAATAAGTCCCTTTTCTCGTTAACACAATATTACGCAACGGACGAACAATTCTGATTCTTGACAACCGAACCAGAAGTGCGGTACATTGTGTTCATTTCCAAACACATTGGATCCAGGTGGGCAGACAGTTTTTGTTTGTGTACATGTCTTTACTAATGGCTTTACCAGTATGGGATTACAACAGATATGAATGCAGTATGATGTACCCAACTGGTGATAACAGGGGCAGTGAGCACCAAATGAGAAGACTTAAATAACTGTCTACAACTACTGACACAACATCTGAAAGTAAAATATACTGCTATTCCTAGTCAAAAGTCAATAAATTAATATAAAGAACTTAAATACAGATTACCCATAAAATTCCTCCCGGGCGACTCACCTGGAAAAGACACAATACGGAGCAAACAACCGCCAGAGTCGGGGTTTCTGAGCAGGAGGAGGAGCTGGATATTATGGTCATCGCCCTGGAGGAGTGATACGTCCAGCACTGGCGGCTCATCACTCCCCACTTCCCACACAGTTATTCCAGTTACACCACAAAGCACTGTAAGTTTACCTGCAGAGTCCAATGTCACGACGTATCTGCAACAGTTTGGTGACATACATGGAGGAGAAAATCATTGAAGGTTATTGTAAATGGTACAGGTGCATTTGCTCCTTGAATCTCATTTTATAGCCTGGAATAGATCAAGTGACTCACAGTAAAGGAAATACATACCTGTACCGCCAAACTATCCATGATCACAAAGATGTAGAAGAACCTGACAGAAGGTAAAATTCACACTCACCCTAACAGCAATATCAAGAACTGTATCTCCCTGACCCATAAAACCCCAAAGTGCACCTGGAGGTCAGCACTTATCTCTGAATCAGTGAATCATTAGCTGCTAGAACTATAGTTTTTTCTTACCCTTTCCTAATAGCTCTAGTTGCTAGCATGTGAGAAAGCTAATCATTACATAACTGTTCTAGTTACCAAAATTAAAGAGTTTCCAAAGCCTTTGGTGAGTATATGCAGTAGTCATACTCGATAGGCTTACATTATACATAACTATATTAACTGCAGACCCATTTCTCAGTGTTAGGTCCAGTTGAGAGACTGGCAGCACCTCACCACTACAGTACAGTACACGATGAGATTCGTTGTCATAGAGGTTAACAAACTGTAAACCATAGGCTGCCTGTGGTGTCTTGAGATCATTAATCGCAAATCATAAAATGTGAGGGCCTTGTATTGATGTCACCCTCATAATACCTATCTGTAGTTTATGTGGACTCAATATATATATATTTTTTTAAAGATGAACTCTTATTTGGGTAGAATTAACCATTCCAATAAGGTTAGAAGATTGATACAGGGAGAAAAACAAATTGAAGGGACACATGTTAAGGGCTAGGTTGGTGGGGTAAATGAAACAAACCTATTTACTGACCTACTGTCAAACACCGGGATGACCCGAAAGCAGTCTGGGTTGTGTGGGAACTGCCAGGTAAGTGACTGAGAAGGATCATGGAGGCTTGAAGAGATCCACAATGTTGGCCCCAACTTGCCACCACACCAGACCCAGGAATTATCATTAATGCATTCTGCAGTTGTTACCTGAGGAAAAATATAATCCTGATGAGTATTAAATCTTTTTTATGAATGGTGAAAGTGAGTCACATAGGCATGACTGCCAGTCAGGAACAGCATGGATACCGCACGCTGTATACTAAACCTTCGGTACACAAGGAGGCAGCATGGTCGGTACTGCATTCGACCGACTTTGCTTCCCCAAGTTGTACATTCAGGTACCCATTTACAGCTAGGTGAACTGGGACTCGAACAACTGATCCTTGGAACAAGAGGTAAGTGCTGTATCCACTCGACCACCGCGCTTGTCATGAATATGGTAAGTAACATATAAAAATATCTAGAAACTATCTTCAACAAACACAATATAACTATACTATACATTTGCATTGATAGATGTAAAATGAAAGAACTCCTATAGAAACCTCATTCTAGGGTTGAGCCAGGAGCTGGAAGACTAATAATGCATTTGTTAAGCAATTTAGTCTACTACGAGAGTTGACAAGAGTGATCAGGACTACGTAATTCTATAAATCTGTCCTCCCATACTATAACCATCACACTGAGAGGGAGAGGAGAAGCAAAGGTAAACTAGAAAAAAGAGACCTAAACATATCCTAGACACAGAATGTCACAGGAGACAAAACTTCTACCCAGATTACAAGCTCAAGCCAAAAAAGAATCAGCAAGATTGATATGAGGGGGAGGGGAGATGTGTCACCTGGATATGGGAGAATTACCCCAGCCTGACTTCTAAGAAAACCCAAAAGGCAAAAGGCTTCTGTTCTCCACTGGAATCCAAGCAGCTGAACTACTTACCCCCTCCTCACCATTACCACTGCCTCTCGTCGGTGTTATATAACTAAACTACTGTACACTACTGCAACAGGGTCAGAGGTGTTTGAGGGCTTTGGTTTGGTTATTAAGGGCATTGGCTGAATTAGGCTTCTTTCAGTATTAATGACTCACATCTTGAAACTGAAATGGTGACAGTTGGGATAAAAGAATATTGGGAAGTTAGACTAAAGAGTGAAGATAGGCTGTAGGTGGCAGTAACTTCAGGAACCCCCCTACAGAGAGAAACACAAACACCTGTCCATTTATAAGTCAACATTACCACTACTCTATTACAAAGAATGAGTCTAGACCACGAACAATTCAATGGAACATGAACAAACTTAATAACTCAATAGGTTAAGTAAATTGTTAAGAAATATCATGAAACAAATTGGATGACAGAAGTTCACTATATAATGGGTAAGGAAGTTGGAGGTATGAGGATAGTATGCAAACAGAATTCTACTTTTTCCACCACATCTCGTCACTCTCTACGCCTGTCTTCCACCGCTACCCCAAGTCTTCCTCGGCAAACACCATAAACTTAATCATAGTTTTTAATTCACTAAACAGGAATACTGTATAATATTTTTCATAAACAATTTGACAACTTGGAGCACAATACTGTACCTCTGAACCGCCCAGATCAATATCATCAACTGCAAGGGTCATCTGTGCCTCAAGAGCTTTCAGGTTTTCTTTATCACCCACACGTAGACTGTCACACACAGCCTCTGAATCAATGTTTTCCCATCTGCAATTTAAAATAGTAAATTACTTCTTTCTAAAAAAAACAAAAAAAAACATATTAATAATAAAATGAGACAAGAAAAATTCCCCATACATGAAAGAGTTTAATTTTCAATGAGTATTTACTTTAAAAAAAATAAAAATAATAAATAAATAAATAAATAAAATATACAGCCACAATACAGTACAGAATAAATAACAAATAATCTACATACTGTACTTCAAGTTCCTGTACTCTATTTATATATGGATGATTACTGTATAAAATATCTCCACATCTACCTGTCAGTTAATAAAATTCAAAAGTGAAGATTGAGAGAATTAAACACCAACTTATGAGTCCATAAAGCCAGGTCAGGTAATTCTGTACTGTATGACCAATAAGACAACAGGTTGTAGGGCCAGACTCTTGGATCCCAGTTTGTGATTGAGATATAAATACTAAATAAATTAAATATTCATACTGTATTAACCTTCATACCATGCTACTAGATATTCACTTGGCAGGAAGATACTGTACCATGAGAAGGGATAAGTGACAAGATTTACTGTACAAATAACACGAGATGCTACAAACTTTTTATTTCTTCTTGAGGTGGTGTGGCAGCCATAATGAACACGTAAATACTTTTTTTCACCTCAGTCTTGGAGTGAGGAACAATGTGCTCAATTCATGCTGTTTACTTTCCTGGTTTATGTAGTGATATAATGCTAATAATTTATAGCTCCAAAACCCTGATATATTACAACACCAGAAAGACTGATGTGTCATACCTGACGACTTCACCGTGGGTAGTGACCAGGGAGGCTGACACCATACCATCCTCTGACTGCCTGCACTCTCCCCCAACAAAGAGCCTAACACCAGTCGTCTTCAGTGGCAGATGTCTGTAAATATAGTCATATAAAATTGTACATTTATCTATTATAACAATAAACATTAAAAAAATCCCATCTAACAACTTCACATTCATACCATAGAGTTAAGTCATCATCATATGAAGATGACATATCCCTCAGCCATGACTTATACACAATAGATCTCAACTTGGTAAAAATTAAAGAGTGAAGCCTCCATAGCACCAGACACACCATAATGTACTAAGTTTTGTGAAATTCAAATAATTATTGAACAGATTTCAGAAACTTTTGAATAGAAAGACACACAGAATAATCAGCACACTTATTGTCTTACACTGTACTGTACTGTATAGTGAACCAGCCAGGCCAGGAGGGTGACCTGTCTGATGTTGCTGACTCCTTTTTTGCTGTCATGTTCTTCTTTGAACAAGAAAGAGTGCAGGACATCCATGTGATGAACATCATAATTTTTTGGTAAATCAGATCGGTTAGCCTGTACCGTACAGTATTTAATGCTTGCAACATCATTTTAATAACCTTTCACTAAATACTAACACAGGATTGTGTGGCTTGGTTAAACACATAAATATAGCTTAAAATGCATTATCGGTGGAACCACATATTTCCTGTGAGGTGTAGCTGAAAATTCATGATATAAATGCCTTCAAACTTGCTTGGTTGATCAACAAAACAGGAAATGGGTCATGTAGTTATTGTTGTACATCATTGTTTGCCCAGATAAAACATAACAACCCCTTCAATGGGCTCTATCACTCTTGGGGTCTGTCACTAATTATCTAATTATCTCAGTTGGTCCCAGCCCCTAATATCAAGTTCTCATGAGTCATAAAACAATGCTTTAGTGAGCACACATACTCAAATCAGTGAAGAACAGTTCCCCATAAATTCTATTCCTGACTAAATTCAAGGGACCTTTTAGAAAGTGATCATACAGGTCTTTGCATAACAACCTTCTCATTTAGTTATGTTATTTCTGGGGTGAAAAGTCAAACAAGTCAAGAGAGATTTCTGAAATGATGATGGTAAGGTTTAAGGTGCACCATCAGACAATGATCCAAAATATGTGCCAACAAAATTTAGTCACATATCTTCCAGAAGAACTTTTCCTTTAGAGGTGGAGTCTAACTACGTACTGTACATGTTGACAAGATAAGCTAGCATCAGAATCTAAGCTCTAAGGTTAAATATGATGCAGCAGACTTCATGGACCTTATTTACATATGTGACAAGAACATTATAATAAACCGTATCTCTCTCTCACCACACACATGCAGGTATACATACAGTACATGAGTGAACTTACTTAGTGATCAAGACTCTCTGTGACTGCACATGGACACAGTGGACACCACCAGTATTGTCTCCTAAGATGAGAAACTCCCCTTGAGGGATCCAGAGTGCCAGGTCTATGGGGACATCTAAAGCCAGTTGCATGATAAGAGAAGAACATCCTTCCCCAAAAACAAATATGGTACAGTCAAGTACCACAGCAACATGACCCCAGGCAGCACTGCCATATAACTGGGGTAACCCAATGACCTGTAATTAAAGTTTGGTGTAAGAACATGACCAGATGATTTTGCACACATATGATTAGTCATGAAATCTTAAAAAAATCTCAATAATTATAATATTTCATCCAAATTTTCTATCACTTTTTCTAACTCATATTAGTAATATTTTTAACAGAAAACAGTGAGTGATTTACCTCATCATTAGGCTGCAGGTAAGCTAACTTGACCACCTCATATAAGGAAGCTAATGAACCAAGGTCATCAGCCTGACGCGTCTCATCATCACACTCAGCATCCAGAGCCTCCCACTTAACCATCTGTCACACAAATGGATCATCTACTGTATGTATTGACAACAGTGAACAGTGTTATTAAAGAGCAAAACAGAGTGACAAGGAGCAGTTATATCATATTATGAGATATGATTTATAAAATATAAAGCTTATTCTTAATGACAGTCTATTGTTACAGATTTGCATGAGTAGATATTTTATACACTACAAACTATATCAGTTAGGTACCTAATATTGTGCATAAATGTAGCCTAATGCTACAGAAAGACATAACATGATCCAGAGAGTTGTTAGGTATCATGTGACCCGACAGTGATCACTCTGTGTTGTGAGCTCCATCACGTGACTCAGTGAAAACCATTCAACGCCACTGTCGGGTCACGTGATACCTGATAACCCAAGTTCATGTTATTTATTTATTTATTTATTTATTTATTTATTTATTTAACTTTTTTTTTTTTTACGGGGAATAGCCCACCCGGGCACAGGTCATCGACCCACAACGGGACCTAGGGGGCGAAAAAATAAACATAGAAAGTAAAAGGTTATATTAATCTACACCGCGAAGGTGCCAGAAAACCAGCTATAGAAGTCCTATATAATCACCGTGTTCTCCCTACGTCTGTTGAGCGCCCGCACTGTGGAGGTCGATGACCCTGAACCTATCCCTGGTCCTTCCACTTCTAAGGTATTGTACTTCAGGACATGGCGCCCCAAAAGTTATAAACATTTAGCTCATTATTTGAGTCTTTTGAGCCCCATTTATATTAGTTGGAAATTAATAGGTTAGGTTACTTTAAGCTAAGCCTACTAGTGGTCCTGGGGCGGAGCCCCCAGCTAGGGATTATGTTATGTTTGGTTAGGTTAGACGACTCTTATTCGTGTTTTCCCTCACCCAGAAGAGCGAGAACTAAATGTTTCAGTTGTTTATAACTTTTGGGGGAGCTATGTCCAAAAGTAAAATAAAATATATATATATATATATATATATATATATATATATATATATATATATATATATATATATATATATATATATATATATATATATATATATTCCCATAGTGACATCATCATCATCGTGAATCTTTATACTCAATAGTAAATATGACAAATTTTGTGACGAGAGGTACCGGTATGGCCAGCATAAGGACAGAACCAGACAATGTGATGTAGTCGTGGCCAGAATTAGGCTAGGATACAGACACGTCTGTCAAGTTAGTAACGCTGTACCCACACCGGAACACTCAGCATGTAAACTTTGTGATAAACCTTTAAAGCATACACTTGAACACTATATTATTAAATGTGACACTGTCAAAGACTTCAGGCCACCAGGCTTATTGTATCATGAACTATGTAATTACTACATTGAATCAGGTGTGCTTGAGGACATTCTTGCTGTTTATCCCAAATTTGCTGCTGGCCCACACTGATTAGTCTTCAATTAGAATATGACTCCAATGTATGTGATCCACTGACCTATATATACTGCTAATATGATGCATCTCTCTGTGTATGAACCTCTGTCCTGTGTGGCAGTGAACAGTGACACCACCCTCAGTGTCAAGACCTGACTGAATTACTCACAATAAACAAACTGTCCTCCAACCTTTGTCAATAAATGTTAAATTAAAACCTATTGAACCAATATATTCAGACTCAACCACAAGTACAATAGCTCTTAGTACCTTGTTGTTGTATATTCATGAGATATCACTTAAGGTAGAGCTGGTCTCCTTCCCGCCAAAGTTCAACAAGTTGTGGGTGGGTGAGGCTCTGGCAGGTAAGGCTTCACTCACAAACTATCATACATATCATGGCTAGTTGTTGTACTTTGAGACTATCGTACACACAACATCTATGCTATCTATATATCTATCTATCTATATCTATTTATCACCTATCTATCTATCTATCTATAACTACAGTATATCTATCTATATCTATTTATCATCTATCTATCTATAACTACAGTATATCTATCAATCTATCTATCTCGCTAGCTATCTATATATAACTACAGTATATCTATATATCTATCTATCTATTTATCTATAACTACATTATATCTATCTATTTATCTATCTATCTATCAATCTATCTTAAATGTATGTATGTATGTATACTGTATATGTATGTATGTACTGTATGTATGTATGATAATTATCGTACCGCCGCTAGCTGCACTCTGACCTGAGACGACGACAACATGGTCTGTGTTTTGTATGTTTCATCAGTGTCACTATTAATACATCTTGATGAAAGTCTGCATTCAATCTTCTTTAGAATTTTTTCCTTGTACCTTTTTCTTACAATTAATACAACATTTCTGATATAATTGTCATTTCAGAGGTCACGGTGAAATTCAGGGATCTTCTTTTACTTCTCTCCTCTTCACCACTGATTGGCTCGTTAGCCGCTTGGCCGATCAAATTTAAAATATATACTGTATATATTTTATGGAGAAACAAAAAAAATTATAAAACATTACCTTTTCTATAAAAAGATTCGATTTCTATGACACCACCACCATCACCAGCTAAACACCGAAAATCAGGGCCGTCCCTAGGAGGGTGTGGGGCCCGGGGCAACTCAGCCACTGCGGGGCCCCACCAACCCCCATGGGACTGTCGCTATGGATGGTAAGGTCACGGTTGCGATGGTGGCGTAAGCTGCCAGGTCAGATTAACCAGTCAACAGGCAATGTGTCCGAGGTCACTGGGTCTAGTGCTGGGCCTCGCGGGGCCCCCACACGTGCGGGGCCCCGGGCGGTCCCCCCTAAATGACGGACCTGCCGAAAATACAAGGCTAGGCACTTACCTCTATCAGAGCCATAAATATTTATAATTTTATAATTTTCAGTACTTTCTGATAGTTTATTTATTCAAGATATAGATATTTTCGAAATTAAAAGGTAAAACTACGTCAGAATAATGTGTTTTTATTATAAAACAAGCAGTGCGTATGTTGACAATGAACTGAAGTTCTCGGGACATTGCGAGAAGGTAAATCAGGCAAATAAATTACAGTATTGGGTCTTATAAGAAGATCGTTCAGATATCTAGACGGACTGTCCCTCGTAACGATCTTCAAGAGTGAAGTGCTTCCCCATCTGAAGTACTGAGTGAAATGGCAGCATGAAGCATAGGGTGATTTCTCTTCCACCCCACTGCCTTCTCTTCTCTCTTCTCCTCCACCCCCACTTCTAATTCCCATCATCATCATCAACCAGGAGCTGGAACCAATTACCCAAAATCCCATTGAAACAATGGTTTCGGTTAACAAAGACCTTCTGGAACGAATTGTGTTCGTTAACCGAGGGAACACTGTATCTGTATGGACTCAGGGCTAGTGGTATATCTGTATGGACTCCGGGCTAGTGGTGCTACTATAATACATAGATTGTACTCTGAGTTCAATAATTCAGTATGGAAATTTTAAGACCATTTTCATTTTTTATTACTGTAACTTTTAAGGGAATATTAATGAGTATTTGACAGATTTATGCCAGGTCTTGTGTATGTGACCAGCAAGCAGTTGTATATAATTACTGTACTGAGATGAACAGCTGCAGAAGTTAAGGTAAGCAAGTTAAAAGAAGGGTTTGTAAGGATAATGAAATACATTGTGTATATCAATAATATATTAAAGACTTTGTATTTTTACATAAAATCTAGAATTTACAGACCATTAAAACAATCCAGCAATGTGGTGGAACTCAATTTATTGGAGTGAAAACAAATTGGCTATTTATTGTTGTGAAGCCAAGCTGTTTTTATTGCTACGAGAGGACTAGCTTCTTGCCACCTCTGACATGTGAGGCTAGTCAATGGAAGCTGGCATGCTGAAGGAGGTGACACTCTTATGGCACATCACTCTTACCCATTAGTTACCAAGAGAATCACAAACTGTGGTTGTCTTGTCTCTAAACAACAAAAAACAAAACTACTGTACATTTTATAAGTAAAATTCTCAACAAAAATTCAACACTTGGTCTCTTTTAGCATCCGACTTTGACAGCAACTCTCTAACCTTGTCTAAACCGGCCGATACTTCCTTCAGGAGCCACTTCGGGGACAGGAAGGGTCGGGCTATGTTACTCACTCTTTCTTATGGTAGGTAATGTCCAAACATACAACTCTTGATACAAATTAATAAAAAAGTCAAACGTGAACTAATAAACCTAAATATTTTGCAACGTAAAGTTTTGAAGAGAAGCAGCAAGGGATGACTCACTGTGCACTGTCACTCACAACTTTATCCTCATACAGTACTTTATTTGTCATTTAATTCTTAATGTTAACATTGTGTTACATAATTACGTTGGTAAGTCAAAGGATAAAACAAGACTTTATTATACCTGTACTAAGTAAGAATAAAAGTGTTGGCAGTACTTTGTTGATAAGTGATGCATTAATGTAGATGGTGCGAGTCATCACTGTCTCTGCTCCTCACATCCAAAAATTCTGCTCTTAATGATAATAAAAGATATTACCCAAATTATATTACCTAGTAAATAGTAGACGACAGTGCTCTTGTGTGCTCTGCTGAGAACAATATCATGACTAGTTGAATCAACAGGTCTACAGTTCTTTTTAGTGGCAGCTAAAGGGCAATTATTGGAGAAACATTCACTGTACCCAACACTCAGCTGGTTCAACCTGTTATATGTCTAGTGAACATCACCTCATGGTCAGGTAAACACAGAGCACAACAGATAATGTCCACTGGTTCTGCTCCACACTATGGGCACAGTTCTCGAGGCTTACCGAGTGCACAATGATTATGTTACTATTATTATAACTAATAACTTTATCTTAATAATTGTAAAAGTTCTTATCTTCCCTTACTCTTTAGAATAAATTTTAATCACAACTACATCCTATAATGTACACCTCACTGAGTACAAACTCCTGAGGCTCTTCTATATATTTATCTAACTTTATGAAACAAGACTCAGAACAGCTTATAAAATGTTTTCTTCTTCAAATTAAATAACTGAAGATTCTATTAATATTTTGGCATAATAGAAGTATTATGAATTTGGCCATCAAGCAGCAGAACTTGGGACCATCAAGCAGCAGTACTTGGGACCATCAAGCAGCAGTACTTGGGACCATCAAGCAGCAGTACTTGGGACCATCAAGCAGCAGTACTTGGGACCATCAAGCAGCAGTACTTGGGACCATCAAGCAGCAGTACTTGGGACCATCAAGCATGGTATGAAGACATCAAGCAGCAATGCCCAGGACCATCCAACTGGCAGAACTTGGGACCGTAACATGAAACCTTGGGACCATCAAGCAGCAGTGCCAGGGCCATCAAACGGCAGTACTTGGGACATCAGCGACGTGCCCGGTTATCAAGCAGCAGTACTTGGGACCATCAAGCAGCAGTACTTGGGACCATCAAGCAGCAGTACTTGGGACCATCAAGCAACAGTACTTGGGACCATCAAGCAGCAGTACTTGGGACCATCAAGCAGCAGTACTTGGGACCATCAAGCAGCAGTACTTGGGACCATCAAGCAGCAGTACTTGGGACCATCAAGCAACAGTATGGGACATCAAGCAGCAGAGCTGGACCGTAAACAACAATGCAGGACCATCGAAACGCCGACAAGACTTGGACCATCAAGCAGACTTGGGACATCAAGCAGCAGTAACAGGACCATCAAGCAGCAGAACTTGGGACCATCAAGCATTTTGGGACCCGTAAACGGCAGTACTTGGGACCATCAAGCAACAGTACTTGGGACCATCAAGCAACACTTGGGACCATCAAGCAACACCGGAATCAAGCAGCAGTACTTGGGACCATCAAGCAGCAGTACTTGGGACCATCAAGCAGCAGTACTTGGGACCATCAAGCAGTAGAACTTGGGACCATCAAGCAGCAGTACTTGGGACCATCAAGCAGCAGTACTTGGGACCATCAAGCAGCAGTACTTGGGACCATCAAGCAGCAGTACTTGGGACCATCAAGCAGTAGAACTTGGGACCATCAAGCAGCAGTACTTGGGACCACCAAGCAGCAATATTAGCAGCTACATAAATATGCAAAATCAATAAAATTTCTTACAAATTCTTTACAACTTTCATATTTATAAGAAAGAATAACCATAATATCACTGGCACATTAATAAACAAAACTATGAGGGAAGAGAATCGGTATTTACAATGGCGATGAACCAAAAACCTCGAACACACATGATATGGAGAGACATTCCTTTATCTTATACGTGGTAGTATTAGGCAAGTAAATACAAACCTCGTCTTAACTTGATCCTCCCATGGTCGCTGCTGCCTAACACATTAATACTGACCAAACAAACTGATCATGACATAATAGGAACTTAATTTTACCTCTATAAACACAACTTATTATTACAAAAAAAAATAATGCAGACAATTTTAATAATTTACTTTAGTTCTATAAGCCTAAGTTAACTTCTTTAATGCTTTATTTCACTTGACAAGGTAAGATGATCTCCAGATGGGAGGTCATCTTGGGTGAGAACAGGAGTTCGCAACACCCTGCCAGCCACCGCTACTCTTAACATCATGTGGGCGGTGTGTGTAATAACCGAGGTGTGCCCCCATTAAGTAACACACACACATTACTCATCCAACCATACTGTACTATTTTTGTAATAATATTCAACCAACTATCATTAGAGTGTAGGATATTATTGCAGTCAAACTGATAAATATATAAAATACGAAAGCTACTGCTACCATTACCGTGGCAGCTTATGCTAGAAAATACTCCAGTAGGAGCAACATAATGTACAGATGGTGTCCCTCATCATCCTTGGCTTATAAAGACCGACCTCCATCACAAATGGGTGTCTAGTTCCTCAAAACTTGGGCTGTTTATAATTTTTCTCATTACTTATCTTTCAATATGACATGAAAGGGGTGGTTACTGACTAGCTACAGTACAGTACATGGGAACTGTTGACAATGTGAACTACAAATTGAACTACACGAGCAACTTTGTGCATGTATGAAAAATGATTGTCACTACTTGACACCCAAGTTTCTTTCCTTATCAAGACGATCAATTATGCAAGACCTCCAGTGTCTGAGATTCATAATAACTTTGGCTCAAAGTCTTGGTCAACATTAGTGTGCAGTAACTACAAGAGAATGGTAGTTAGCTGCTCTGCTGTACAAGAGACTGGTAGTTAGCTGCTCTGCTGTACAAGAGACTGGTAGTTAGCTGCTCTGCTGTATAGGATAGTACTCAGAGTTTAAGCCAGTGATTAAGTGTGTACAGTACAATACACTGGCAGCCACCAATACAGTACAGGCTCAGGACCAATATTGGTTGGTAGTTTAAAGAAGGTTCCTGCTAAAGTGGGGCTTCAGTTACTTTCAATTTATATAATTTTGGATCTCAATATAACTTAGTTGTAATGATGAACAAGAAGTTGATATATGTGAAGTATATGGAGTTACTTAGAGCTTACTTCTGCGTCATACAGATAAGTTCACAAATTTCAAGAGTAAAATTTTCATGCTTAAGAGACCCATAAGAGGGTGGTGATATGAAGCCCTCCTGTCTGGCTCAGAGAAAATGTTGGCAACATGCTAGAGGACTTGCCATGGCTGCCATGAACATGCAAGTAAATATAACTTCAGCAGTATGTACGGCAGATACCATGAAGACACGTGTGATAAAAGTAAAGAACAAAACAAGATGGTTAATGCTAGTAACAACTGTACATCCAAAAACATTTTTCATATAAGAAATATCTAAAACATAAAGAAAAAGGTTTAAAAATGACCAGTTGAATAAATTGGAAGGCTGGTGCAGGCACACTAAGGTTAGAGTAATGCAGTTTTTGTGGTCTAATAAATATTACCAACCCAAGTTTAGTGATTAACAATCCTCACCTAATATGACAATTTATCACCAGATAAACAATATTATCTAACTAATTTGATCTACATTACTGACTCATTAAGATCTACACTGGCAGATATGTATTTATTTACCATTAACATTTACTGTTCAAATGTAATGGATTTTCATTACAGTATTCTCTTCACAAGAGGCAGCAGTACAGTTACCTGGTCTCTGCCACCACTATTCTAAGGTGGGTACAAACCTCACCCGAGTCCTAAAGACAGATGCTTCAAGGGAAGAAATATGATATGAAAAACCTTAACCACCACATAAGTTGCCCGCAGGAGTACTGTATTTTGACTCTCACAATGAGACCCAGCTCATATAAAACGTCTCCAACGTGAGCATAGCAAAAGTTTCCTACATGTTTCAACTACAGTATATGTACGGCTTTACCGGGGAAATAAGGACATGCACAAAAGGTCGAGACTGAGTGGGAACTGTAGGCATACACAAAATATACAACAAACACACTGGTCACACACCCACACCACCACGACATTCATCGTATAATTCCATTCAAGGATAAACGGCAAACGACGGGCTCAATCACACGCGAGGACAATGGGAGAGAGACCGAAAACTCGTAAATTATCCCCAGGAGTCGATACCTTACTGCCGTGACTCTGGTGCTAACACCGTACTTTGGCATTTGCTTCCCAAATATTTCCTTTGGGAGTTAAATAAGCAGCACACGTCAACAGTCTGTCCGTGGAGAGCCACATATATATATTTCATACTGTCAGTGCACAACAGGCACTCATAGTTTGAGTCGCTGGAGTTGTTCTTCATATTGTCAGTGTGAAGTACTGTACTGCAAGGCCTCGGATCCATGTTGATTTGTAGTGCAGGTTCGACTTAGGCCCTGCAATTAATGAGGGGGAAATATTAACACCACCTTATAAAAATATACTCTGTAATACACACATTAAATATACAGTACATCTACACACTCATTAAACAGTGTTCTGATTACTACAAAAAGAACCCCATTTAAACCATCATAAAAACCAACAACTTTAAGGTGGTTTAATGATAAGGTGAATTAAACTAGGACTAATATTCTTGTGATCCAAAATAATCAAGATAAATAAGACAAGTTGGTCACCTGGAGTCATTTTCAGCATGAATGATGGTCCGTTCCTTGTAATAGATCTCCTCTTCCTCCTGGTCACACAGTAGCAACACCACAGCCCCAAACAGGAAGATGGCTGACCCCCACCCAACACCATAGGCCCATCCAAATTCCCACAGAGTTCGGTTACCTGTAAAATATTTTTGGGTCAGTACAGGTAAACACTAATGTACACATGTGTAAAACAAACGGCACTGAAATAAACGTTGTACCCTGTATTTATTTATGTAATATTAACCGTTTTCTAAGTTTTTATAAATTTTTTGTGATGTTGTGTACAGTAAATTATAAAAAAGATAATACTGTACATAGCACATATAACAATAGTAGGATATATCTATAACATGATCAATGGTGGTGACCTAAATAACCAGAGCAATAACTAATTTATAATGTTATTCTTGGTGTGTGTGTGTGTGTGTGTGTGTGTGTGTGGTATAAATGTTTACATAATACAGTATGTACGTACAGTAAATTAATCAAGTCAGCTGTGTTGAGTGATGTTTTAAAAAGTAAAGAACAAAAGTTCCTCTAAAAGGTTTGGTTAACACTATAGTAATAATGCCTGTACTGTACTGTACTGTACTGTACTGTACTGTACTGTGCTGTACTGTGCTGTACTGAGGTGTGCTGTACTGTACTGTGTACTGAGGTGCTGTACTGTACTGAGGTGTACTGTGCTGTACTGTACTGTACTGTACTGAGCTGTACTGTGCTGTACTGTACTGTAGTGTATGTGCTGTACTGAGCTGTACTGTACTGAGCTGTACTGTACTGTAGTGTACTGTACTGTAGTGTATGTGTGGTGCTGTAATGTACTGAGCTGTACTGTACTGTGCTGTACTGTACTGAGCTGTACTGTGCTGTACTGTACTGACCTGTACTGTGCTGTACTGCATACTGCACTGGAGCGTACTGTATTGTAGTGTACCGTACTGTAGTGTATTGTACTGTATGTGCAGTGCTGTACTGTACTGAGCTGTACTGTACTGTAGTGTACTGTACTGTAATGTACCGTACTGTACCATACTGTACTGTAATGTACTCTATTGTATTGTACTCTAGTGTACTGTACTGTAGTGTGGTGTACTTTAGTGTAGTGTACAGTAGTGTACTGTACTCTATTGTATTGCACTGTAGTGTAATGTTGTGTACTGTAGTTTACTGTAGTGTATTGTATTATACTATATTGTACTATACTATACTGTATTGTACTGTACTATACTGTAGTGTAGTACTGTACTGTAATGTAGTGTACTGTAGTGTACTGTACTGTACAGTAGTGTAGTGTGTTATACTGTAGCTGACTACACTGTAGCCACCTTACCAAGCTCTAGCTCCTGAGCGAAGAAGACTGGATACAGGATGAGGGCGACCAAGATGGCGATCACTGTAACAGAGGTCGGTAATTAGTGACACCTGTACTGTTATGATGACACCTGTACTGTTATGATGACACCTGTACTGTTATGATGACACCTGTACTGTTATGATGACACCTGTACTATGATGACACCTGTATTGTTATGATGACACCTGTACTGTTATGATGACACCTGTACTGTTATGATGACACCTGTACTGTTATGATGACACCTGTACTATGATGACACCTGTATTGTATGATGATGACACCTGTACTGTTATGATGACACCTGTACTGTTATGGATGATAATTTGTACTGTTATGATGACACTCTGGTATTGTTATGATGACAACGGTACTGTTATGATGACACCTGTATTGTTATGATGATACCTGTACTGTTATGATGACACCTGTACTGTTATGATGACACCTGTACTGTTATGATGACACCTGTACTGTTATGATGACACCTGTACTGTTATGATGACACCTGTATTGTTATGATGACACCTGTACTGTTATGATGACACCTGTACTGTTATGATGACACCTGTATTGTTATGATGACACCTGTACTGTTATGATGACACCTGTACTGTTATGATGACACCTGTACTGTTATGATGACACCTGTCCTGTTATGATGACACCTGTACTGTTATGATGACACCTGTACTGTTATGATGACACCTGTACTGTTATGATGACACCTGTACTGTTATGATGACACCTGTACTGTTATGATGACACCTGTACTGTTATGATGACACCTGTACTGTTATGATGACACCTGTACTGTTATGATGACACCTGTACTGTTATGATGACACCTGTACTGTTATGATGACACCTGTACTGTTATGATGACACCTGTACTGTTATGATGACACCTGTACTGTTGTTGACACCTGTATTGATACGATGACACCTGTACCTGTATTGAGCACCTGTATTGTTGCTGGTAAGCACCTGTATTGTTATATTGATGACACCTGTACTGTGCAGGTGACACCTGTATTGTTATGATGACACCTGCACTGCTATGATGACACCTGTACTGTTATGATGACACATGTACTGTTATGATGACACCTGTATTGTTATGATGACACCTGTATTGTGATGACACCTGTGCTGTTATGATGACACCTGTACTGCTATGATGACACCTCTCTTATTGTTATGATGACACCTGTACTGTTATGATGACACCTGTACTGTTATGATGACACCTGTATTGTTATGATGACACCTGTACTGTTATGATGACACCTGTACTGTTATGATGACACCTGTATTGTTATGATGACACCTGTACTGTTATGATGACACCTGTACTGTTATGATGACACCTGTACTGTTATGATGACACCTGTCCTGTTATGATGACACCTGTACTGTTATGATGACACCTGTACTGTTATGATGACACCTGTACTGTTATGATGACACCTGTACTGTTATGATGACACCTGTACTGTTATGATGACACCTGTACTGTTATGATGACACCTGTACTGTTATGATGACACCTGTGCTGTCATAATGACACCTGTACTGTCATAAAGACACCTGTAACATCTGTGGCCATAATAACACCTGTAACGCCTGTCTGTGTGGCCATAATAACACCTGTAACACCTGTGTGGCCATAACACCTGTAACACATCTGTAGATATATTTAAGAGAATGAACGAGTTGATGGTTCAGGGTAAACACAAGACATACACTCTGTCACGTTCGTTGAGTGATACAGTATATATAATGTGTCTAAAGTCCTGCTGTAATAGTAGAGATAAGTTTATTACTCTAGAAACAGGGGCGCCATGACGTCACCACTTACCCTGCAGAAGTAATGACATTGTCTGGACTTTGTTTTGATAATGCCTGGTGCTAGTTAACATGACAACACAGTGTTGTTATTGTTTTGATGATTCACTAATGAACCACTGGGGTATATCATTATTTATATTAATTAATGGGTAAAACTTTACTTCAACTACCATAAGTATTTGGATGTTTAGATTCGAGATAGATGGGCTATATTGGGTAAATCTTAAGTTTTGGTCATCCCTGTACTAAGACATGCAGACTGTTTTTTCTGATGGTTTGCTATGTGTTATGAGTGATTTAGACCTTCAATTCTATGGGAAATCACTAGTTTTGAGTTACTCCTCCCCCCCCCCTTACCGATGTATGTTAAGCTAACCTTTGCGACAGACAACCTGTAGAGATAATGTGTCTTATTGTTTAAAGTACTTAATCCCTTAGTTAGAATCTTATGGTTCCCTAAATGACCAAAACCAAAATAATACCAATATTGTTTGGAAAGTTTATACTATGAAATTTGCTTGTATGGGCAGCTAATTGCCAATGAATTAGTTCATGTGTTTAGTAATATTTATATATTCAAAATAGCATTACTGTATTGCACAGTAAAGCACAATTAATTATCTAATAATATTTATTTACAGAGCCATCAGCCGAGAAGGTTGGTCAACTACAGCTAAGCTCGACCCCAACCATTGACGTCACAACCAATCACAGCGCTTTTCACAGTCAGTGACTTTTTAGCAACTTAAACCTTATCTTTGACATAGTGAATTTAAGCGTTTTCTTTACCCATTGACCTGCCATCTTACGAAAAAATTCCGACTGTCAACTCGTCCATTTACAGCAAGAAATGCCACATTAAAACTGACTCACTGTAACACTAAGGATAAATAATGTAAATATTAAAATTAACTGAACAAAAATAAAAATGAATGAAAAACTACAATTGTTTAGAAAAAGGTCATGTTATATAACAACAGTACAACATAGTAACATAACAACATGGTAAATACTACAACACAAGACTAACGAAAAACCTAAGACACTTGGATCTATGTACAGTCGTTTGCACTTATACCTGGTACAGTGGCTGGTGTGTTTTCGATATGTTGCGACAAAACTGTGTTTGTTTACATAGCAGAATGACCCTTACGAACTTCACAATAGTAGCCAGACTATGGATAAGCATTCCAGAGTTGCCACATCTCACAAACGCACCAGCCACTGTACCAGGTATAAGTGAAGGTGAAACTACTCACATGCCAGAGTCATGACCCAGACAGCGATGCGGTAATAGCGAGTCTTGACGGTGGGGTCGTTGTTGCTGAGCCCGAGACCCGTCATGATGGTGGCGAAGATGTCGAGCAGCAGACAGATGACACACAATGCTGCACTCGCCATGATGTATGCTGTAAATATAATGATACATTATATATTGCAGTGCTCGCCATGATGTTTGTGAAGAGTGAGGAGGGGATGAAGGCGCGACTGAGGGAGAGGTGAGGGGGAAGGAGGGAGAGAGACGGGAGAATAAGGACAGGGGTGACGGTAATGGAGTATGGATGACGACTAAGGGTTACAGAAACACAAAACATCATGTGGATTATGTAGTGTACAAAATAGCTCTAGTTGTGGCCAATCAGGAAATTCGCTCAGGAAAACAATACTTGGAGATGAAATTAGCCGACAATATTATGTGTAGTGGGTAGTAGGCAGCTACCAAACAGGGAGGTACTACCGCCTGGGAGGATATTGGAAGCATAATGGGTTGTCATATGTAACCAAGTCCCAGGTTGATGATCTGACTTTCTGCCTCATTTACACACAATTGTAGGGTCTCAGTTGTTTTTCTTACTATTGACAACACAACATACATATATTGTTTCTCACTTTTGATACTTTTTTCATTTTTGTATTTCTTTGTTTTTTATTATTAGTAGTATTTCCGCCCCCCCCCCCAGGCCCCATGTGGCTCAGCGACCTGTGCCCGCTAATCCCCGTAAAAAACTCGGGTGACAACGAACTATGAGACATGACTACAGACGACGTCAACACCTACTGCTGTGCCCTCTTTGTTTACAAATCTATCAATCACTTGCTTGACAATAATTATTTCCAGTTCTGGAATAATCAGAGATACAACTTAAGGCACCCAGAGCTACTAAGACCACCCCCCCCCCATGCGCTCCTCTCAGTCCCAGACCTACATAAAATATCAGGGTGTGAAGGTGTGGAACAACTTACCCTCACCCATCCCAGCAAAGACTACACTGCTTCCTTTATATTGTTGCTTTTATTGTACCACCAAAACCATTTTATCAGAAATTATCACGTAGACAGATAGAAATTACCATTACAATAAATATATTTGCTGACAAGACACAATACTGACAGCTCTGTCCTCTTGTTCCACCTTAATACACCCCATGTTGTACTGCTTCCCTCCCTTATCATATTAATGTATATCAACACCACTGTAAAGTATGTATATACAGTACTTATAATATAAATGTAAATAAAAAATAAATAACGAAGTGATAACCGTGGTAACAAACTGATGTGTTGTTATTACCACCTTGCTATTGTACTATTCCAGATGATATTAAATGTTCCATAATACTTCCTTGAGATAAATGTATAGTATATATCAGGTGCAGCTCAGGTTCTCAACTGGCTCAGTCATGTTAATATTGCTATTATTATCCACTCGGTATCTGTGTTCTTATGGCTAAATAAACTGTTTCAATATCAAACTGACATTCATATGTAGTAATGGCTTGGATCAAGGGTAAGAGAAGTGCATCAGAAAACTACAGGCCGATCAGCCAAGCATTACATACTATGCTAACACTTGACCGAACAGTCATCAACAATCACAACACGGTTTGATGAAAAGAAAATCCTGCCTGATAAATTTACCCAAGCTCCTTGACACGGTAACACACTATGTGGACCAAGGCTCACCAGTGGATGTGTTGTACATGGAATTCTCTAAGGAAGACAAGATGAACAAGGATCAAAACCCTCCCTGCACGCTGTGAGGTCAATCAGGTAAAATACACAGACACACAGACGCCCCTCAGACCACCAGGGCCGCGGTGGAGGAAGGCAATTTACTTGATGACTTATCCTCTTAGGTTAATAGAGAACACCAAACCCTTAACAGCCACACCCTCACCACTTACAGTTACAACCTCACACTACGCCTGCCATACCTCCCTGACACAAGATGTTGGTGAATGTCGCACAGGCCACCACTTACTGCTAACACCGTTAAGGTTTGGCACCAACATGTACAATGCCATCTCTCTCTCTCTCTCTCTCTCTCTCTCTCTCTCTCTCTCCTTTATAATTTTATGGCTCCACGTTTACTCTTTTCTATTTCTGGTCCCGAAATTCCAATGTCGTTGTCCCATTTTTCACGGAGGAATAATTACATTTGGTTGTCTGAAGAGCTTATCTCTCTCTCTCTCTCTCTCTCTCTCTCTCTCTCTCTCTCTCTCTCTCTCTCTCTCTCTCTCTCTCTCTTCACCCAAGGGTTCTTCTCGTCATCATTTGGTCGACGAATCAGACACACATGACGTCACTTGTAATGTTTATATCTTTTATTCATTAAACACACCTACTTTTTTCATTCTCTAATTTACTACACAACTTACAATACTACAGTACTTTACTACAGTACTTACTATACTACAGTACTTTACTACCGTACTTTCCTCGCCTCTTTTATTTTATCTCCCGGTTTATTATGCTTGTTATTATTTAGCATTTACCCTCATTATTCCAGGTGTGTGTGTGTACCTCCTCTCCCATCCTTACTCTCCCTCCACCACCACTCTCACTCTCCCTCCACCACCACTCTCCCTCCACCACCACTCTCACTCTCCCTCCACCACCACTCTCCCTCTCACTCCTATCAATTGTAGGCAAATTATTGGAAGCAATAATTTCAAACTCTATTCGAAATCACCTGGAGAAGCACAAGTTGATCAATAATTCCCAACATGGTTTCACAAGTGGGTGTTCATGTCTGACTAATCTATTAACAATCGTTTCAACTGTTTTCGAATAAGTGGTCGAGGGGCATGACTATGATGTGGTATACCTCGACTTAAGTAAAGCCTTCGACAGAGTCCCCCACGAAAGACTAATACGAAAAGTGGAGGCTCGTGGCATTGTAGGAGATATTCTAAAATGGATTAGGGTGTGGTTACAGGACAGGAAACAGCGAGTGAGCATTAACGGCACTAAATCCGACTGGGGTAACATCTCTAGCGGAGTACCCCAAGGCTCAGTACTTGGACCATTACTATTTATTACATACATACACGATATAGATAGCAACATAAGTAAATTTGCTGATGACACTAAAATAGGGCGTGTAATTAAATCTGACAAGGACTCCGCAAAACTACAGGAAGATCTAAAAAAATTCTCGAATGGTCTGAAAAATGGCAGATGAAATTTAATGTGGACAAATGTAAAGTATTTAGTCTAGGAGATGTAAACAGAGAAACCAGATGAACAACGATGTTTTAGAGAAATCAGACTGTGAGAAAAATTTAGGAGTAATGATAAGTAGGAATCTTAAACCAAGTAAACAATGTGTATTTGCTCGAAACAAGGCTAATAAAGTACTTGGGTTTGTACAAAGGAGTGTTAGTTACAAGACTAGCGAGGCTATCCTAGAACTGTATCTTGCGCTTGTGAGACCTCACTTGGATTACGCAGTTCAGTTCAGTTCTGGTCACCGTATTACAGAATGAATATAGAATCCCTAGAAAGAATTCAGAGGAGAATGACAAGACTAATCCCAGGCATTAGGAACCTTGAGTACAGAGACAGGTTAAAGATCTTAATTTGCACCCCTAACGAGAGCGAGGGCGACATGATAGAGGTGTATAAATGGAAATCAGCAAAAAAAGGTGATACAACAAAGGTACTCAAACTATCCAACCAGGAGCAACCAACAATGGTTTTAAATTAGACAAATTTAGATTTGGCGTGAAATAGGTAAACATTGGTTTGTAATAGAGTAGTGATGATGGAACAAGTTACCAAACATCATCATTAACTCTAACACGCTGGATAGCTTCAAACAAAGGTTGATATATGAGCGATAGGGGTTGGTGTAAACGGGGCCCCTGCCTAGTATGGGCCAATAGTTACTGTTTCAGTCTTATGTTCTAACCACCTCCTCCCACCACCACTGTCACTCTCACCTACCGCAACCACTCTCTCCCACCACCCCTGTCACTCCCACCACCACTGTCACTCTCACCACTACCACTCTCCCACCACCCCTGTCACTCCTCCCACCACCACTGTCACTCCCTACCACTACCACTCTTCCTCCCACCACCCCTGTCACTCCTCCCACCATCACTGTCACTCTTCCCATCACTGTCATCACCCTCCCACCACCTTTCCCACAGTACAATACAAGGAAGAGACCAACACTTACGCTCGTCTCTCGCTGTGTGACATCCCGCCTCTGCGTTGATTTGAAGGGAGAGGTTTGGGGCACCGGGCTCAACACAGTGTTCGAAGAGGCCTTGACGCCAACCCACCGCCAATAGCCAGTCGGAGGAAGCCAGTGCCAGCACCATCAGGAAGGCGGTAATGATGCCACACACCAGCGCGATCACCTGCACAAGGAGACAACATATGTTTAGTTTATCTGACACCTGTTAGTGCCTCTACCTGCGTATATGTGGCATGTTTACACCTAATTAGTTTTTGACACCTGTTTAGTTACTCCTTCACACCAGCTTATTGTACAGGTATACAATGTACAGTGTGTCAATAAAGTATCCCAGTGATGTACCGGGAGGGTTAGTATGTGTTTCTGTGTACCGGGAGGGTTAGTATGTGTTTCTGTGTACCGGGAGGGTTGGTATGATGGCTCTGTGGATATTAACTATGCCCAAATAAACACACATTGCATTACATAAGTTACACTACACACCAGAGTTAATCATCTAAGGTCCCATAATGTTTCATACAGTGTGTGGTCGGATACTTCTTGGACATACTGTACATGTGGTGCGTGAGAGGCCATAATTGTCTCTTAATGATGCTGTTAATTTTCTTTTTTAATTATCAAATAAGTTACTTACCTAACCTTCTCTACCCTTACTTAATCTAGCCTAACTTAACTTAACCTAACCTAACCAAACCTACCCATACTTATAACTTAACTTAACCTAACCTTATCGTGTGTGTGTGTGTGCACAGGGTTGGTGTAATGCGTGTACTGTGGCAGCATTACGTTAGAAACGCAGACACTGCTTGCTCCCTCTCGCTATCAGCTGCCGCCGCTGGCTAGCCCTCGTGGCGAACAGGGAAGCATCTGGCATAAGTCTTCCCCTGCCAGTACACAGACTCCTCACCATCAAGGCCTACTCGTGGCAACACACGGTAACTGGGTGCCTCGTGGGCCCAGGCTAGACCAGAAAGGGATCTCGGAGTAGCAGTGGGCCCCAGAAGGACGGCCCATAGGCCCACTGGCATGTGGACACGTCCTGGCGCCTACCAACCATTGCCCCGCTACCTAGCGGATTAACCTTGGTAGCTATAAGGCTATGGGAGTAAACCCTGAACGAGAAATCTATTGTGGAGCCCCGCATCAGGCAGGGAGCCCCGCATCAGGCAGACATGTTACAGAGCTCCAACAAGACCCCAACGGTGGTATAGGCGGAAGAGGTGACCACCATGGGAACCCAGCGACTACACCAGCGGATTATGGCAATGCCTGATGGACAGACTACACAGGCGAAACCCAATAACTGGACTATCGGTAGTCCATTGCAACTCTCCCTGTCCCCAGCCGTTGCAACACTTGCACCACTGGATCAGGAAAAGGGAGAGCCAAGATGTGTGGTTGCAGCCTGCGCTCCTGCCTCACCACATGAATCAACCCACGCGCACACATCATCCAGCTCATCATATCTTTCATCATCATCAAAACCCCTATGCCCCCAAAAGTCTTATGGCGACGGGGACAGGCAGAGATGACTGCCGGGGGTCTCTAGTCAAACTCTGCACATGGGCGGCACAGAAAAGATGGTCGTTTATACACTGGAATCTAGGCAGCAAGCAGTGCAATCCGGTCCTGTTTGCGGCTTAGCAGCCCTTTCAAGGAGCCACTCTGCTCACCCCACATGGGGAGAAGGCTAGAAAAGGTGCCCTAAACATAGCCTGCCTAAAAAACAACCGACTGGGCAACCGCACCCAGTAAGGTCATCCTCTTGTGGTCGAAAACACAATCAAAATCACAGATCCAAACAAAAACAGTATCGGCCTCTTTCGTCACCTCAAAACTCACCAACGAAGGTGACATCCTTAATAATTCATATCATTGTATCATAGCTGGATGATCGTCATACTCGATTCCGAGTGACAGCAACGTAGTAATAATAATAATAATAATAATAATTAACGGTTTTTGAAAAGTTCTGCAGCCCGATGGCTGAAAATATACATTGGACATAAATGACTTATCACATACATTGGTGGTTTAACAAAAGCCTTCATTAGAGAAAGGTGAAGGAACATACAGAGTAATGCTTACAGTGGTCACATAGATCTTGTGAGCTGAGGTGTTGAACAGCAGACACGTAGTGTAGTAACTCCTTCACAGTGAGTGTGTGTGTGTGTGTGTGTGTGTGTGTGTGTGTTTGCAGCCCTCTGATGTTTGTATGAACGGAAGGATGGACAGATGGGCGAAGGACGACAGTCGGGCGGAAGGACAAAACAATGAAATAGATTATCAGATAACATGACGACGGTAATGACTGAGGGGGGGAGGGGAGTGGAGGTGAGGAGAGGAATAGAGTGAGGGGAGAAGAGAGAGACTAAGGAGGAAGTGAGGGGAGGTAGACAGTGAGGGGAGGTGAGAGGAAAGAGTGAGTAAGGAGGAAGTGAGGGAAGGTAGAGAGAGTGAGGGGTGGTAAAGAGAGCAGCGCCAACAGTATACAGGGCAGCAACACTAAATATAGCAGCACTAGACGGGTTAATACTAAAAAGTGGGTGTCTGACCCAGGGACCCAGTGTGTGTGTGTGTGTGTGTGTGTGTGTGTGTGTTCGTTGCTCCCAGAATCTCAATGTGGCGTTAGACCATCACGTGGCACCACTGACACGATCTTTGCTGCACATCATATACAGGAAAAGTGCAGAGAACAGCGTAGTGACCTGTACATGGCCCTCTGGAGGACCCTCAGCCATTTTGGCTGCCCACCAAAATTTATAGCCATTGTGAGGCAACTCCACGATGGCATGAACGGCAGTGTCCTGCACAACGGCACCCGGTCTGAGTTCTTCCCCATCCAAACATGGGTTAAACAAGGGTGTGTACTGGCACCAACTCTCTTTCCCATTTTCTTGGCTGCCTTCCTTACTCGTGCCAGTGCCAATTTAGCCGGCGGGGTGGACATCCAGTACCGGATGAAGGGTCTTTTCAACATAAGACGACTCCAGGCTAGAACAAAGGTATTGGCAGCTTATATTACTGAGCTTCAGTGTGCAGATGACCTCACCCTCGTCACTCACACTGAGTGCAACCTACAGTAGATCCTGAACACCTGCGCAGATGTGTATGCACACTTCAGCCTTAATGTGAATGTACGTAAGACTCAGATTCTCTTCCAGCCTGCCCCTGGACCACACCTCCACCATCCATCCAGCTTAATGGTACTACCCTCTCTAATCTCGGCTCCCACCTGTCCACCACTGCAGACATCGATGAAGAGATTCAAAATCGAATCAGATGTGCAGATGAAGACTTTGGCAGACTCTGTACCAGTGTCTTCAGCTGTAGGGAGCTGAAATTATCTACAAAGCTGCACGGTATCGAGCAGTGGTCCTCCCCACCCTGCTATATGGCAGCGAGACATGGGTCACATACAGGAGGCACCTCAAGGCACATGAAAACTTTCACCAACGTAGTCTACGATCCATCCTCCGAGTTCACTGGGAAGACAAGAAAACAAATGCCAATATTCTTGCTGACACCAACTGTAGGAGCATCAAGGTTACCAATATCCATGAATAACTACGCTGGACTGGCCATGTTACCCTCATGGACAATAGTAGACCGCCAAAGCAGCTACTTTACAGTCACCTAACGAATGGCAAACGTTACGCTGGCGGACAACTGAAAAGGTATAAGGATAGTCTTAAGACAAACCTGAAAAAGTGCCAAATCGACCCCCTCACCTGGGAGACGATCACTCCACACCGTAACGCTTGGAGGAGCACCACACGAGGTGTCATTACTTTCGAGTTGGCTGGACTGCATACCGAGGCAGACAAGCGCAATGCCGGAAAGACGCTGCCGCCGGCCCTCCCGCACTAGATGTAGCCCTCCACATGTGCAACATGTGTGAACAACTCTGTCGGTCCCATAACGGCCTCTTGAGTCACCTCAGAGCTCACCAATGAAGGTGACATCCTTAATAACTCATATCATTGTATCATAGCTGGGTGATCGTCATACCCGATTCCGAGTGACAGCAAAGTAGTATGTGTGTGATGTAATAATAATAATAATAATAATAATAATAATAATAATAATAATAATAATAATAATAATAAACGGTTTATTAATAGAGTTGCAGCCGGTGGCTGAAAATTTACAGACTTACATTTGATTTAGACATAATGATATAATATGCATTGAATACATTTACAGGGCTGCACAGTAAATAAATCAGGAGTTGTTTATTATTTTAACAATAGATGGGATGGTGCTGTTCTTATATCTATCGGTGTGTGTGTGTGTGTGTACATAAAGGCAGACAGAGGTAGTAACAAAATAACTCACCACATTGATAGAGTTGTACATCATGTGCACCAAACACAGTCGTAAAGTGCACATGGTTGATCCCGGGGGTTGCACACAGCCAGACAGACAGACACACTCACACAGACACACACGGTTGTGTTGGTCTCAGTGTTTGTGTTTCGCTGATCTACACATCCCCTCATAGGGAAGCGTTCACTGTCCTCCACCTGTCAACGCCTTGGGTCAGCATCAGACATCTCTCTCTCCAGCACTGGGTGATTTTATCTCTACCTGGATAATTTCAACATTTATGGATGGTTGCAACTTTTGGTGGGATATTTCAACACCAGTCAGTAGTAGTCAGTCAGTGTCGCTAGGTAAACCGGGATTCAACATACCCTTGAGTCATCATGTTATAGGTCAGTGTGTTGACCTCTGACCTAACTGCAGACAGGATTGTAAACGCCTCCTTGTCGCTACACAACTACCGACGCGCACATCATCAGACTAACTAAAATGTTTGTCCCTTATACTGTCAATGCCTACTGTACGTGCCTCCCTCCACCCCCCACCGTGGCCTAACCTACCCACCACAGTGCCCAACACCCCTTCCTCCTGACCAATATCCTCCTCTACAGACAGGCCTGGCACTTGACTCATTAGGGACCTGCCACGTCTTGCCATAAACATCTGCATTGTATCAGGAATTCTCCCCCACACACTCACCCTGTCACCATATGTACCTTGTCGATGAAACCCATGCATGAGTCGACTAGGCAAGCTTCAACTCCGCGTGCTTCCCTGCTGGACGCTGTAAACGCCTTTCGCAGTAAGCCTTGCACAAGATACAAGAGGGTGCCCAACCAACCCCATCGCTGGTAGTGGTGGTGGTGGTAGTGGTGGTGTTGGTGGTGGTAGTGGTGGTGGTGGTGGTGGTGGTGGTGGTGGTAGTGGTGGTGTTGGTGGTGGTGGTAGTGGAAGTGATGATGGTACTGGTGGAAACAGTGGTTGTGGTGATGGTGGTGATTAGTGGTAGTGGTGATGGTGGTGATTAGTGGTAGTGGAAGTAGTGGTAGTGAAGTAGTGCTGGTGGTGGTAATGCTGGTGGTGGTGAGTGCTGGTGGTGGTGGTGGTGATTGTGGTGGTAGTGGAGTAGTGGTGTGAAGTAGTAGTGGTGGCGGCCCGATGGGGTGCAGCTACCTCCCACAAACAAAGTCATCCAACCACACAACAAGTGTCCCACGCTGCCTCATACACTCCTCATACTACCTCCCACACAGCCTTATACTACTCATACTACCTCATACCCACACTACCTCACACTACCTCCACAGCACTACCTCACACTGCAACACTACCTCACACTGCCACACTACCTCCTGCCACACTACCTCACACTGCCCACACTACCTCACACTGCCACACTACTACACCCACACTACCTCACACTACACTGCCACTACCTCACACTGCCACCCCTACCTCACACACCACACTACCTCACACTGCCACTACACTCACACTGCCACACTACCTCACACTACACACTACCTCACACTGCCACACTACCTCATACTGCCACTACCTCATACTGCAAACTACCTCACACACCTCCACTACCTCACACTGCAACACTACCTCCTGCCACAGTGCTGCCTCCTGATTTCAGTGCAGCTCAGTTGAACTGAGGTGATGAATGTAATTATCATTATCATCATCATCACCATCACCACCACCATCATCACCACCACCACCATCATCATCATCATCACCACCATCTTCACCACCACCATCACCATCACCCACCACCATCACCACCACCATCACTCATCATCACCCACCATCATCACCACCATCATCATCACCTACCATCACCACCATCACCTCCATCATCCACCATCACCAAGTGCCACACATGGCCACCTACCCCCTCACCCCTGTAGAAAAGCTTACTGAGGTGAGTCATATTACCTGGAGGTTGACTTGAGGTGTTATGAGGCTCTAGGTATACTGGGTATGGCCTCCTGGGCAACCTCCTGGTGGCTGGTGAATGATATAAATACAGTATGCAGGTGGTGTGCCGGGAGAGCGGTGCATGACAGGTGTGTAGCCAAGGTAAGATGGGTGGGAGGCTTATGATGGAGGTGGCAGGTGGCAAATAGGGGTCTGCAAGAACCAGAGGTCAGAAAACACCGTGGAAAACATGCACCCACCCCGCCACCCTTACTACCCACCGCCTCCTCCCACTACCCCACGCCTCCCTCACTACCTACACGCCTACCCTCACCACCACGCCTACCCCTCACCACCTACACCTCCTCTCACCACCTACACTCCCCTCACCACCTACCCTCTCCCCTACACCTCCCTCACCACCTACACGCCTACCACCTACACGCCTCCCTCACCACCTCCCCTCACCCCGCCTCCTTCACCACCCCACCCTCCCTCTACCCCACGCCTCCTTCACCCACCCCCCTCCTCACCACCTACCTCCCACCTCCCTTCACCACCACGCCTCCCCTCACCACCCACGCCTCCTCACCCCACCTCCCCCACGCCTCCCACTACCCACACACCTCCTTCACCACCCCACGCCCCCCACCACCCACAGGTTGGGTTAATATTAAGAAACTGAGGGAGGAATTCAGCATTCGTAGTTTGGTAGCAACATCTGGCTGAATGAATATATAAACAAAAGCAGAGCCACACCACTGAAGGTTGGAATATAATGGTCATTCCTCACACCTTGGATGGTCGGCGTACAGTAATGACGGTGTGAAGTAAAACCAGGAGAAATAGTACATACAGGAAGGCGATGATGACGGAGGGAAGAAGAAGGTGAAGGATGAAGAGCAGTGAAGAGATGGAGAGTTGAGGAGAGGTGGTCAGTGGTGAAACCAAGAGGTGACCTTGACGGCGACTAACTCAGCCCAGTCACCACCACCCACCACCACCCACCACACTACTGCCTTCACCACCACCATCACCACTACTCCCTCACCACCACCACCATCACCACCATCCTGCAACCACCCTCACCATCACCACTACCACATGTCCCTTCACGCAGGACCCTCTCTCCACCACTCCGACCAACACACACACACACACACACACACACACACACACACACCACCCACCACCAACACCTGCACCACCCAACACCTGTACCACAACAACACCTGCACAACCATAACACCTGCACAACCATAACACCTGTACCACCCATAACACCTGTGCCACCATAACACCTGCTGACCATAACACCTGCACAGCCATAACACCGCCGCACCGCCACGCCAGCACCTGCCACCACCAGCACCTGTACCACCATAACACCTGTACCGCAACACCTGCACCACCATAACACCTGTACCACCAAACTTCACCCCAGCACCTCCACCATAACACATTACCACCATAACGCCACCACCCCCAACACCTGTGCCACCATAACACCTGTACCACCACCGCACCTGCACCACCATATTACCTGCACCACCACCAACACCTGCACCACATAAACCCGCCGCCACCACGCAACACCTGACCCACCCCAACACCTGCACCACCATAACACCTGACCACCACAACACCAACCACCATGTACCTGTACCACCGCCAACACCTGCACCACCATAACACTTGCCACCGCCAGCACATGTGCCACCGACAACACCCGCCACCATAGCACCTGCTTCACCACGTACCTGCCACCATAACACCTGCACCACCACCAGCACGCACCCACCATAACACCTGTACCGCAAGCACCTGCCACCATAACACCTGCCACCATAACACCTGCACCACCGCAACACCTGCCACCATAAACACCTGTGCCACCGCCAACACCTGCACCACCATACACCTGCACCACCATAACACCCTACACCACCCCAGCACCTGCACCATCATAACACCTGTGCCACCACCAACACCTGCACCACCAAACACCTGCGCCAACATAACACCTGTGCCACCATATTTACCTGCACTCTATTTACCTGCACCACCATAACTTTCTTCCATAACACCTGCCATCATAAACCTGTACCCACCATAACACCTGCACGACTGCCACCTAAAACCACAAGACCCTGCCACCATAACACCGCAACCGCCATAACACCTGCACCACTTATAACACACCACCACCATAACACCTGCACCACCATAACACCGTAACCGACAACAACACATGCGCCACCATAGCACCTGCACCACCATAACACCCTAAACCAACAATAACACCTGCACCAACCATAACACCTGTGCCACCATAACACCTGCCACCGCCACAACACCTGTGCCACCACAAGCACACATACCACAATAACACCTGCCACCCAACACCACCATAACACCTGCCACCACCAGCACATGTGCCACCATAACACCTGCGCCACCATAACACCTGCCACCATAACACCAGCCACCATAACACCTGTACCACCATAACCATGTGCCACCACCAACACCTGCGCCACCATAACACCTGTTACCACCACCAACACATGTGCCACCACCAACACCATCACCCGCCAACACCCTGTACCACCACGCCAACACCTGCCCATCAACACCTGCGCCACCATAACACCTGCCACCGCAAACACCTGCGCCACCATAACACCTGCCACCGCAACACCTGTACCACAATGCCTGCCACCATAACACCTCGCCACTAATAACGCCTGCACCACCATAACACCTGCACCACCATAACACCTGTGCCACCATAACACCTGCCACCACCAACACCTGCACCACTATAACACCTGCTACTATCACAACACCTGCACCACCACTAACACCTGCACCACCATAACACCTGTACCACCGCAACACCTGTACCAACCATAACACCTGCACCACCAAAAACACCTGCACCCATAACACCTGCCACAATAACCTGCACCACCACAACACCTGCACCACCACCAACACCTGCACCACCATAACACCTGTACCACTGCAACACCTGCGCCACTACACCTGCCACCACCAGCACCTGCACCACCACAACGCCTGCGCAACACCTGCACCACCGCCAGCACCTGTCACCATAACACCTGCACCACCGACAACACCTAAACCACAACCAACACCTGCACCACCATAACACCTGCACCACCATAACACCTGTTCACCACAACACCTGCACCACCATAACACCTGTACCACCAACAACACCTGTACCACCGCCGCACCTGCACCACCATATCACCTGCCACCACAACACCTGCACCACATAACCCCTGCACCACCATAACACCTGCCACCAC